AGTATCTAGGTGATTTCAGTCTTATTTGTTTTGTGTGGTCTAGTCTATTGCATTTAATTATCCCTTTTTTAGTTCATAAGTTTTCATGGCTAAGAGGGTTGCTCCTTATTCTACTATTCTTGTTATTTTGTGTTTGTGGCAAGGTGAATTTTTTGTTGTCTAAGTTGTTTAAGTTGTTTGTCATTTCTTTGTTGCATTCCTTGAGTTGAGTTATTCCTCCCCTTGTTTCTTCATTATCTTCTCTGTTATCTATTAATTGGTTATTGCTATTGGTGGAGTGGTTATGGCTTTCATTCACTCCGGTGAAATTCTTCATTGGTTCAGCATTGTTTATTTTATCCTGCGTTTTTCCTTCCTCTCTCTTTTTGGATGGTTGTGGGTTAAATTCGTTTAGTTGTTATGAAGAAAGGATGGTTTCTTAGCTTATGTTAAGAGTGTGTTCCTCTATGGCTTGGGTGTTAGTTGTATTGGTGTCATCATTGTCATTTCTTTTGTTTTGTTTTAAGGTGTCATTCTTTTGTGGGCTCTCTATTTCTCTTCTTCTCCATGTCTTTATTAAATTCTTCTTAGGTGAGTTATTTTGTTCATCTCTAAAGTTCTTCTTTCTTTTCCTTTTTTGGTGGTTATTCCTATTTTGGTATAGAGCTTAGTATGCATTATCTTTACAGTTGTACCAACAATTAGTCATATGGTGGCCAAGCTTTCTACACAGCATGTAGAAGGGTGGAACTAATTCAACAACTATTGGTTGTTAGATTTTTTTTCTTGTGCTTCATGTTTTATCATGATGTATTTTGAGATGGGGGTTGAGATATCAATTTTTATGCAAGCTCTTATATATCTTGGTCTAGTGAATTCTATTACATCTCTACTCATTCTAATAAATGCGCTTAGGAGACCAACTATGACTTTAAATGCCTCTAGGTTTAAGAAGTGGGGTCTTATGCCTAAGAATCCTATCTATATTGGTACTAGTGGAGAGTCAACTTCAGGTGAGAAGTGAGGGGTCCATCTAGATGTAGTCATCATATCCTTCTTAATTAGTCATACCAATCTACTCCATACATATCTAAAATCTGCTTCAAGTTCAAATCTTATTATGACGTGTCTGGCATCTAGAGCCCATATGTAGATGTGACTTTCTAAATTTCCTAATTTTATGATTTCATCTCTAATTGTGATGAGTAATGGTCAATTCCAGATAAATTTTCCTATCAATGCATCCTTAAATAGTGTGGCTAACTATTCGATTTTTTCTTCAGTGAATTCTATTGTGGGAATGTCGTCCTAAATGTAAGGAGGTGTCATTGATTTGGTTTAGACATATTGAGGACCCTATGTGTTCATTTCTCGTTATTTTAGCATATGACATCATGGGGAATTGAGCCACTTCACAAGTGTGATCAGTAGGTTTTATTGTTAATCAAGGTTCTATGATGGCCTATTTCTCTTCTTCTTTTATATTTAGTTGTATGTTAGTGTTCATATGTGTGCATTGGGGTTTGCTAAGGTATTAATAGTGTGTTGGTTTGGGATTATTTTTTATTTCATTTGTGTACAATCTCTTGTGCCTTCCTATTTGAATGTTTTGTTTAGATTATGACTAAGAGCATGTTGTAAGGTAAAAAAAAGGTAGAGGTTAGATTGATTGTATATGCACCTCTGATAATTGGGCCTTGTGAATTGACTTGTTGATGGTTGTTTGGTCCATTTCTTCTCTATCTCTTGCCTCTTCATTTTTATTTGGTGTTGAATTCTTGACTGGTGATTGTGTTGTTATACTTTGGCCTACCAATTTTGATAAATCACTTGCTCCCATATTCTTTTGGTGGTGGTTGTGGGGTTAGATTTCTATTGCGGCAAAATATTGTCATCAATCTTGATTTCTGTTGATTGCTCGCAAATGATGACGTTTGTATTATTTACCTTTTCACTTTCATTTTCATCTCTAGTCTCTACTCTTTGATTGTCATTAATATTTGTTGACTCTTGGACCGTCATTGATTTGTTCTCATCATTTATTTGGCATTGTGGATCCTTTGTCAAAATTGGATTAGGGGTATGGGTAAGATCATCAGTTTTCTTGCTGGTATTAACCTTGCCAGGATCGATGATATTTAGTGATTCCTTTGTTGCTTTATTAGCCATGCTTAGCGAATCGCATAATTTTAATAGATTTGTGCTGGTCCTCATGGCTTGTTGGTAACTTAATTCATCAAGTTGGGGCCACTAGTCTACTTCTTCTTTTGTTGTTGAAACTTGGGTGGATGATGAATTATTATTTTGTGATTGTTCCTCTATAGATTCGTGTACACTTAATTCAACTTCTAAGCTTTCTTTGTCTTCAGGTGCTTCATCCATCATGATGTCGTCTTCTGATGAAGATTGTTGGTCCATCTCGTTTTGATCAAAATTATTTAACTTCTCTAGGCTAATTGCCTCTTCAATAGAAGTCATGATTTGGGCTTTCAATACAATCAACTCATTGGTATTGGATGTTGATTATTCTTGGCTATCTACTTCTTCGTTGGAAATTGCAATTGGGACATTTGTAGAGGCTCCTACTTTATTCTTTCCTTTTTCCCCATAGGTTCACTCGTTGGTCAGGGTATCCCTTGTTTGAGATTGAGACATAATTCTTATACTTCTTTTGGTAGACTTGGCTGGTGTAGATTGAGATTTTTTTTTGCCCATTTCTCTCTTTCCGTAAATCAGTAATAGTGGCTAATTTGAAGTAAAGGGCTGCTATTCTATATTCACTAGCAAACAGCTTACCCCCACGGTAGCACTCATTGTCCTTAGCTTCTGATGCTTTTTTCGTTTAACCTTATTGTTGAGTGGTAACAAAGCACACAACTAACACAAAAAATAGATCAAGAGCAAACTTATAGTAGAGTTATGCCCGAAATCTCGTATTCTATACTCAAAATCTTTTGTGACTGTGGATACCGATTCTTTTAATACCCCCAAGGTATTGAATGCTTCCTTGGTAGGCAGCAGCTGGATTGTTTGACTTTTCTCCCTTCTTTAGGACCACTTCATGTGCGGTTGCTTTCAATCCACTATCATGAGTACCCCACTATTGTTGGTTTCCTCCTTTTTCCTTTGGACTCTCTTGGCCTATTAGGTTTTCGTTGCTACGAAAACCCTAGAAAATTTTTGAGCTTGTTGGTTTCTACCCTTGCTATCTAGAACCACCAACACTCTTTCCAACAAAGAGGCTAGCATAGCCCACCGCCCCTCTCTCGCTTCTCCATTATGTTTACTATTCACGAGGGTCTCAAGCCCTAGAATTGTTTTCTGGGTTTTCGCTACCCTAGAACTAGATCTCTATAGAGATCAATCCAGCTCAAGACCACTGGTTTCACCCATCCTCATCTTGATTTCTCCTTTGCCACCCTCGATCCTCCACGCCCCCCTCTAGGGTGCCATGAGTTCGTCCTCCTAGAGTCGTTGGAGCCGCTCAAGCGTGAGGAGAGAGAAATACCTGCACGCATGGGGTTTGAGATATAATACTTATTAGTGATGATTTGTTAGAAATAGAAGTGTTGAATGATAAATTATTTGCATGCTTTGAAATCAAAAGATTACAAAATTTAAAGTATTTTATTGGTATGGAAATTGCATACTCTAGACATTGTATTTTCTTATCTCAGCTAGACATGGTATTTTCACACTTATTGGTATGAAAATATCTTAATTTTACTTTAAAAAATCAGAACTAATGGTAGTAAACTAAGAACCACTCCCATTGACCTTACGAGAAATTAGGTCGAGGTGAAGACAACCCACCAATTGATAGAGGAAGGTATCAAAGGTTAATTAGTAAGTTGATCTATTTGTGTCACACTCGACCAGATATTACCTATGTGGTGGATTATTGAGCTAATTTATGCATGACCTTAGAGAAGTATATAATGTTGTGGCAAGACGAGTACATCTTTATCTAAAGGGTACACCTAGTTGCGCAACAAGAAGCAATTAGTGGTTTCAAGATCTAGTATGGAGTCTAAACTTCGAGTCATGACACAAGGGGTGTGTGAGGCATTAAGAATTAAAAGGATTTTGGAAGACCTCAAGATCTAATATGATTTACCCATCAAACTCTTTTGTGACAACAAGTTAATTATAGATATTGTTCACAATCTCATACATCACAATCAAACCAAGCATGTGGAGGTGGATTGTCATCTCATCAAGGAGAAGATAGAAAATGTTAAGATTGACCTGAAGAGATAATAACACAAAAAGAGGAAATTACTTTTCTTTAAGTTCCTTATTTATATTATGGCTAGAAGAAGATTTATCTTAAGGATCGAGTGGATATTTTTTGAAATAAGAATTTTCTTGACATAAGGGTGGAGGACTGTTTTCTGGTCCTTGAAAGTAAAAGAACATAGATTGGATTTGCCTTGCATAGTGACATAATTATCATATAACCAAGGTCTCCCTAACACTACATTTCCTACATCCATGAGCAAAATATCTAGTCATACTTGATCATTATGATAAAATTTTGAGGTGTAGGAGACATCTTTTTGTGATGTTTAGAGAGGTAAAGTTCACACAAGACACATCATAAAAAGTCGGATGATTTTGAATTTTTAAATTTAATTTTTTAACGACATCTTGAGACACGACATTCATACTACTATCATTATTTACAATGACTTTATTGTAATGTGGACCTATCTTGACATAGGTGAAAAAGATGGAAGTCTTTTGAGAGACCTCATGAGAAGGTTGGACAAAGATTGTTCTCATGACTAGACATTCTTTAGACTCCTCTTGTTCATCTAATTCAAAGTCAACTCTATATTTATCTTCTTCAACTTACTCGTCATGGTCTTCTTCTTCTTGTAAGACTTTGGTTTCTTCTAAAAGGAGGGTCCTAGATGCGATGTGGTCAAATTTTCCACATTTAAAATGTACTTTGTGATTATGATTTTGCTTGGATACTTCACTACTTTTTTTCTTTTATTGTTTACTAGGAGAGTAGCTCAATGGAAGGTTGACCTAGGGACTGTTTGTCCATTATTATTCCTAGGATTTATAAAATTAAGAGAAGTTGTCATAAGAGAGAACCTAGAATTTCTAAGAGGAGATGGTGAGGGTTTAGAATTTGATTTGAAAAATACCGAGTCGGGTTCTTCTCCTACCAGTATCGAATAGAACATGCTGAACAAAATTGGATCAATGGATACCATATACATTTCTTCCAATGTCCTCACATCTCTAAGGATGATTTTCCTCTTAACTTCAGTTTTTTTAGACCAATTCTAAACTTAGAGAGGGTGAGAGTAGGATCTTCTCGAAGACCACATGTCATCATTAACTCATCAAAATTTTAATTTGACAAACCTTGTTTTCTTTGTTTTAGACATTTCATAGCATCCAAAATAGTTATCTAAATAGGCTTTTCAATTGAAGTAGTCTCTAGGTTCAAAGGTTCCTTCATACACAGAGACTTCTATTTTGATATATTTATAATTTGATTCTATTTGGTGTTGTACCCTAGGGAAGGTGTTCATGGAATCTTCAATTGAATAGATCCTCTATACTCTTAGGATTGGAGTTGATTGCTTTGAGTCAACTGTAGAAACCCTAGTTGACTCTATAGCAGTCATCTTTTAACCTTGTTCCTCCACTTGGAGGCTAAGGGCTTCTACCTTTTCTAAGAGCATCTTGGTCCATGTAGTATAGGCTCATCCATAAAGCTATTAGATTCTCCTTTCTTGGAAGGATAATTATTGTTCGATCTAATATGCATTTAAAGTACTTTTATGATGCTATGATTTACTAAGTTTTATGAGAACCATAAGTTTTTAAGGTAATTAAACCCTAAGCTTTGACATCAATTGATGTGGGACAAGGAGGCAAGAAGATCTCTCTTAAAAAAAAACTTCACATTGGGTTTTGGAGTTGACTTAAGTAAGAACTATGAGAGTTTAATATTCAGAAGATCTTGCAATTTTAGAGGAGAGCTAGGATCATAATTACATGTTAGAGTATTTAAGGCTTTTCAACCAAGATTTGAACCACTAATTTCTCACATGGAAGTGACTATACTTGAAATTAATGACAAACTCCACAAGAAATAAAAAATCAACACAGTTTTGCTTTGCAATTGAGATTATTAATTCTTGAAGATTCTTATTTGCTAGAATTCCACAAGCCTTGTTAGAGATTTTCTCACTTGAAGGAAAGAAATGATGAAAGTCAACGGTGAAGAGAAGGGAGCGAATAAAGGACGAGAGATGAGATTCAAATGGCTCGAGTCAGGCGGCAGGATGGTTCAGACTGAGTGGCACGAATCAGGAGGTGGACTGGTGCAATTCGAAGGAAATGGGCCGTTTGGGTTGGATGGCGTCGGCAAGAGAGAGAAAAGAGGGTCAAGACGGGGCAAGCGGCCAGATGGTGGAACGGCGACGATGGCGGGAGAGATAGAAAAGAGGGTTAGCGACGGGCGGGCGGTCAGAAGGCGGAACAGAGGCGACGGGGCGGACAGCTAGAAGGCGGAATGGCGGCGACGGCGGGAGAGAGAAGAGGAAGGTAAGGGATGGGCAGACGGCCAGAAGGTGGAACGGCGGCGACGGTGGAGGCTGCCGACTGATTGGTGGCAATGGTGGCGATTCGAGGGCTTGCGGCAATGGAAGGGGAGGGCGACGGTAGGGCAGCGGAAGCAAGGATGGAGGCGGCGGCGGTGGCGGCGGTGGCGGCGGCAAATGGCGAAGACATTCGACGGCGGAGGTGAAGATGTGGACTTGGCTGTAGCTGAAGCGAGGACAAGCGGATGACGACGGGATGGAAGGGACGAAGTGGGAGAAGAGAGCGAGAGAGAGGAAGAAACCCCAATCTAAGAGGTGAGGTAGAAGGGGCACGTGGGTGACGTGGCCTCTTCTCCGTCCTCTTCTTCCTCCTCGTGGGGCCCACCAAGGGGATGAATCCCCTTGTTGACTTGAATGAGCCCATTGGATATGGATCCAATATTCCACGTGGGATCCATTAGAGGTAGAATCCGACGGGTGACTTGAGTAAGGTTGATCGTTTGATGAGGGTGGACTCTAATTCTTGTAGTCCTCCTTGGAAGAGTTGACTTTGAAGCAAGTGGAGGTGATCTTGGTTGCCTCCTTTGACTGGCTTGGGGTTGATCCTCATTGAACTAGATGGGTGGGGCATTCATTGCCCCGTTGACTTCATCAATATTCCATCAACTTTTTTCTAAATTGTAATTTTACAGTTGTTATTAGAGAGAGAGAGAGAGAGAGAGAGAGAGAGGGTGAAGGGCCTGAGAGCTGAACAGAGAAGGGTGAGGGGTTGACTCGCCAGAGTTGACCTTTGGTCATCCATAAATTACACGTGCTTATGATGATGGATATACTGGGCTGGACGGGCCCAATAAATAATCTGAGCCCGGCCCGATCTTGGGCAGAACCTTCAGTTTTTAAGCCTTGCCAAGTTGGAATAAAGGGGCCAGGCCCACCGGGGGTTTCCAGGCCCATTAGCTCGCTTGGAGTGTTTAAAGTGGTTTTAATTTTATTTTACTTACTTCGTGAAAATGTGGTTCCAAGGAAGACGATTCGGGGGCTGTGAGTCGAACCGGACGATTCCTCCGTCGGCCCGTCCGTTGACATCACCTATTTTTCATTTCAAGTTCATTTTGGGGTTTTCTGGCTCCGTCCTCTGTTGTCCTGCTCTCTGCTCCTCTCTGGTGGAGCCCTTCGCTGCCGAGCTGCCCTCCTGGTGCGGAGAAGGAGATCGACGCCGGGGAGGGGAACCGCAGTAACGGTCGCCGCACGGCAGATTTTATTTTATATTTTTTTATTTTATTTCTTCTTCTGCTACGTCGTACTTTCTTCCCCGCGAGCCCTTTCTTCCAAGATTTTCGTTTGGCCTCCTTTCTGGGGGTTTCGGTCGGCTACAGCGGAGGGTCTCCTTTGGTGATCTCGTTGGTTGCAAACCGACCGACATTACCGCCACAGATTGTACCGGGCGTTTAGAGGTGGAGAAGGAAACGAACAGTAAATACATTTGAGAGAGGTCTTCATGGATTTCAAATTCGGGCGCATCAATCTGAATGCAGTGGCTCAGGTACCTCTTTGATACTCCTGCCTCCCGGTTTTGTTTGCTTTGGGCTTTAAATTTGGCGTGAAGCTAGCTAAATTGCTTGGGTACTGGTCGTCTGAGAATCGTTTAGGGCCGGGTGTGGCATGGTAACCAATGGATGCCCTTTTTCTTCTGAAACCCATTCCGGAGACTGTTTATTCATATTCAAGGTTGACCAGCTGGAGTTGGAACAGCTTTATGAGAATGATTTCATTCGTTCTTTCGCTGTTAGTGGTCCTTGAGAAAATTATATGCACACCTGCCATGATTCTCTATTTCTATCTTCGTCAATTCCATTTTCAAAGTCTCAGAGGACTTTTGATGGTCGACCTTGCTTCTCCCAGTTTCAAATACTGACCAAAGGTGTAGCTCTCAAAACCGTGAACGTTTGTCACGGGACTTTTATATCAGCTGAATAAGTTTTTTTATGACAATGGTTGTTATGATGATGCTAAGAAACGAATGCAGAATATCATACGATGTTTTATTCAAATCAGAAATATTTCCTGTTTTAGTGATCTTCAAACGTGCTGAAAATCCCAGTTGGGGTTCAAACCTTTATGCAATTATGGTGATTTCGCTTCCTAATGCGTTTCAAATTGTGTCAAAGCCGTTCGGTTGAATTCCCTTTTTCACGCATAAAACTTTCCGAGTCAAAGATGATGTTTACATTTATGAAAGACCATGCCCCAAAAAGGCAACATCACAGTTTCAGATAACAATTCCTAGCCAAAAGAAAAAGTGGTATGTATATGTACAGAAATGATAATGAGTACTTAATTGATGTAGAACAAGGGAATTGCCCAACTCCTGAGCTCATTACCAAGCTTCTACCACCTCTCTTCTTTGCTAAAATAAGTGACAATTATTTTTATGATGGGATGTGCGCACGTTAAGGGTCAATGACTGTAAATAAAAATGAACTTAAGGCAATGCAATCCAATGCCATAGTTATGCTGCCATATTCGAGCTATTGAGACATAATAGTTTTTCTTCCTTGCATTTTTTATGTCCACATCCTTTCCATAACATATGTCGTAGAAAACACAATACCATTTTTATAAACTGATGGAAGCTCATGGATTCCATATTTCATAAAGCTAGGAATTACATTAATTTTTTGTGGAAATTATCCACATGGTCATGCAGAAAACACGTGTTGGACAACATTGCTTCAACATAGATTACTGTAAATCATTTAAAACAGGTCAATGCATAATCGTTCACTCTTCCCATATATGGCGCCCCACTAATGTGGCACCCCATTCACGCATCCCTCCTCCCCACCACCCCTCACCCCCCGTGATCCCCACTGCTCCCTGCCTTTTGGGACCCCATTCCGCTCAATGTGAGCGGGAGATGGACATGGTAGTCAATGTAGCTTCTGCACAAATGAGGCTGTCCTGCTGAAGTGCACCTAACATCAATTTTCGCCGACAGCATCAAAGTCTTATTGCAGGTTAGATCAGGGTCAGTGATGAGCACTCTTATTTTTTGTGCATACTTATCTTTCATTTTCCCAATGAAGCTATTATCTCATATCCCCGTTTTCAGGCTAAGGCTCAATATAATCCCCTTTGAGTGAAATCTGACAAATTTCTGACACGAGCCATATCAAGGAAACAGTTAAGTTATGATAATCGTAGTTTGCAGGCGAAAAATAAGATCTGAGAAAATGAGCTCATCAAAATATGCTTCTTTCCGAGTTTCTGCTGTCGATGTTCGGATCTATTTTCTTTACAATATTATTTGAATCTGCAAGATGCCTCTTTGTCCGTGGTAGTGCATATCTGTCTAGATGGTTCAGCTATTGATGTTGGTTTGAAAGTAAACATGATAATCTCGTGCAGGGTGTTGGGGGCCTTGTTTTTGGAAAGGAGGATTCTTCTTCTGATGAGGATAGGTATGGGTTCGGTTCCACTTAGTAGTTTCAAGATGTAATGCCCTTGATGTATTCATTGATGTGTCACATAAGTAATCCTTTATTGTGAATAGTTGTTATATATACTCGATAAACCTATGATGTGCTTCCTTGTTTTCAAGGAGACCATGCCCTTCCGTTTCAATATATGTTACCCTTTGGTACTTTACTTTCTATAGTACTGTGTGGATGGCAAACTGCTTAAAGAGAATACTACATTTTGAGCTGAAGGAATAGGTGTTAAATGCTAATGGACAGATTTAAATTTTTGAGTAAATTTTTGTTGCTCACATTTCCAGCTATGTTGAACGCCTTCTAGACCGTATTAGCAATGGAGTGCTAGCTGATGACAGACGTTCTGCTATAACTGAACTTCAGTCACTTGTAGCTGAAAGTCGTCCAGCTCAGATAGCTTTTGGAGCAATGGGTGAGTGCTTGAATCATTTTTTCCTTGTCTACGGTTATTCACATTACAGCATCAATTTTTATGCTTATCCAGTCCTCACATATTTTGCTATTTTGTGTAGGTTTGCCCGTCGTCTTAAGTGTGTTAAAGGAAGAGCGAGATGATGTTGAAATGGTTCGAGGTGCCTTAGAAACTCTTGTTAGTGCAATGACGCCCATTGATACCTCTCTTGTGACAAAAAACGAAGTGCAACCAGCCTCAATGAACTCTGATCTTCTATCCAGAGAGGCGGAGAATATATCTCTTATTTTAAGCCTTTTGGTGAGTATTCGATCTCTCTTATTTCTTTTAGATCGAAACCTCCCCTTCCATTGAAAGGAAGACAACGAAGGCTATAAACTTTATAAATGCTTTAATTTTGTGCAGTCAGAAGATGACTTCTATATTAGATACTATACACTTCAACTTCTCACCGCTCTTCTTACACATTCTCCCAACAGGTACCTTATCCTGCACACGTATTGCCACTGTTATTTAATTGCCTTTTTCTGATTTGATAGTTCGTGTTTCGGTCCTCTTGATGAACATGGTTTTGTTACTTTTTCAGGTTACAGGAAGCAATTCTCTCAGTTCCTCGTGGAATAACTAGGCTTATGGATATGCTAATGGATCGTGAGGTTTGAATTTTTTTGGTGTTTGAATCTTTTTTAACTGGATTTGTTAAAACTTGTGTAATACTTATTTCTGGAAGAAAACATTCATGATGCTTATGAAATCGGTAAAAGTAATACTTCTTTATATGGATAATAATGAATCCTTAAGGATCTGTATGGCTTGATGCCTTATTGTGAATGGTAACAAGAGGGTTCCCACTTCCTCGTGGGAAATTATCTGGTGTATCTTGGTCAACCATCATTCATATATGATGCTCTAGGCTTCCTTTCCCTTTTTTCTTAATTCTCTTTCCATTACATTTGGCTGCACTTCTTTTTATCCTTGAGACCTATTTTAAATGCGGGGGGGCAAGTGTCCAGCTGATGTGATATACAACATTGCCACATCTGCGAATTGGAGTTCAGGTAGGTTGTCTGGACCACTTGGGGGTGTGGCCAGGCCTGTTGCTTGGGTGAGACCAAAGCATTGATTACGGAGTGCTTTGAAAATCATAGCACTCATGTAATGGCAACCTGGATTGCTAGAGTTGGAGACATTCAAACCAAATGATGGATAAAGATGGTTGATCGAATTACCGAAAGAGGAAGAATGTGAATAGGAGTATTGGAAAGCATTGAGCCAAAATATCAGAGAAGGAAACTCAATTTATATGTCATTTATAATAATTCGACTACTTCTCTAAGTAGTCCACATTTCTTTTTTACGAGAAAGAGGACCTGGTGGACCAGGAAACCCCAAGAGACCTTTAAGAAAGAACAAGGTAGTCTCTTACAGAAGGAATCCTGAAACAAAAAACAAGTCGCTCCTTTCAATAGCAGTCAATGAACTAAAAAGAAAACTCATACCGAAAGAAGGAAAATCAAATTCTCAGGGTATTCGATGAACCCTCTGATTGTGTCAAGATGTGGGAACCTATATTATGTGATCTACGTTCACCTTTTAATCGGTATGGGATTTTCCCTGTTCTCACAAAACAAAAATCTTTTATAATTTGATGCACTAGACGACAACAAAAATCAGTGCGCGAAAGTTCTTTGCAAAGGGCATCCCTGGAAGAGAAAAACCCTGAGTTCTTTGATCTTACCTTCCCTGTTCCTTCTGAAGCATTCTTGGTCATTGGCTTATAATCCACCAAGGGCGCCATGAACTTCTATCATTGGCTAGTAATGGCTCTGATCAGAGTTCTATGTCCAAAGCTGGTATCTTGTGCTAGGTGCAAGTTATCACTGCCTTGGCTAAAGAAAAACTTGCAGCAGTTCCTCTGACTATTCTTCTTGTTGTGAGTGAGACGTGCCTTGCCTTCTGTGACCATCAGATACTATCTACAGTCTCTGGTGATCTTACCCCAGGACACCTTTCAGAGCTTCACCTTATTATCATTAGCCATCTGATCTTCATCATGATCCTGTTCTCCTCTAGCATGACAGTTGGCCATCGACAATCACTGGTGCCAAAAATACTGTTCAATCCATGCAAGAATACCTTGAGAAAAAAAAACCCTATCTGCATCCTGCAGAACCGCTAACTTTACCTACGAATCCTAGCAGAGTCATAGACCACCCTCATTTTATTCACTTAATCGCTGATACCCCAACAAATCTTACATATGGCAAGAGTATCTGATGGTCACAAGGCATTCATCTGATCCCAAACCAATCCCAAAAGGCATTTATAAGGCTTTTTCAATTCTGCAAGTCTGGGACCGAGATTCCTAAACCTGCCTGCCATTAGAAATGTGCATATTTGAGTCTCCTTGCATTCAGGATGGCACCATAATAAGCTCCGTGATTATCTGGTTCTACGCTGCATTTTATCTATTGAAGTAGTGCCAAATATCACGGTTGTTAACAATTTATGAGGATCTTTTAGTATGGTTATCTCGAAGTGGAACTGAATGGCATGCGAGTGCATTGTCTTCAAGAAGTAACACTCCTAGTCTGTTTTCTGTATACTCGTGGAAATGAAACACATGTGAAAAAATTAAGAACACTTGACCTATGAGAAAAGCTATAGATTTGGACTTCTTAACTGTTCCACTATTTGGTCTTCAAACAAGTGCCTGGGAAGTCATCAAACGCTCGAAACATCAAGAGCAGCCCTATCATCTTCTTATTGTATGACATTCAGTTTATCATCGCATGGCATGCAAATAGTATTCACTAGGTGATTACATTGGTTTAATCATATAGGTTATCTATGATGGAGATTTAGTCGACAGTGCCAAATACTTATAAATAGCATCTTACAACGTCTAGATATTTTTGGAAGTCAGGATCTTCTTTTTTTTCTGTCAGTGATACTGTTCATCAATGACAGCTACTATTTAGCTTGCCATGATTTAAATTGATTAAGAATTATTCCATGGAGTGTAACTTGTAAAGGTTTATTCATTTCTTTTCTTATCTGGTTCTCTGTAATTATGCCACGTTTATTTATTTATTAGTATTACATTCACAGCCTGACCACTTTTTGTCCAAATTAAAGATTCTTGAGTTTTATATCTTGCAGGTCATTAGAAATGAGGCCTTATTGCTTCTCACGTATTTAACTCGTGAAGCAGAGGTGCTACCATTTTCTTTAAATGTGACAATTTAACCATTTAAACATTATTTTCGTTAAGTACAACTTTGATTAAACGGTTTTTGTTTTCTTTTTTAGGAAATTCAAAAGATTGTGGTTTTTGAGGGTATATTTGAAAAGATTTTCAGTATTATTAAAGAGGAAGGAGGATCTGAAGGTGGTGTTGTGGTACAGGTTGTTTTCTTTCAAACTCTAAACCCCTGTGTATTGGTGTATGTTGTCGATTCTCTAGTTATTGTTTAAATAATTACACTATATATGCATTATTTTGAGATTGAATGGTGCTTTCTTTTTCGTTGGAGGGAGGTTCTATAATTATGCTCAGGAAAATTGAAAATAGGAGTTATTTTGATGATGAGACAAAATACACCCTAACTGGGGGCTGAGCATAACTTATGTAACCTGTAAAGATCTAACCAAATGACAAAATATGGTCATGTATAATCAAATTGTTAGGGATGACAGAAGGTGAAATACATGTACAATGTAGCTTCCAATGTAGCTTCCTACTGTCCTAAGCATTATACAACTGTATTAAGCTGTATTATGGATTCCGTCCTCTTAGGCATAGATTTTTCTAATTTATTGGGATAATGGGCTCTACTACCCGCTATATCAGATTAAAAAATTGGGCAACTGTTTTGTGTGATATTTGGGGGATGGAGGGGTGAGGAATTTTCCAATTTGAGAAGTATGAATATTGTGAGTAGCATACGCTATCCTGGTGTATTTTCGTTGGCGTAACTATGGTGTTTTTACTTTCTTTTCAAAAGCTAATTTTTTCGTGTATGCATGTCTCTCTTTTTCACAATTAATGATTTACTATCCATTCTGTAAAAAAGAAGCTTTACGGGATAATCAATGGACCACTGGCCAGACGTCTCCTTGGTACCAGTGATTATCAGTGGCTTGTCTAATTGGTCATTTCTGAATTAGTCAACCAATTTGGATTGGCATTAGGGGTTCCTGATACTATTTCATGTGGAAACCTGATCCCCTTATTTAAGAAACCTGAAAATGATGGGCTGTTGGCCTACTGAAAACGAACACAAATGAGTTAGAGAAATTTAAATGGATGATGAAATATAATGAATTTTTTTTTGCCAGTGAATTGGTTGTTTACATTTTATAAAAAAAAATCTGCTCTTGCATTTATTGATGTCTTAGATGTTGTATGTTCCCACATATTTATGTTGGTTGTTTATTTAAGCATGTCTCAGCGCAAAGTATGCACGCATGTCTTATCTAGGACCTCTGGCGGGCCATTTTGTTTTAGTAACTACTCAAAATTGTCGAAGAAACAAAGGGGAATATCCAGAAATGAGCACATTCATTATAAAAGAACCAAGATTCCCTTACACTTTAAAGAAAAAATCAATGATGGAGCTCGAAAGTACTCTTATGCCCAGTGGTTGTCAAAAAGATGACATAAATTCTGCGGTGTGTTTTCTTAATGTCATCTAAACCAGTGATAGCATGATCTCGATTCGGGATAACAGATGATTGGATAATAAGCTTCCACTGTTCAATCTTGATTTACTAAGAATTTTTCTAGCATCAATGAATAATGCGTAAAACATCATCCCTAAAGTAAGCTATAAATTCCCTAATTTCATTTTACCAATGCCATATTGTCGTTAGGAGTTTAAACTTTCTTTAAAATTCACTACCAAAGAATTCTCAATAACTTTCCTTCACTGGGATATTGAATAACAGCATAGATCATATATTAGTTCACAAAGGTTCGCATTCACAATTAAAGAGGAAAACGCAGCACAAAACTGCAAGTAAACCAGAATAATCGTACTACATTAATCGTGTAAAAACATCACTGGCAGCGGCTAAATTTCTTTTGCAAAAACATCACAGTTGAGCAGTAAACCTATATCCGGCTTTCTTCTAAGGATATTCCAATTGAATCTAATGTTTCAAAAATATGCTCGAACCATGGAGGGAAAAGCCAGCGTTATGACGGGATGTTAAGGCTTACGAGAAAGGGAAAAACCCTAATGACGGGAAGTGACAGCAATGACTTGAGAAAACTACTCAGCATGTAGCGTTATTAATGAGGCAGAACAGCAGAAGGTAAAATATTTTCAACTACAAATAGATTCCGTGTGTCAACAACTATTATAATCATTATGGCCTACTTTTATGCCCATAGTGCTCACCATTGATGCCAGGCAATGAAGTATCTTAAATAATTCGGTTATGCCAGTTGATCTCAACTTGTATTATTGAATGGATAACCCTAATGTTGGATTGAAAAAAGCATGGGCCGTATCAATTAGAATATAACTCTCTCTCTTGGAAAAAATATGGACAATGTCTGGCAACCTTCCATAATTATGGGAAACTGTGCCAGTGAAAGTGATTATTGTCTTCTCTTGGTCATGATCAAATGACTTTATGTTGTATCCTAGTGTAATAGTGTTTCTATTGTTCAAGTTTGGAGTAAAAATTCTTTCTTGCATCTCATCATATTTAATTTCGCTGGCATCGCACAATTCTGAATAGTTGTTGACGGGATCGTCTTCTCATTCCAACGTAATTTATAGCCACTTGAAATTTTGCTTTTCTGGACAGGATTGTCTTGAATTACTGAACAATCTCATTCGGAAAGCTGCATCTAACCAGGTTGGTGCATCTGTCAGCTGTTTGTTCAAATATCCTTCTACTGTAACTGTCTACTTTTTCATGCAGATATTGCTGAGGGAAACTATTGGATTTGAGCCCTTAGTTTCAATTCTGAAGCTTCACAGAGGTAGTGCTTTCAATTTCACGCAACAAAAGGTAAGGCTCAATCTGATGTTACTTTTTCCTGATAATTTTTTTTTTTTGAGGCATTCCAGCCATGTTCTGCTGTACTGACTTGCATTTGTTTTTCCATTGCCTGTTATGAACACCTCACTAAAAGACAGTAAATCTGCTCAGTGCACTGGAAACTATAGAACTGCTTTTGTTAGGAGGTAACGCGGGTGAACCTGGAAAGGATGCTAACCGATTATCAAATCAAACATTGTTGGGACAGGTGCGTAACTTCTCTTCACTGTCTTAATGTTTCTTCCAGACCTTCTAGATTCTGACTTATACATTTCATAATTTTCTCCTGCAGAAGAAAATATTGGACCATCTTTTAATGTTAGGTGTTGAAAGTCAATGGGCTTCAATTTCTGTTCGATGTTCGGTAAGGGAAGGGATAATGACAATCAATGGAGATGTTGCATTGTCCTTTTTATTTATTTCATTTGAAGCAAGCTCCGAACATTTCGTAAAACAATTTGCTTCTTCTTACTGTCTAAATGTTTCTTCCAAGTGATGATAATAGACGCCCCCATGTGACAAAGCTGATACCGCAAATGTTCTTTTGTGTTCCTCAAAGATGTACAATTGTTGTCTATGTTTATAGTTGTCTCATTATCTCATAGTACTGTTATTACTGTTCACCTTTCCTTGAGATGACAGACCTGGATTGATTCTGGACATCAATTTAATTTACATAAACTTAATAAGTGTTTTATACTAGTTTGGTTACTGTTTCCATTCATCTTCAGCATATTAATCTTAATTTCTTTAATATATCTTGCTAGGCAGCTAGCATTATTATGTAACCTGACATCTATAAAAAAATTGTGAGTCACTCACGTAACTGTCTTTATATTTTCTCATTTCAGGCACTTCGATGCATTGGAAATTTGGTTTTCAGAAACCCCAATAACCTTGATGCCCTCGCAAATAAAGTGGTTGGAGAGGAACCACACATTGAACCTGCCCTCAATTCTATACTTCGTATGATTTTGCGGGCTTCTACTGTACAGGAATTCAGGGAAGCAGACCATGTTTTCAAGTGCTTCTGTGAGGTCATCTCTTAGCACCTTCAAAATACCATCTTTTTAATTTCATGCTGGTTGGTTCTATGAAGTGTACGTTTCTAGTCTATGATGCTGCTATCAACAGCCATGGCAATGTTGCAAATGTGTCTACAATGAGATGTGTGATAAATTGCCAGACATTCTTGATGCCTTTCATCTTGGATTCCACCTGAGAACACACAATCTCAAAATGTGCTCTTTATTTTACAAATTGAAATAAACAGATAAGGTGTACAATTTAGATGATGTCTATCAGAAATATATGAATCGAATGCTTACTGTTGTCTATGATTTTCTGTACCGTCTGCAGATTTTTTTTTATTTGCATTGTCGGGATACAGCATGATTTGGACTGTGTTTTCCCGTGGTTGTGGACATGAATTCCTTTTATCGTCTGTTTGGGATATCTTAATCTTTTTTGGTGTACTAGTGGTTTAGGGGTAGATAACGCATTAATTATTTAATTAAATTTATAAGATATAAATACCGGTTTAAGAGATTGAATTAAGGTGATGGTGTAGGCTCCAAGAATCCCCGAGTCCATGCATGGCCAGTGTTTTATACCCGGATCTGGTGTGAGGGCCTTTCTTTCGTCCTCCTCCTGCTGCTGCCATTTCGATTGTTTCTTTCATAAAAAGGATGATGGAAACCTTTCCCCGCTCATCTCAATATACTGTTAATAACTTGTCTTTGTTCTTTTTCATATTTTCTGTACTAAACACTGATAACTAATAACTGCATCCCTTTCCCCATTCCAACATAATCTGAAATTCGTCCAACCTGAACTTTGAATTAATGTTTCTCGTCACAGTTGATTATTGGCATCACACAAGAATTAAAAAAATCCCGAAAACAGCCAATTGAGTTCATTTCATATTATGACTCTAAAATTGCAACATGTTACGGTCAGGTCCTTGACATCTGGGATAGCGTACCAGAATCTAGCTCTCGACGCATTCCAGGACACTCCACATCTGGGATAGCGCACCAGAACGAGAGAAGTTAGTTTAGCATTAGCTTTTCAAGCGGATTCTTTGCAATTTGAATCTCAAATAATCTTCAAAATTCCCAAACCCACCGAATCTCTTTTACCTGATCTGAACACCTAGATCCAACCAAACACGCCCCTAGTCCAATATCATTAAACCCCCGTTTGTCGAACTGGCCTTTCATCTGCATTCGTGGGTTTAGGTCAAGAATTATTCAACAGGGTAGTGCATACTCGACCAAGCGTATACCCAATTTCTGTTTTGGCTTCGTTATGATGAGGTGGATCCTCCCAGTCTTTAATACAGTTTGAAAAATCGAAAGGACTGAGAACTTGGTCACAACTAGGTATAAGCTATGAATGGGACAAAAAGACTACTTAAACAAATGACCTTGCTGTGAAAACGGTTTAATCGTCTCCAATAGGAATGATGATTAGCTCATACTATGAAAATTCGGGTGTAATGTTACCCGAAACAAATAAACATTATGAAATATAGCCTATCTCCGGACTGCAGAAGTTCAAACCCTTAAGTGGTATTCGATGCCTAATAGTAATCCAAATGCTTATTTATCTCACATAGAATGTTTTCATAAACCTTTTTCCTTGAATCCTATATTTGTCTATATTTTTTTCATCATCATTGCAAGTGAATCTAATGGACGCATATGAACTGTGATTCTTGTTTTTTCTGCACTAGTTTATTCCCATCCTCTCATCTTTATGTGGTTTTGTGGCCTTTGCCTCCTGCGCTAGTTAAATCTTCAGCGCCCATTGAGTCCTTTGCCATTTTTCTTCAGAACCATTTGCCCTTTTCTTCTGAAGTCTTGGAAATTACGGTTGTTTGTTTTGTAATTGAAAGAGAGCATGCTTATGCTGTGTTAACAGGAGAACCGATCAGGGCAAGTATTGTTGGCTTCCACCATGACCCCTCAGCTACGTACATTTTCTCATGCTTCTGTTGAAGATAGTGGTAAAATATCATTTGGAAGGTAAGTTATAATTACGTTTGTATTTCTTTGTCAGCTGCTGCAAGGTTTCTTTGGGTTCTTCACTTGTACTGATTGAAAAACGTTCCCTCATTCTTGAGTGTCGTGAATTCATTTTTCTTTTTAGTATTTATTGAATTGCCTTTTGAAATTTCTCATCTTGAAATGGCAGTATCTTGTTACAAGGTCTGATTTTCAGCGAGGCTGATGGAGATCTTGAGGTAAGCTCTGGTTTGTTGCATTTGATAAGCATGGTGGTCTCGAATCTGGAATGATACTTCCCAGTGCCGTGTCAGCGCTTGCTTTATAGGTTTTTCATCTCACAGATCAGATCAGCGGCATATTTAGTACTCTCCTGATCCTTGGGCCAAGAAAGTTTGATACCATCTCAAATCGTGATCCTTGCCATCCTTGAGGATTTTGCATTTCTCATTTGTTTATCTTTTAGTTTCTTAATATGTGCCTACTTCATTGTATTGCCCATCAAATATTCGCAGGGGCAATTGGAGATACGAACATATATGTCCAATGTGCTCTTCGATGAAAGTAGAACAAATAAGATCTATATGCTCATCAAGTTCCGACCTTCCATTGACTGGTAGCATTTTTCATGCACCGAACATTTGGAACACTATATACCATTGAGTCCCATTATGTTCAAATTAATAAGCCCAACTCCCTGTTTGTGGCAGCATCTACTGGGCTTTATGGAAATGCTTGCGGTTGGGATACTAGATAGTATGTCGAACATTGCATAAATTAATCTATTCAGTACTAAATGTTAATAAATAGCTAGAAGGCAATATTTTCAGATATTGTGATAGAATATGATTATTTTAGTGCCGATTGCTTAAGTTTTACACTCATGAAAACTGTAAATTGAGCAAGGTCCTATTTCTCATTGCAGACAAGCTGCCGAGCTGCTAGTGTTCTCTCCCACATTCTCAAGGATAATATCCAATCTAAAGAACAGGTATGCATGTGAAGCTCAGGGCTTGTGTAACTTTTCCTTAGCATCTGTGAAGAATCTAGGTTTTCTTAGCATCCACACCACCAAATTTAGTATGTAATGGTGGTTGTGCTTTGTAAGTTAAGTTCTTATTGTGGATTCATTTCTTTTCTTCTTTTCATCTGCCTTCCTGCAAGAGTGAGCCGTGATTATTTTCTAGTAATGCCCATGGCCATCAATCACAGGTTCTTCGGATTGTCCTCGACAGCCCCATTCCATCCTTCGGACCACCAGAGCCGCTGTTGCACCGAATTCTGAAATACTTGGTGCTTGCGACCTCAACCAGAGTTAAAGAAAATGACCAGAACGACAGACCTTCCTCTTCAAGCTCATATACCACCCTGATTATGCTCCGGTTGTTGGTCACATGGCTGGCGGACTTCTCAGATGCTGTTCATTGCTTGCTAGATTCATCTGTACATCTCACATATTTACTAGAGCTGGTGTCTAGCCCACACCCTGCATTTGTTCGAGGTCTTGCTTCTGTGATTCTCGGAGAATGCATAATCTACAACAAGAGGCCAGGCCAGGGCATCAACGATGCATTCACTGTGGTTGATAACATCAGCCAGAAGATTGGTCTTGCTTCTTTCTTCCACAACCTTGAAGAATTGCAGAAAAAATTTAATCTTGTCTCTACCTCATCAGCTCGGCATCGGAAACCCTTGACGAGATCCATGGTGGCAAGTACGGCTGATGCAGAAGAGATTGAAAGCGACGGTAGTGATCAGAACCTCGAGCATCCCATTCTACCAGCAATTTTTGATGTTCAGTTCGTCGATCTTGTTAAAAAACTGGAGGTCAGCATTAGAGAAGGAATTGTGGAGATCTACAGCCAGCCCAAGAGCAAGGTTGCAGTGGTTCCAGCCGAATTGGAGCAGAAAAGTGGAGAAAGTGATGGAGATTACATAAAACGATTGAGATCGTTTGTGGAGAAGCAGTGCTCTGAGATGCAGGTTGGTAGCTCTTACTTTCTGTGCATGACCTAATTTCGGTTGACTTTCCGTTTAGCTATAATTTTTCATCTCCATTTTTGGGTGGTCAAATTACGAAAAGTGATTATGTTCGTGTGATCACCAACATGTTTCTAATGTTGTTATTTATTTATTTATTTATTTATCGTCTCTAGGATCTTCTTGGCCGAAACACCGCCTTGGCGGAGGATCTGTCTAAGTCCGGTGGCAGCACTTCTGGCCCGACCGAGAGACCGGGCGGTGGAAGAGAGAGGATCCAGTCGGAGAACCTCCGCCGGGATCTTCAAGAAGCCATTCAGAGGGTAGAGATGCTGAGATCAGATAGAGCTAAGATCGAAGAGGAAGCTTCCATGTATAGGAACCTGGCTGAGAAACTAGAGTCCGATCTGAAAGGCTTGTCTGATGCCTACAACAGCCTGGAGCAGGCCAATTTCCAGCTGGAGACCGAAGTGAAGGCCCTGAGGAAGGGTGGGGAGCCCTACACAGATGTGGAGGCCATCAGGGCTCAAGCGAAGGAGGAAGCTGAGAAGGAGAGTGAGACAGAGTTGAATGATCTCCTGGTTTGCCTCGGGCAGGAACAGAGCAAGGTGGAGAAGCTGAGTGCCAGGTTGGCTGAGCTCGGTGAGGATGTGGATTCACTTCTCGAAGGGATTGGAGATGATGCAGCCCTCCCTGAAGAAGAAGACGATGATGATGAATGAATGTATGGAGGAAGATTAGGGTTTAGGCCCATGAATGAAGAACATTGTTCCATTCTGTATTTCTGCAATTCACCAGCATCATGATATGTTGTATATTATGGAGCTATTCCAATGTATATAGATTGTGCTTGTTTCCCCTTCTGGAAGGTTTTGGAGATGAGAACATGACGGCGAATCAGTATGGTGGGAAATTAGGGTTGACCCATGACTCAAGAACGCTTTTTTTTATGATTAGGGTTGACCCCATGAATGAAGAACATTGTTCCATGCTGTATTTCTGCAATTCCCCAGCATCATGATATGTTGTATATTATGGAGCCGTTCCAATGTATATATAGATTGTGCTTGTTTCCCCTTCTGGAAGGTTTTGGAGATGAGAACATGACCGCGAATCGGTATGGTGAAAGATTAGGGTTGACCCATGATTCAAGAACGCTTTTTTATGTCAATTCCTGCAGTTCATCAAGTTTAACCAATATATGTTTAGATCATATGGAATTTTTCACTGTTCTGGACTCCTAGAAGGGGTCGGAGATGATGCTGGTTTGAGCGAATGAGTGGCAGAAAATTAGGGTTGACCCGTGATTCATGCTCATGACAGTATGAAGGTTTCCATTGCCGGATGGGTTTTATTGGGTTGGTGGCATCGTGCTTTTATCATGATTCCTTCACATGGGCGTTTCCCTGGTCAACTGTAACACTTCCTCCTCCCCCCCCCCTTCAGAGCAAGTCAACGGCGAATGAAGAAAAAATCTGGGGTTTTTTGGGGAAGGATACTTGGAAAAGATTCTTCCTTTTTTCAGTTTCAACCCAATTTCGATAATTTTATTGGGTTTTGAGCCTTCAGAATTTTTTACATGCAAAATGCCCCATCTTTTACCTTAGTCAATCTCTCTCTCTCTCTCTTGCTAACTTCTCCCAAAAACCGCCGGATCCTGAAATTTTCCTTTACGCCCACTTTTTTATGAGTTTCTCGGAACTATACGCAAAAAGCCAATTCTCTAGCATATACATCCTTGGGTAACCATCTGACAGGGATAACCTTGCACATAAAGATTAGTTTCGGGGCTTAAAATTATATAAAAGTTAAGGATAAAATGATAATTTACATAAAAGTAATGATAAATCCGAAAAAATCCCATTCTATTGCATACCTCCTCAGGTAACCATCCGACAGGGATACACTCTCGCACATAAATATTAGTTTATGGGGTTTTTCAAATTATCCAAAAAGTATGGGTAAAATGACAAACCACCCCCCACCGGCGTGCATCCTTATCTACTCTTTGAAAAGAGGGGGCGGTTCCTTCTCCCGCAAAACTCTTCCTTCCCCAGGACGCCACCCGCCAAAATAGAAGTCAAGATCCCCCAAATTTCCCGCCAAAATTCGAATCCCCCACTCAACTAGAGAGAGAGGGCCTTCCTCCCGCCTCCACTATCCTCTTCATCTCTCTGTCTCTCTCTCACTCTCTCTCTCGATATCTATATATTATATATCCATCTCTGCGTCGAGAACGAACCCTAGGTATCGTCCTCTTCCTTGGTACGATAGGTCCGTTTCTGTTTCCTCGGTCTGAGGAAATTGCGTAGGGAGGATTTGCATCGGCTGCCAGGATGTACGTGGTGAAGAGGGACGGTCGCCAGGAAGCGGTGCACTTCGATAAGATCACCGCCAGGCTCAAGAAACTGAGCTACGGGCTTAGCCAGGAGCACTGCGATCCGGTCCTGGTGGCTCAGAAGGTGTGCGCAGGCGTGTACAAGGGCGTGACCACCAGTCAGCTTGATGAACTCGCCGCTGAGACCGCCGCTGCTATGACGGCCAACCACCCGGACTATGCTGTGGTGAGGTTCTCAGCATTTTTCCCCTTTTCTTTCTGTGCATAGTTTACGAATATTTTGGTTTCTTTCTTTCATTAGAGGATTCACGCTCTCTCTCCTTCCTCTGTATACTATATTTTTTTCCTTCTTGTCGTGATGGTCAGCTCGCGGCGAGAATCGCAGTTTCAAATCTGCACAAAAACACCAAGAAGTCATTCTCTGAGACGTACGCCTCCGATCCTTCATTTATCATCTATGTTTCTTGCATTGTAGTACATATTGTTTCTCTGTTAATTTTCATGGGACGATCTTTTTGGCTGAATGGATAGTGTTGTGGTACAGGATTAAGGAAATGCACAGTCACTTCAATGAGAGATCTGGGCTCTCGGCTCCTTTGGTGGCTGACGATGTTTTTGAAATAATCCTGAAGGTGACAGTTTTAACTTTAGAGAAAGTTTGTGGGCTCTGTTTCTTCCAAGTTGTCTAGATATTCATGTTTTCAAAATTTTCAGTGTTTACTTATATTCGCCCTTTTTACTGTTCTGGTCAAAACTATGTAAATCTATGATCATTGAATTCTCAAGAGTTTTGAGAACCTGCATTTTTGGCGGAAGAGCTGGAACAAGATAGCACTGCTTCATCATCTCATTAGGAACGAAAGAAACGATTGCACTGATTTCAATCTTTCTTTAACCCTTCCCTTCCCGCCTATCCTCTTCTATCTCATTCAACTAATTTGGAACTGCTTGAGTTAGTAGATGAAAGGAGTGACTACTGATGGAGACTAAGATTTCCATAAACTGTCCCCCCCCCCCAATATGTCCATAATGTATATTGTATTTTTCCAGTGGATGTGTTGGATAGTTCGTCACTTGTTCTTCATGCATTGATTTCTTCTTTGAGTAGATTTATTAAGATTCGACTTTTCGGTAAAATTCGTTGCCGCCGTTTTAATCAATGCTGATTTAAATAGTTCGATTATTTGTTTGACCGTCTCTCGGAAGGACTTCGATTTCTTTCCCGAAAGAGTCAAAATTATGTGCCTTTCATGCATTCTAGTTCCGTGAAAGTGAGCTGTGTTGGTCAGGAAATGTCGTATTGCCAGATCGATATTTGTTCTTTAGATCTAGTTTTTCATCATTTTGACAATAGTTGTATGTTTGGACTAAGTTAACTTACTTTTTTGGTTTTCAGAATGCCGATCTTTTGGACAGCGAGATAATTTACGACCGAGATTTTGACTATGATTACTTTGGCTTTAAAACCCTGGAGAGGTCCTATCTCATGAAAGTTTCTGGCAAGGTGATTGAAAGGCCACAGCACATGCTGATGAGGGTATCAGTTGGAATCCACAAGGACGATATTGCCTCTGTTCTCAGAACGTATCATTTGATGTCTCAACGCTGGTTCACTCATGCTTCTCCCACATTATTCAATGCTGGCACCCCCAGGCCTCAGGTTTTCCTCATGTTTTTGACATTGCAAATATTGACGGTTTCAAACTATTATCTTCATACATTTCTTAGTGGTTTCTATTGGCACTCTTTCAGTTGAGCAGCTGCTTCCTTATTTGCATGAAAGATGATAGCATTGAGGGAATCTATGACACATTGAAGGAATGCGCTGTCATAAGCAAATCTGCTGGAGGAATTGGTGTTTCTGTTCATAATATTCGAGCAACTGGCAGTTATATTCGTGGGACAAACGGTACGTCTAATGGCATTGTTCCAATGTTGCGGGTCTTCAATGACACTGCCCGGTATGTTGATCAAGGTGGAGGGAAAAGAAAAGGTGAGCTTATTACAGCTTAATTTTTCTGGTGTCATATATTTTGGCGGATATGAAAACCATGGTATTTAATAATCTTTCCTCCCTTTAGGTGCGTTCGCTGTTTATTTAGAGCCATGGCATGCGGATATTTTCGAATTTCTGGATCTTAGAAAGAACCATGGAAAGGTACGATTATATTAGTGTCTACGTTTATTTTTCTCCACGCCTTCTACGGATTTTCCATACTTTAGTCTCTTAACCCGTCAAATGTGATCGAATTTTATTTGAATATCTAGGAAGAGCATAGGGCAAGAGATCTATTTTATGCGCTGTGGGTCCCCGACCTGTTCATGGAGAGAGTTCAAAGTTATGGCCAGTGGTCCTTGTTTTGCCCTAATGAGGCCCCTGGATTGGCAGATTGTTGGGGCGACGAATTCGAAAAATTGTACACCAAATACGAAAAGGAGGTCAGTTGTCTCGCCGGTCCAATTGTTGAATAACATTCCAAGCATAGGTCGACAATTTTGTTCTTCTTGTTTTTCAGGGCAAGGCCAAGAAAGTTGTTCCAGCACAGAATCTCTGGTTCGAGATTTTGAAGTCTCAGATAGAAACTGGAACACCTTACATGCTCTTCAAAGTCAGTTTATAATACCAAGGACTTTAGTTGGATCATACGAGTAGCCATTAATGTCTCATTACTGCCACTTTTGTATCCATCCTTGTAATTGTATCTGTTTTCAGGACTCCTGCAACAGGAAAAGCAACCAGCAGAATCTTGGGACAATCAAGTCTTCAAATCTATGCACAGAGATTATCGAATACACCAGTCCTGAGGAGACTGCCGTGTGCAATCTCGCCTCGATCGCCTTGCCCAGATTCGTTCGGGAGAAGGTGCGGCCTTTTTCTCACATTTGCCTTGAGCTTAATATCAATGAAACTATCCTCCTTACCTTCCCCGCATGCTCCGCTCCCCTGCAGGGCATTCCCATTGAATCTCACCCGTCCAAGTTGGTCGGCAGCAGAGGATCTAAGAACAGATTCTTCGACTTCGACAAGCTCGCAGAGGTCTGTCTCGTCTCAACCATTTGAAATTCCCCACACTGACTCTTCAACTACGATCTCCATGCGCTGACAATTACTCTATATCGGGTAGGTTACTTCGATAGTCACAGAGAATCTCAACAAGATCATCGATGTCAACTTCTACCCGGTTGAGACGGCGAAGCGGTCGAATCTTCGGCACAGGCCGATCGGCATAGGCGTACAAGGCCTCGCAGACACCTTCATCCTCCTCGGCATGGCCTTTGACTCGCCAGAGGTAATCCGCCAAGTCTGCAGATTATTCTATTCCCTCGCACTTGATGACATCTGGAATTCATACAATAAATAAATAAATAAATAAGTAATTTCTTATCGAAGATCTTGGATTTCTACAGGCCCGGAAGCTGAACAGCGAAATATTCGAGACCATCTACTACCACGCACTGAAGGCTTCCTCTGAGATCGCCCAGAGAGAAGGCACTTACGAGTCCTACAACGGCAGCCCTGTGAGCAAGGTCTGCAGCATGACTGATTTGCACCGTCGAAAAGTATCTCTTTCTTTCTCTGTCGAAAAAGATCATAAAATTTGTCCTAGAACGGAAAAAAGTAGTCAATTGCTCAATAGTGTTTCACAAGTTATTACATCGTGTCTAGTTTTTGGGAGTATTAGTGCGTTGTTATGCCTAGATATTTGATCAATTATGTCCACTACTAAATGCGCTGGTTCTTCCTGCAGGGAATTCTCCAACCGGACATGTGGGAGGTGACCCCATCCGATCGCTGGAACTGGGCATCTCTGAGGGAGATGATCGCCAAGAACGGCGTGAGGAACTCCCTCCTGGTGGCGCCCATGCCCACCGCCTCCACCAGCCAGATTCTCGGCAACAACGAGTGCTTCGAGCCCTACACCTCCAACATCTACAGCCGCAGGGTCCTCAGGTACTTCTCCTCCTCCATCTTCAAAAACCGTAGCCTCCATCTCCAATAACGACAACATCATCTCTCTCTCTCTCTCTCTCTCTCTCTCTCTCTCTCTCTCTCTTCTCGCAGCGGAGAGTTCGTCGTCGTGAACAAGCACCTCCTCCACGACCTGACGGAGATGGGCATCTGGTCCCCCGGCGTCAAGAACAAGATCATCTACGAGGACGGCTCCGTCCTCAACATCCCCGAAGTCCCCGACCACCTCAAGGCCATCTACAAGTACTCTCTTCCTTCCCTTCCCTTCCCTTCCCTTTCCTTTCCTTTTCCTCCCTTTTCCTTTCTGTCTGAATGGTGGAGTTCCTCTGTCGACGCTCGCTGCTCAGGACGGTGTGGGAGATCAAGCAGAGGACGCTCGTGGACATGGCGGTGGACCGCGGCTGCTTCATCGACCAGTCGCAGAGCCTGAACATCCACATGGACCAGCCTAACTTCGGCAAGCTTACCTCCCTTCACTTCTACGCCTGGACCAAGGTCGAACTCTCTCTCTCACACTCTCTCTCTCTCTCTCTCTCTAACCAGCTTCCTGGTTGTTGTTGTTGTTGCAGGGGTTGAAGACGGGGATGTACTACCTGAGGTCAAGGGCGGCGGCGGACGCCATCAAGTTCACCGTCGACACCTCCTTCCTGCAGGTGGGTGGGCTCTCTCTCCCTCTCTCACACACACACACACACTCTCTCTCACCTCGCTCCTACCTAAACTGATTATCTCTGTGGGTGGTGGGTGGCTCTCTCTCTCGCTCTCTGCACAGAGTAAGGGGGCGGCGGAGGTGGTGGCGGCGCCGGAGGACTTGGAGGTGAAGATGGCCCAGGTCGTCTGCTCCCTAGAGAACAGGGAGGACTGCATGGCCTGCGGCAGCTAGCTAGCTAGCTTACACGGCCCTTCACCACCACTTGGTGCTGAAAAACCCTGCTTCAAAACTTTCTCTACTGTATAAACAAGCAAGGGTTCGTATATACATATAAATATGGAGAGAGGGAGCGAGAGAGAGAGAGGGTAGTTAAGCTGGTGTTTTGGAGTCTTCATAGTTTCGAATAAATGGCGTCGCTATGGCTTCATCACTCCTCGCCTGCGACGTGGACATGGATTGCGGATATATATATATTGATATCTAGAAATATATATATAGTTGAATATTTATACTATGTAATAACATAGTGCATGGATCACAATATCTTATTATATATAATTTATCTTGGAGAGCACGGTCAAATCCAAGAGTGGTATGTAAATAAATCTATATATTATCTCCAATATTTCATCATATGAGAATCACTTTGTAAAATGATATAATATATGAACATCTTACGTAATAATACAAGGGAAAATAAATGGTATATGTTGGGAAATTTGATCAAACTCCAAAGTTGTATATATTAAGCTTAAATACTTCACTATATGAGAATCATATTGGGAAAAAATCCAATGTATGTGGCACAATGTCTTAATATGTAGGGTTTTAGGTTATAGTATAAGTCAGAAAGTTATGAAATTATTTTTCTTATGATACAGAATTTATGCAAGAATAAAAAACCAGCATGACACCATAGATGCTTGCACCTTCAAGATAGTTTCAGCATAAGAATCAGATGTTGTTTAGAGGAATGACTCCAATATAGTTGAGAATTCTTTGAATTATATGATTAAGATGTAAAAATTTATCTGTGTTTATAATTTATTTCGTTAATATATATATAAATTGATGTAATTTTCAGAAAATAAAGTTTGTTTTATTTACATTATTTTATTTATATTTCTTTGAAAGAAAAGGTAATGTGATTTTGAGTTATGATGGTTGAATAAATAAAATTAATATTTATAATTCTAGGATGATTTGAGACATTTAAATATATATAATTTTAAGGATTTTAAAAGATATTTTTCTAAATTTTTGTGAGTTTACCATGATAAATAATAGAAAAGAAATAATAAAAAGGGTAGGGGGATCCACTGGTCAGCCAGCACTCATAGTTGACTAGTAGGAACTCCTGTGGAATATAAGGTTTGATCTTGTCACACGTGTTATGATGTGGGGTCAGACCACTTGTATAACCTTCTCCTTGGATGATTTTGGCCATTTTATTTATGAGATAATAAATTATTAGTCAATAATAATTGAAAGATGTCAGAAAAACCGATGTGGGGCTAAAATTTTCACTACGAGGCACCAGTTGACCATTGACCCACTTGTCATCCGGGTTAAACTAACGACGATCCGAAAAAACTGTGTTTTTTCTCTGTGAATACTTGTCTAATTGATCTGAAATTTGAAGTGAAGCTCTAGGAGACGCTCCTGATCCACACCCTCATCGTCAGATCTCCCTCCTCCACTCTTACGCAGCTTGTGGTTCTCCCTCGCTGGCCCGGGATCTGTTCGACGGAATGCCTCTATGGAGCGTCAGCTCTTGGAACTCGATGATCGGTGGCTATTCTCAATCAGGGGACTGAAGAGGCACCTTCGGCTTGTTCGAGGAGATGCGGCGGCACCGCCTTGCGGCGGACAGGTTCACTCTGGTGAACCTCCTCTCGGTTTCTTCTCAGACCGGGGCGGAGCCTCCGATCGGGGAGGCTCGTGCACCACCACATCCTGGTTCACCGCAAGTCGCTGCATTTTCCTGGACACAAATATTTACTATTATTATTATTATTATCATTATTGATGAGCTCGCTGGCGGCGGGCAGAGGTTGACTGGCGTTTTACACGTGTTATCTGAAGCAGCTGACGTTGACCGCTCGAGAAAAACGTTGCCTCAGTGAGCACGCTCCTACCGACATTCTCCCCTCCAACCATTTCGCACGTGCTACCTCTCCGGGGCCACCACCTCTCATTGGCGGCGGCGGCGGCCTATTATAAGCCTCCCTCCGCCACCTCTCGCCATATCTCATCGCTAGCTCGGCTTCTTCCTTCCTCCACACCTTCTCTTCTTCTCTTCTGCTACTGCTGCTACTCCCCACTGCCCTGCTCCTCGTCGGGAATGGCGGCGAAGCTACCTACGGCGACGGGGACAGAGGCGGCGCCACCGCGGTACCTGCCCGTCGTCAGGCGCAGAAACTGCTGCTCCCTCGACCCCATCCCGGAGGAAGATCGCGCCCCCGGGGCCGCCGACTGGGCGCCCCCGCCGCCGCCAGAGAGCCTCCGACCTGCTTCTTCAGACAGGAACCAATGATCTCTCTCTCTCTTCTCTTAACCCATCTGACAGAAGACAATTTACAGTCTTCTCTCCTCTCTCTCTCTCTCACTATCTATCTATCTCTCTCTTCTCTCTCTACTGTAACCCATCTGACCGGAGACAATTTACAGTCTTCTGGCTCTCTCTCTCTCTCTATGGCAAGGAGAATATTCAACTGGAAATATTGGTTATAGAATGTGAAATATCTATCATAATGAAGGAAACAGTCTGTCATACATGGGATTATTGGCTGCAAGATGACCTACAATATAAATATAATGGTCATCTTTCAGAGCAGGCGAATGACCAGATGATTCTCTGCTCAACAATTTGATTAGAAAATAGAAAAAAAAAAAAAAAGCTAAAGAAAGGGCATGTTGGCACCATTTCTGGTGGTGGACGAGATGGGCAGAACTCTTTTTATCACACCGCTCATATCTCGGATTAGGCACCTTTCTTTCCTCCTAACAAGCAGCTCTGAACCGGCCGCCGCCGCCATGATCAGGGACCTCTGTGCATGCGGAAGCAGAGGCAACCCTGCTGCTGATCCGGGGGGATCATCCCTCCTCCCTTGGAGGTGTCTATGGCCTCTAACAACCCCACCACCTCGTCCATCTCGGGCCTTTTATCTGGGTTCCCATCCCAGCATCTCTTCATCACATTAGCCAACGAGCTTGGGCAGCACTTTGGAATCTCAGGCCTCAGATTCTGAAATCCAAACGGGTACAATTATTTATTTATTCACAACTCAAGATGCTGAAAATGGAAAGAATACTACTGGGGAGAATAGAAACTCACCTGTCGAACAACTGCTGATGAAATCTCTGAGAAGGTGAGATCAGGGTAAGGCATGTCACAGCAGTATATCTCCCACAGGCAGATGCCAAAGCTATAGACATCACATTTTCTGTTGTATGGGTTGTCATTGAGAACCTGAGATAGATTTGGGGCAAAGAAATCAGCGAGAAGAACTGGCCACAAGAGTGTTCTCTCATAGTAAATCTGGGACCAGTCAGTCAGCCGCTGCTTAAACCTGCAAGTTTCTCCTCTTTTTTTTTTTTCTTTTTTTTTTTTCTAATCAGATAGTGCAAGTTGAATGGATTTATCTCTTTCTCTCACATCTCTAATCAGATTAGTATCATCTCTCACTGCTAGCAATGATATTGAAAATATTCACAGGGAATCAATCTACCTCAGGTGCCATGTAGCCGAGAGTTCCTGTTTCTCCGGTCATCTCGTTGGGATTCTGGGCCTCAACACGGGCAACTCCAAAATCTGCAATTTTTACTGTTCTGGCCTTGTCCAAGAGCATGTTCTCCGTCTTCACATCCCGATGAACAATCCTCTGGGAGTGAAGATAACTAAGCCTAGTTGCAGCGAAACCCATGCCATTCTTATGAGATAAGATCCCACTTGAACTCGTAGGAAGAGTATATGAAACTAACAGCTTAGATAGAAGTGGGGAAGCTTACCCTCTAGCAAGGTCAAGGGCAAGTTGAACAACAACCTTGAAAACCAGCTTCCTTCTCCTGTTCTTAATAAGGTATGATTTCAATGTACCCCCTGGAAGATACTCAACAACAACACAGCAGAGATTGCTGGGCATCCCAAGTTGACCATTCTCAGTTTGGATAGTCACATCTCCCGTGCCCACAATAGCGCCTACAAACTGCAAAGAAAGCTTCAGATTTGTGACCTTTTCTAGGGGTATTTCCAATTCTGGAAGAAATATGTGAATAAAGCTCGTCCCATTACTGAAAAAAATTCAATATTTCACATAGAAATTAACTGGTAGATTGGGCAGTAACCACGAACCCACATAGCCCAGTCTTACTATCTAATGATGAACTTAGTAACAGTCATGGGGCTTTTCTATGTGCAATTTACTCAAACATAGGGATTTCTACAAAGCCCTCACTGAGAAGCAGCTTATACTGAGGATGAATACCTTTGTTACATTGGGATGATCAAGCTTATGCCAGACCGCAACTTCCTGGGTGAAGGCCACTCGAAGAGAAGCAACTTCTGCCTCTGTCTTGCTACCTTCTTCGCCCCAGTCCAGCAACTTGACTGAATAAGACATCTATGGTTAACATAATTACACACCGACAAGTTCCGGTATAGGATTTAATTTTAGCAATGGAATACAAATTAAATGTTAGGAAAATATGCTCCGTCAACAATAGAGGAAAAATTAGATCCAATTGGAATGAATCGACATAAAATCATCAAGGTAGGGATAAATATGTCGAATGGTAAGTTCTTACAAGAAACAAGGCACAAAAGGAAACAGATTTATAACCAAGAAAATAAACAAAAGTAACAAGATCCAGCCTTAACTATAGTGCATTAAAGCTAATGGCTCTCAAAAAAAGAATTAAATTCAGCAACGCAGTGATTCCAGCAAAATTGGGGGAATCAAAGCTACGATGCAGGATTAATACTCCAGAAAAAGGTTTCTCTCTCAACTTAAAAAACTAATTATTTAAGACTACAGGAGACTGGTATTCAGATGCACACAGAGCAGGCAAAGTACAGAGAGACGGTATATGTTTCCTTGTTTATTGATCTATGTAAGGGAGATCTGGCCAAAAGACTATGAACAAGAGGTGGAACTAGATATCAGCCTGACTATGGTTAGCGGGAAATTTATGAAATAAAAAATGTCCATTCATACGGAAGAAATGCAGATAGGAGGATCATTTCCAAAGAGGAGCTTTTATACATCAAGTGACACATGACATGAAAGGAAAAATCTAGAGAATAATAAACATATGGGTGGACACGGTACCCGCCAGCTAAGATAAGGAATAGACGTCTGATAGCAGGAAGCTTTACTTGAAGTCAATGTATCGGTGATCAGGAGGTCTAGAAAACTGGGGTCTGAATCATCAACAATTACCACTTCTGGTTCCGGGGCCAGGCAATATTGGCCCATTTGGTTCTCTCTGAGGTTCATAGGATGATTTTACTGCATAACACAGAACTTAAGTAATCATTTCTGTATAAAAATTAGTAAATACATTTTTTTGGCTTTTGGCGAAGGAGCCATTGTTAGTGGCATGCCTCTTCAGAAGGCATCTACCTCTTCACAGTCAACTCCTCCATGATTGCGCACAGTGAAAGACGCCCCCCCTCAAAAATCCTATAAGACTGAACAAGTGAAGCTTACATTCAAACTTCCAACCTAACTCAACATCGGTCATCTCACGAGTTAAAACCAAATTCCAATAATAAATATTATTTTATTCATCACTAATGATAAACCAAGGTGTGAAAAGAAACACAGAGAGGCACACATCACTCGAGTTCCTTGGCTGCTTCCTATTTAGAGCTATACGAATAATGAGATCATGGCAAGGATCTTTCACGTGGGTTTGATTAGTATAACTTCCCCGCGGCCCCACCAAAAATAAATAAAATAATTGCAACCATCAGTGTAACTTAAAAGTTCCTCAAGGCAACAACCAAGTAAAGATTAACAATATATTCCACACACAATAAGGTTCATTCTAAGCTTGATAATTACAAAAGCTCCTTTGAAGTGGAAATTTTCTTCTTTTATTTTCAATCAACTTATTGACGGGATCTTTGTTGAATCGACCAAAAAACTAGGATTCTAACTCCGTCGGGTACTCAAGTATTGTAATGACATTGGTTTAATCCCCACTGGTTACCAGCAACCACCCCCAGCTTGCTCATTAGATATATCGAGAACTCCGATTCCCTGAGAGTACCCAATGGACAATTAAAAAGCAAAGTATGTTGAAGAACATGCTACCTGAAAACTCATTGCCCCCAATTTGTAATTTTTAATTTGGAAAAAAATAATCGATCGTGAGCTTTCATCAATTTTTACATTTTCTGAAGGGTTTTGTGAATTAAAGAAACTGTCGTTTCTATTATAAACAATGCCTGGCTTTCTGCCGATGATGTAGTACCCCCATGAGATCACGTGATCAGGGATCAATGGGTGCTGGTGGGTATCACATGAAAGGTATGCAAAAGAAAACCCAGTGGGAAAAAGAAGTGAATAAAAGCCATTGAAACCATCCCCACTTGCCATTGTGGGACTCACGGGCTTCACAGGAGCAAGCTGATGGACAGGAGACAGCCATTAATGGGCCCGTGACTCCCCAAAAAGTTCAGAAGAGAAAGAGACGCGGAACGACAGAAGAGCGCGAGGAAGAAATACGAGAAAACTATAGCTAGATAATATCATCTCCCTGTTCTTCTCATCGAAATCCAAAGTACCTTCAGTTCTCATCGGAAGAGAATTTGGTTATCAATGAAAAACAAAGAAGAACGGAACAAATGGGTGGAAGTAGAAGAAGTTCTACGGACTCTCGTCTCCGCAACTGGGTTGAAGAGATGAACAAGAATGGTCCCGTCGATGGAACCAAGATGAAAGGAAAAGCCGCATGAACCGAAAGAGAAACCGTCGAGAAGTCAGGTTCGAACATGAAACCCATGAAAAACACAGTGGAAAAGAGTTCGTCCATCTCTCTCCCACCGGTGATCTCCAAGAATGTACGTGCATGCGGGCGTCAGGGGGACTCACCGGCGACGTCTTGGCCGTCGTAGACGCCCCGATGGACGGTGCCGAAGGTGCCGCGTGCGATGATTCCCTTGATGATCAACTTAGACGAATCGATCTCCCACTCCTCCCTCGCCTTGCCGGTGTCGCCGCTTCCCTCACCCTCCTCCTTCTTCTTCTCCATGGTCCAGACCCTGCTCAGGTGCCGCTCCAGCTGCTGGTCCAGGGTCTTCAGATCTATCTGGTCCGCCCTCACAAAGCCACCTCCGCCGCCGCCCTTCATCGCCCCCCGGGGAGATCGTAGGCCCTTCCTTCCTTCCTCGCCGGGCCGGTTTCCGCCGCCGCCGTCGTCTGGTGGCGCTAGGCAGTGGGCTATTGCCTGTGGGTGGCTACTCTTCTATCCCTCTCTCCTCTGCGGCCCTTCGTCTTCCCCTTTTTCTCCTCCCTCCTCTTCCTTCCATGGAAATCCATGCGAGCACATGGGAAGCCTACGTATCCCCCACCCTTCCCCCTTCTTCTCCCCTGCTTATTTTTTTCTTAAAGTAACGGAATAAATAACGGCTATCTTAAAGATACCAAATTATTCCCGTCCTTTTCTAATTGCTGACGCGGCAAGATCCATGACACCAATCAATTTAATTTTATATTTTCTATTTTCTATTTAGTTTAAAGTTTATATATATATATATATATATATATATATATTTAATTCCGGAACTTTATTATTTCCTATCATTGCTTATTTACCTACTGATGTTAGCAAGTAGGGAAAAATAACATATACGTGGATTAAAGTGTAAATGCTTGGCAGGTACATATTCGGCATAAAAATTAAGTAAAACGATATCAACTAACGTGATTAAAAAAAATCAAATATATATAAATATATATATTATTTTACATTCTTAGTTGGATGATGTTGTCTTTTAATTTCCCTTCTTATTTTATCCCACATATATATTATTACTAACTTACGTGTTCACATTCATCTAACCCTTTTAATGCGTTGAATAATTTTTTAATCCATAATTGCATTTATCTTGGTATAAGATTTGTTGCATGTATATTTATTTATTTATTTATTTATACATGGATTTAAAATGTAAACACACATGTAAGTGTCTATTCTCAAGAACAATGAGTAGAGATAAAGATACCCAATTATAGGAGTAATTAAATACTTTAAAAAAACATGTTTATGTCTCTCCATGTTTGATGCACCAACCAGAAAAAAAAACGATATTTTGTTATTGATCTAATCAAAGTCTATGTACTAATCTTTGTCCCACATTCATGAGTTACCATGCCCATCTCCATAATTAATACATTTAATATGGAAAATGCCTTGAATGTGTATGAGATAATTAGAATGCAAATAACTTTGGTAAGCATTAATTCATATTAAATTTTATTTTTTTTTAAAAGATACGTATATACCCACTTTAAGAGTAATTAAATACTTAGAAAAGCATTTTTATGTCGTTCCATGTTTGATTCACCAACTAGAAAATAGAATGATCTTTTGTCATCTATCTAATCAAAGCCTGGTTACTAATCTTTGTCCCATATTCATGAGCTACCATGCCCATCTCCATAATTAATACATTTAATATGGAAAATTTCATGAATGTGTATAAGATAGTTAGAATGAAAATAAATTTGGTAAGCATTGATTCATATTAACAATTTTTTTATTAAAAAAAAACCAACGATATATTCTAAGGTGCCAAAGTGCCAAAGCCACCTTCCACTCACGTCGATCCCCTCATCCTCCCAATCTTTCCTAACAAACCGTACCACTAAAATTTCCTCCCTCTCACGCTTCATTTTTTTAATTTATGGGGATTCCATTTATTTTACTGTAATGAATAGAACCTACCCTCCTTTTCTGTTTGTATTCAAAAGGGCCCCATCAATGATCGGGAAAGAGAGAGAGAGAGAGAGAGAGAGAGAGAGAGAGAGAGAGAGAGAGAGAGAGAGAGATCTTATTCTAGTATAGAAGCTGGGTGGTCTTCTTCTTCCTGAAGAGGAAACGCTAACAGGAGAGAGAGAGAGGACGACGAAACATGCCGCTTTATTCTGATGAGGTTCTCTCTCCCCAACCCCGCTGCTCAGAGGTACTGGGGAGCCAGCTGGCCTTCCTTCACGATGTAGTTCTGGGGGAGGAAGTCCTTCCCCTTGAAGTAGCAGTCCAGCATCTCCTTCACTCCCGCAGAATACCTCACCTGCTCCATTCCAATTCCAGCGGAAAAATGAGCAGCAGTAGCAGCAGCAGTTCATTGCTTACCGGACATATCTTTCGATGAAGGTGGTGAGATAGATAGAGGAGAGGGAGGGAGGAGGAGACTTACCTGAGCGTCAATGGTGGTTCCGGAGATGTGGGGGGTCATGGCGTGGTTGGGCATGTACCTCCATGGGTGGTCCTTGGGAGCTGGCTGCGGGTTCCACACGTCTCCACTGTAACCTGCGGGCGCCGCCATCTCCAGTCAGATGTCGACCGATTGCTGCTGGTTCCGGCCGGCGGCGGTGAGCCGGCGGCGGTGAGGGGAGGGGAGGGGAGGGGAGGGGAGAGGAGGATTGACCTGCGATGTGTCCGCTGACGCAAGCGTCTGCAACAGCCTGAGTGTCCATGATCGCTCCTCGGGCGTTGTTGACGATGAGAACCCCCTTCTTCATCTTGGCGATTCTCTCCTTGTCGAACAATCCCCTGGTACGCAGGGGAAAGATTAGTCAGCAGGTGCAAGAAGATCAGCCAGTTCTTGATTCCACGCCCACAAATTAGGCGAGTCAACTCCAACTCTCACTTGATTTTTCTGGCGTTTGCCTGTCAAATCAAATCGCATACATCTCTAAAAACCCTGCAAAACCCTGCAAATCGAATTCAACCTGCAGAACCATGGTAGCTTCTCTCTCTCTCTCTCTCTCTCTCTCGCTGTGGATCTGGTTGGGGAGGAGTTACCTGGTTTTCTCAGTGAGGGGAGTGTTGACGACGACGACGTCGCATTTGGGGAGCATGGCGTCGAGGTCTGGCTCAAACTTGGCCCCCGTCGCCGCCTCCAAATCGGGCTCCATCTTCAACCGGTCATGGTAGAGGAGGTTGCAGCCGAAAGGCTTCAATCGCTGGAGCAGAAGCTTCCCAATGCGGCCGGCGCCTACAGTACCGACCGTCTTTCCTTCCAGATCGTAGGCTCTATGAGCGATCCCGGAGACGTTCCACTCCCCCTTGACGATCTGCTGGTATCCGGGGACGAAGTTGCGGACCAGGAGGAGGATCCTCATGACCTCGTCCTCTGCAACAGATACCACATTGCTGCCAGTGACCTCCGCCACCGTCAGTCCGGCGGCCGCCGCTGCCCTCAGATCGATGTGATCCGATCCGATCCCGGCGGTGAGGAGCAGCTGCAGGTTCTTCGCCATCTTGATCCTCTCCGCCGTGACGTAGGCCGGGTGGAATGGCGTCGTAATCAGGACGTGCATATCTGAGATGTGCTTCTCAAGCTCTGCTCGGAAGGGATCATCAGAGAGTGTGGATCAGAGAGGAAGACGAAGGTCGAGAAAAACCTAGGTGCGTTGGAACACTTAACCGACCACAGTTAGGGCCTTCCTTGTCATCAGTGACGATGTACTGATGACCTTGCGATTCCAACCATTCCCTTATCCCCAAGCTCCGTTCGGCACATCCGAGAAAGTTAGGGTTCATCGATGCGTACTCATTGGCCTTGTAGAACACACCGACGATCTTCTTGCTCCCGGGAGTGGCCTGCGAAGGCAAGGAATCAAACTACCTCCACAACAACCAGTACTATATCTCCTTGGGAGAAAATGCGGAGCGGATCGGATCAAGCGCTTCGTAATTATTCACCAGGCTAATCAAAATCGAGCTATTCCAGGAGATCAGGACGGCATCGAAACACGTCAAATCGGGATCGAGAACCGCTGCAGTTGAGGATCGGCTCCTAAGATTCAAAAAAGTGGAAGCGAAAATTTGCCATCACCGGACCACACAGATCGGACAACGAAAGCGTGCCATCTTCCAAGAGTGATTCTCAGACAGGACGGCACTCACTCATGCCATCGGAAGGAAGCCAACCCTAAGAGAAAGCGGGAAGGAAGAACAACAGCTAAATCGAAGGGAAATCATCATCCATGGCGGCAGACAACCGATAACGAAATCAAACACAGGAGAAAAAACCAATGGCATGAATCAATCACATACGTGGAGCTGCCGCGAGAGGTAGCTCGCCGGATAACCAGATCCCAGAGCTCCCCTCGCCTTCCCGAGTGCTCTCCTCATCGCCATGTCTCTCCTTCCCACCACGACGACTTCCACGAGAAAGAGGACCCTCAGTGAGATGTGCCTATCCGAAGGGCTTATAGAGGTATTTAAATGGATTGCCACGCGGCGCGGAATGAGGCAACTGACTAGCCCACGTAGGATGCGCGCAACGTGCGAACGTCTGATTGGAAGCCTTTTGTCCACATTTACCTGACAAAGTTGACCAATGAGGGACCTCCACGGACGGCGGCTCCCACATGCTTTCCATCTCTCATCTGTCTGACCTCACAATATCTGTGGATTGAGGAGCACAGATGACGTCAGCAACATGCCATGGTGGCCCCGCGCAGGTGGGGCCCACAACATGTCATTCAAGATCGAATGAGGGAGTGGGGCCCACAAGGATCAGATAAAAGAAATTAGGATAACCTTCAACCATAGTTAATTATCACCGTTAGGATAACCTGAGCTGAAGGATATAAAAAAAAGGGGGATAAAGGAGTTGACCTAAACGAAGTTGACTTTGGCCGAAGGACCAGAGCCATGACACTTGTTCGCGTCGGGTCAACAGGAGGGATAAATCCACATCAATTGGCGGCAGAATGAAGCCGATATTTAATCGGCTAAAAAAAGGAAAAAGAGAAGTGAAAGCTCCCAACATCCACCCACCATCGGAGTTCCTCACAATCGAAGGTCAACGCGGGAACCTTGGAAGCTCCGACGGATGAGACCCAAAAAAATATTGCGGCGGCGGATGAAAGAGGAAGGAAATCATCCGACGGACAGGATTGTCTTTATCAGGAAGTCAAACATCTCGTCCCTCGCCAACATGCTGACCCTCACGTACCTCCGGTCAGCGCCGAAATGCGCGCCGCCCCTCGTGCGGATCCCGAGGCTCTTGAGGAAGCTCTCGCAGTCTTCTGCATCCTCTCTCTCACATTTCAGCCACGCGAAAGCTGGGGACACAATTATGAACGTAAGTTGCAGGAAAATCAGAGAAGTATAACAACATGGGAATTAAATAAAATTCAGGGGGATTATGCGATCTGATGATTTTAGGAGGACTTTCATGACAAGCGCTAAGAAACTTGAAGCAGCTCGTCCCAATGGAGAAAAATATCTCGGATGAAATAAATAGAAAAAAATCAACTCTATATATAAATCTGGGGGAGATCAGATCGAAGGCCTAAAAATTTTAATTTCCTAAAAAGGAAATATTAAGATTATAAAAAAATAATATCAGTTGACTTACCCGGATGAAGCCCTGACTTTTCACCGGAGAACCGACAGAGGGGTGATGGGAATTCTGGTAGGCTGAAGGAGGAGGCGCTCTCGACGGCCTGCCGGAGCCGCCGCCACCTCGCCGCCATGACGCAGCGGCTGTAGCTGAAGAACCTCTCCTCCACTGGCGGCGGGCTCGCAGCTTCATAGCTGTCAGATATGGTGCCCATTATCTTGGCGGCTCGGAGCTGAGAATCCTTGGACACGCCGATGGTGTTAAGTTCTATGAACTTGGTCATCTTCCTCGCAACGTCTTCGTCCTTCACCAGCGCCCACCTGCTTCTCCACAACACACGGAATCGACACAGACCAGATGAGATTACATGCAGGTCAACGTGCTTAGATAGGTAAGATGAAGGCAGATCTTGGGAACAGATCCCAATGAACCAGTGAAGAACAATCATGCGTAAAATAGGTAAAGATGAAGCAATGTTCTTGGAAACCGATCAAATTACGGTAGAAAATAGACAGATTATGACCGGAAAAAAAAGATGATGGAGGCATCTAAGAATCCAATCCAATGAATCAGTCAAGAACAATCATATGTAAAATAGGTAAAGATGAAGCAATCTTCTTGGAAATCGATCAAATTACTGGTAGAAAATAGACAGTTTGCATGGCCAGAAGACGATGGTGGCCTTTAAAAATCCAATCCACTGAACCAGTCAAGAACAATCATGCATAAAAGAGGAAAATATGAAACAATTTTCTTCGAAACCGATCAAATTACTGGTAGAAAATGGACATAATTTGCATGGCCCGAGAGAAGATGATGGTGGCCTCTAAAAATCCAATCCAATGAACCAGTCAAGAACAATCATGCATAAAAGAGGAAATATGAAGCAATTTTTCTTCGAAACCGATCAAATTAGTGGTAGAAAATGGACATAATTTTCAGGGCCAGAAAGAAGATGATGGTGGCCTCGAAAAATCCAATCCAATGAACCAGTCAAGAATCAAGAATCATGAATAAAATACCCGTAAGATGAAGGAAAAGATGGCAGCTTTTCTCAAGATCTTGACTGAAGGAGAGAAGGGCTAGAGTTACCCGATGCGGGTTCCGGCATGGCCGGTGAGCTTGGAGAAGGTGAAGAGCATGATCTCATGGTCGGCCTCGTAGGTGATGGCGGTGTACTGCGGCCAATAGTACGCAAGGTCGTTGATTACTCGGCCCTTCTCTTCCCTAAGAACAGCTCGATTAAGAAACCCATCTGGATTGTTTGGGGTGCAGACGACCTCGATATAGGGAGCATCCCCACGGAAGGCTCGGGCATCGCCGGCCCACCTGTACAGCCCCGATCGAAGATATTCCACTACTGCCGGATAATACTGCAGAGTGATTTTATGACTATCATGGATGGTTGCCCACTTGATGATTCATAAAGATTATTGATTTGCAGAATGTTAGTAAATCGATAGAATTGCTCGGATTAAATCCTTGGAAAAAAATGGGATTTTTTTTTTGTCCCGGATTGGAGGGACCCATGATCTCCAACCAATTTTAGTGACTGCAGATGGATGATACGATTATCATGGATGATACAGAACAATTATAGAATAGATCGGATTAAATCCTGCAATAAAAAGGAAATTTTGCTTTCCCCAAATCGGAGGGATCCATGATCTTCAATCAAGTTTAGTAAATGCAGAGAGATTATGTTAATATCATGGAAGGTCGCCCACCGGGTGATACAGATAAATTATAGAATAGCTAGGATTAAATCCTTCAAAAAAAGGAAATTTTGTTTTCCCCAGATCGGAGGGACCCATGATCTTCAACCAAGTCTAGAAAGCATCAAAGGTTGGGGAAGACAGATAATGGCGATCAGACTGCGACGGTTCCTGCTGAGGATGATGAGTCTGCTGGTTCTAGCAGCAGGAGGAAGAAGAAGAAGAAGAAGAAGAAGAAGAAGAAGAAGAAGAAGAAGAAGAAGAAGAAGAAGAAGAAGAAGCAGAAGAAGAAGAAGAGAGAGGAGAATTCGAGGGAAGGATTACCGAGTAGTACGGCGCCGCCGAGACGACGTTGATGGGCTCGCCGGCGTCCGGCGGCGAGAGGGCGAACAGCGCCGCCTGGAAGAGCTGCGTAGAGCCGACCCCGACGACGATGTGCCAGCCGGCGGTTCTCGCGTTTCCGACCAGCTTGTGCAGGCGGACGATCTCCTCCGCCAGCTTCGGCTCCATGAACCAGCACACGCCGGCGCCGGAGGACAAGTAGCTCATCCCCTGCCACGCCGGGATGACAACGGCGGCATCGCCGGCGATGCTCCTCCAGTACTCCTCAAACATAGTGGGATCCCCCCTGCCGCAGAAGATAAACACATCACAGAAGCCTGAGGAGGAGGAGGAGGAGGAGGAGGAGGAGGAGGAGGAGGAGGAAGAAGATGAAGAAGAGCTTACTGTTCGAGATTTATGGGAACAGAGTTGCCGTCGCCGTCGCTGGAGAAGGGGGGAGGGGGGGAAGGAAGCTCCGGCGAGGCCTCTCCCATCTGGGTTTCTCTCGCCGGAGAGGATCCGTTGAAGGCGACGAGATTGACAGAGATGGAGAGGAGGCTGATGACGACGGTTGTGTAGAGCAGCGCCGGGGAGGTCCCCCGCTGGGGACTAGAACCGTGTTTCTCCCACTCGCCGCCCCCGCCCCCCCACCCCCCACTCACTCAAGCTTTTCCGTACCTCGTATTTTCTATTCTCTCTCTCTCTCTGCTAGTCTGTGTGCAGAGCCTCAGGTTTCTCTCTCTCCCTCTCTCTCTACTCTGCGTGCAGGCCCATCAAGTTTCTCTCTTTCTCTCTCCCTCTCTGCTGCCTTACGTGCAGACCCCTCAGGTCTCTCTCTCTCTCTCTTCCTTTTCCTCGGGTTTCTCTCTCTCTCTCGCTCCCTGTCTTCCAGTACCCGGCGGCGGAAGCAGCAGCAGCTTGCTTCTCCCCGCTTACGCCGCCGGACTCTTCGTCAAGAACGCCAGCCAACCCCGAGAGGTTCCGCCAGGGGCGGTCCCCGTCTTCCCCACCTCAGTTGCAGGAGGAGAGAGAAGTCAGAGCGAGAGACAGCGAGAGAGAGAAAGCTTCACCTCGGCTTTCCCCTCGGGTCCCCTCATCCTCTCTTTCTCTCTCTGCTTCCTCGGGATGGGGTGCCTGCTTTTGCTTTTCTCGATGGCAAGACGCTAACCCTATAAGGGAGTTTTAAAACCCTAATGGCCTTCACTGAGATGCCCCGCCATTACCGGAGCTTCGAACCATCCAAGTTGAAGGGGAGAAGATCTGGTGGGGACAGCCGCCCATCCTTTATTCCCGCCCGCCGCGCCGCCGACTCTTCACATCCCCTTGCTCTCTAGTTTACCACCTCCTTGCTTCTTTCCTTGGAGTGCTGACCTCTCATCAAGGTCAATGCTTGTCAGTCGTAGAGACAGCAGCGGCGGTACATATATCTTTCTCCCTCTCTCTCTCTCTCTCTCTCTCTAAATTATGGGAGTGATTTGACGAGCAGATCGGATGGGCACGTGGGAGAGGGGCGGAAGAGAGGCCCACGGCGAGGATGGCGACACGTCGTGTGACGTTGACTAACGAGGTCAGAAACCGGGACCGCAAAAGGAATGGCGGCGGTCCCACCTCTCCCCCGAGTGGGCCTCACTCGCTCTAGTGGTGTCTTCCCCCGAGTGGGGCCCACCGTGCCGTGGTGACAGTTCAGTCCCTTTTGGAAGTGAAGGTCCACCGGCTCAGCAGGACCCACCGCGCACTCTGCCGTCCATCAGATAAATTTTCATACATGCACGTCTAGTGAGAGAGAGGGAGAGAGAGAGGTTAATTGAACGTAGAAAAACTTGACCTATGTTTAATTGATTCCAATTATTAATTCAGAGAGAGAGAGAGAGAAATACTTTTGGAGAATGCATTAAGAAAAACCAAGGATCTGTGGCCTACGGGGTTTTCTTCTTCAAATTGAATATGAGAGAGAGAGAGAGAGAGAGAGAGAGAGAGAGAGAGAGAGAGAGAGAGAGCGACTTTAGATAATGCATTAATAAATAGCCAAGGGACTATATTCTACCAGGGTTTTCGTCTTAAAATGGCATGAGATAGAGAGTGAGAGAGAGAGAGAGAGAGAGAGAGATTTAAGGGGATGAATTGAAAAATGCCAGCAAACTGTTCGACAGGGTTTATTTCTTAGGACATGAGAGGGAGAGGGACAGGGGGGAGAGAGAGAGTTTAGATAATGCATTGAAAAATGGCCTAGGTACTATAGTCTACCGGGTTTTCTTCTTAAAAGGACTTGAGAGAGGGAGAGAAGAGACTTTAGGGGAATGCAATCAAAAAATCAAAGGAACTATATTCTACGGGAGGGTTTCTTCTTATAACAGTATTAGCGAGAGAGAGAGAGAGAGAGAGAGAGAGAGAGAGAGATTTAGATACTGCATTGAAAAATAGCATAGGAACTATATTCAACCGGAGTTTACTTCTTAATAGGGAATGAGAGAGAAAGAGAGAAGAGACTAATACATTCTTAAAACAGCATTAGAGAGAGAGAGACAGACAGAGAGGAGACTTTAGGGAATGCATTGAAAAACGGCAAGGAACTATATTCTTAAAACGGCATTAGAGAAACAGAGACAGAGACAGATGAATTGAAAAAAGCCACCTAACTATTGTACAGAGTTTATTTCTTGGAAGGGCATGAGAGAGAGAGAGAGAGAGAGAGAGAGTTTAGAGAATGAATTGAAAAAATCCAATGAACTATTCTTGTGGGTTTACTTCCTAAAAGGGCATGAACGAGAGCGAGATAGAGAGAATCAGTCCAAGCCATTTCTTCCGTCCCTTCTTCATTCTCTTCTTTTCTTCCCCACAAAATCATCCTTTTTTTTTAACTTCTATTTTCATCTTTCTCTCTCTTCGGTATAATTTTCTTTCTCTCTCCCCTTTCGAGAGAAGATTTCCAACTCCACCATCATCGGAATAAAATCAATAAAAAAAAATCTGCATTATGGGTGAAAAATGTACACGCCTACCAAGAAAAGAAGACAAGCAAACATCTAAAATCAGACAGACAGAGATGCGGCGTTGACATTCGGGAAAAAAAATACAGGAAAGCAGAAGAGGGCTGAGGGTTGACTTCGCACCTCCAAGGGCCCCTCTCTCTAGTTCTTCCTCCCCCATGAGGAGATAGTAGAAGGCGGAGGAAGATGGTTCATCCTGTTTAACCTATAAATCTGGCAAGCAAGAACCCCATCTGGAGAATAGGTACAGAGGCAACAGACAGGCTTCGCAGGCAAAAATTTAGAACTTGGAACCCCATCAAGTTTTTTTTTTTTTTTTTCTGCGGAGAACAACAGGAAAGAAGGTACAATAAATGTTAGAGTGTAGACCTCAGGAGATGCGGCGCGTAGGGTGGTCGGATTGAGAACTGGAGCCGCAAGGCCTGCAGGTGGGGAGGGGGGATTCAACAATAATGGGTCAGAATTTCGGATCGATTTGATGAAGAATTGATGCACACAGGAGGAATCGGAAGAGATTTGGTTAGATTTTATTTCCAAGAGTTTGGTGCAAAGCTGCGGGTGATGAGCATGAAAATGAGTATGCAGATATTAATGGAGCCATGGTCAGGTCACAGCAGATCTGCAAAGATATACACCCTCTCTCTCTCTCTCTCTCTCTATCTCCATCTCTCTGGCTTGCTCGCTCTCTAGAAGATGGGCATGCAGATATTGATTGAACCACCTTCAGGTCAGAAACAAATCCACAAAAAGATATGCACCCTCTCTCCTCACTAGAGAATGGGCATGACGGTATTGATTGAACCATCTTCAGGTCAAAACAAATTTACGAAAAATATACACCCTCTCTCTCTCTCTCTCTCTCTCCCCTCACTAGAAAATGGGCATGACGATATTGATTGAACCATCTTCAGGTCAAATCAAATTTACGAAAAATATACACCCTCTCTCCTCACTAGAAAACGGCCATGACGATATTGATTGAACCATCTTCAGGTCAAAACAGTCTAGGAAAAATATACACCCTCTCTCTCTCCTCACTAGAAATGGGCATGACGATATTCATTGAACCATCTTCAGGTCAAAACAAATCTACAAAAAAATATACACCCTCTCTCTCCTCACTAGAAAATGGGAATGCAGATATTGATTGAACCATCTTCAGGTCAAAACAAATCTAGGAAAAATATACACCCTCTCTCTCTCTAGAAACAAATGGTATTAAAGTCCCTTACTCTACCTTTTAAGCGTCTACAAAGCGCAGTTACAGGTTTCGCAAGCAAAATAGCCCAAAACACTTCCAACCCAGGCTCATTCCACAGAGAAATCAAAAGGCCACACATGGAAACCAAAACACAGCATCTAAAGCCATACCTCATTCCGCCAGACCAACATCGGCATGATCCTCAACGACTGGAGCATCAGGCTGGGGAGGCCTCTCTTCGCACTCATTAGAGAGAGGACTAGAGGGAGAAACCCGTGCCAGATTATCTGCTGGGAGCCCTCCAGCACAGTCTCTCTGTTCTGTCTGCGCACACTCTCCGCCGTCCATGCCACCTCCACCCTCAGGGACGGCGATGCTATTTTGGGTTCCCGAGATCAAGGAAGATGAACCAGACGCATCAGAGGGTCCCTTCGAAATTTTACTCGTGGAAATTTCTCCAGCGTTATGAGCGAAGTTGGAACTGGATGTGGGAATCAGCCAGGCGAACTGCAAGCTATGGCCTTGCCAGGAAATTGCAGAGCTGAATGCTTTCTCAGCAGAGCGCCGAGTTGTGAAGGTTACTAGGGCTGAGCGATTTGATGAAGCCACTGAGCCTGAGTCACACGGTTCTGTCTCTGAGGCATCGAGCTCAATCCCTGCAAGGTCGCCGAACGCTGAGAAATGCTCTTTCAGAGCAGCAACCTGCATTACGTAGATTGGAATAAGCATCTTCTTGACCAGATGAGACGGGGTATTCATCTCTTTAAATGAGAGAATTAAAATAGCATGATGTGAAATAATCAAAGAAAAATCAACATCAATTTATCCTCCGTTGATAGTTCAACGGTTAAAATGAAATGGATAATCCAATCAAGTCTCCAAGCATCAAAATTTGTGCAAGTATCAACAACCCTCTGGCAGAAGACGCCCGCAGGCCTGGAACTTGAGAGAAAACACCACAAGATATCCACTGGTGAAACTCAAACATAAGCTGCCCCACTAGCTGAAATTCCTTCAAGTTCAAGCACCCTACCAGTAGGTGAAAACTTAAGGTGACCATAACCAAAACAGATTTTTTTATTTAAAAAAAAAAAAAACCAATCCTGCTAGTGACCTCCAATCCTTCCAAGTTCAAGACAGGCTGGCACTGTATTACGAACTTGTACCACTAAAAATGGAATGAAAAATCATTAACTCCAGGGACTAGGTCCAATTGTTGTAGTGCTTGCCTCTTATGTACCCAAAATCAAAATGGATCACAGAATTACGAATAAAGGGGTCAGCGAATGTCACCAAGCAGTTTCATTTGAGGTTGGTCAACATCCAGTTCAAGACGTTATGCGCACGATATTTATGTGTAAATGATGCACGCATGCTAAGATACATGCTCGTTAGCTTCTTGATCAGTGCATCTCTAATTTGCATGCACATTTCTGTAAGAAACGGCGGCCATCAAATAAGCATTTAACAAGATAGCAGTTTTGTAAGCGGCAGAATCAAGACTAAGCCAAAAGATCAATTCAGTTTCTTTTGGCGAACGAAAATATGTTTGATATTCTAAAAATTGGGAACACTCAACAGGTTTCAAAATTGCATAAATAAAAGACTTCTCGTTGACGTTTGTTATAGAACGCAGACTAAAAACTCTGCTTGGATTATGATTCATACACACAGTCCCAAGCCAGGACAAATCAGTGGGCATCAGGGAAGGAAACTGCTACATTTATTACATGTCTGGTTCCATTGATACAAGATTACCTTTTAAGACTCCTAATCAATCCGTCCCGAATCGTGGAAATAATCATTTGGGGTTTCAGAAAATGAAGGAAACGAGAAAGATGATGATGATGATGGTGGTGATGATGTTGAGAACGACAGCAGTAAGGAACCAAGTACAATCGAAGGCAAATTGAAATAATCAAAAATTAAAGTCTAAGAAAGTTTAGACACGTCCTGCTCATGAATAAGTGAGTCTGCCAGTCTTAGTATGAAAATGAATCTACGAACGAAGGCAGCAATGATATGACTTACACTTGCAAGATCATCTGGCAGTGGTGAAATAATTTTAAAAGCAGTAGGCCGGTTGTCTATCTTGAATCTATTTGCATACAATCCTGGCGAATGACCTGCCAGTTTCAAGCTCCTCGGTGACTGTTGAACCAATGTCATGCTGAGTTTTGAACTGGGTGAGACAATTGTCTCCCTGGAACTTCCTTTATCCTGTGGCTTTTCCGGTTCCTGGTGTCCTCCAACAATATTACTATTGGCAGGGCGAGGGGTTGAGGCTTTTGTAACTTCAGCATCCTCATCCGTTTTAAGTTTTTTGGCTGGTCGTTCAGTCACCACTTCATTCTTGTTAATTGAGAAATTCTGCAATACGAAAACATGTACAGAGAAAACTGAAAACGAAGATCTCAACTGAAAAAAAATTCTTCAAACCAAATTGTCTCTTCCGAAAATTTAACAAACATAAGAAGAAACTTCTCCGTATTGAAAAAAAGAAAGCACAGGAATAGGGAAAGTTATTAAGCTCATCAAGATAATCACAACTAGCTCGAAAACAAATGAAACTATAAAATGATTAGAGAAATGGAAATCTACGTAAGAAGGCAAACAGCAAAGAAAAAAGTGGTCCATGAATGCATGTAGTGTTGAAACTCATATAATATTATGTATGACTTTAGAAAGCATAATTACACAATGAGTGTTTTCAAAAAAAAAAATCCGCCTTACTTTCACAAAATAAGTATCATAACCAGAGGATATATAACCACAGTTATATAATTTTCTGTGGGAACAGAGCAGTTCACTCTAGTACAATGGGTATGGTATATAATAAACCAGATCTGAGCAAGATTTAATGTACATAAATCTACTTTCCTCCACACTCACCAAATGTCTTCTTCACATACTCTCCTTATCCAAAAAGTAGAAAAATATTATTTGACGATCATGGATTCAGGAGCTACCAATCACATGACACACGCACCAAATTTCTTCACATACTCTCCTTTTCCAAGCAGTAGGAAAATAGTCATGACAGATCGTTATTTGACCACTGTAGCAGGAGTAGAAGATGTTAAAATAAGCCCTTCGTTGACCTTAAGAAATGTTCTTCATATCTCTAAATTCTCCACAGACCTTATGTCCATCCAAAAATTTACTCGAGATTTCAATTGCAAAGTGGGTTTTCCATCATGTTATGTATGTCATGACAAGAATAAAGGGAGGAAGATTAGACATGCTAGAGAACAAGATGGACTCTACTACCGTGAAGTACTAAGCTAGTCAAACACAAAGGGCGATCTACCACATTCTATTGAGCTTCCTTCATCTAATAAGGAGATATAGTTTCACCATCACCAACTTGAACATTTGTCATTCAAGATTATTAGAATTATATTTCCTTTTTTTATTTCAAGGCCTAAGATTTTCATTGTGATGTGTGCAAACTTGTTAAACACAAACATGTACCTTTTTCAGTTAGTAATTAAAGTTCTACTTCTTTATTTTGTATTTATAGTGATATTTGTGATCCTCCAATGGTTCATAATGTTTATCGGGCTAGATGGTTTGTGGCATTTATTGATGATTGTACTCATGTTACTAGGATTTTTCTGCTCAAACATAAATCTGATGTCAGTACTATTCTCCCAAAGTTTTCTTCCACGATTAATAATCAATTTGAAGTCAATGTCAAAGGATTTATGTCAAATAACGCCAAAGACTATTTCAATAAAATCTTAACTTCACACTTTCCAATATAAGGGATAGTAGAAAAAAAGAGTCGTCATGTGTCAATACACCACAGCAAAGAGAAGTAGAAAAAAAGGATAAATGGTCGTCCTCTTGAGGTAACCCCGGCCCTTCGTTTTCAAAGCAATGTGTCAAAGAAGCAATTCTTAATGACCACTCATCATAAATCGTTTGCCATCTAGACTCTTACGATTTATGAGGCCAATGGAAACGTTATTATTATTCTATCCAAAGCTACAAATCACAAATAATCTTCTCCCCAGGAAAATTGGATGTTTATCATTTTGTTCATATTATTGGTCAACATCGGGGGGGGACTTGCTAAACACAAGCGTGCATCTTTGTGGGCTATTCTCCAACCCATAAAGTGTACAAGTGTTATCACTCTCCATCCAAGAAGTTTTTGCCACAATTAATGTCACTTTCAATGAACAAGAGTCTTACTTCACCAGCCTTATATTTAGTGGGAGAATTTAATCAAAGAAGAGAAGGGTGGAAATATTTTATCCCCCCTGTCGTCACTCCCTTTGTCTTTCCCATTCTTCTGTCCAAGCATATATTCGTGTGCATGACAAATCTTGAACCTGTATCTGAGTTCATGCCAAATCCTGAATTTGAAACTTTAGAAAACCCTCGAGGAACTTCTAACTCTAACCTTGAAAATGTGAGATTTGGTAAAGGAAAGGTGATTTCAAAGAAGAAGACAGTTGTTCCTGAATCTATGCAAACTCTGAGAATCCACTATGAATCCTAAGAATAAGGTACAAATTTATAATCCTTCATTACAACCTGAATTTGAATCTCATATGAGCAATGATGACAAGGATCTTCCCATTGCCCTCGGGAAAGGAGCCACACCATCACTATCCATGTTACAAAAGAGATAGAATGCACAGAACGAACTTTATATTATCTTGCATACTTCATTTCTTATATATCATCTCATAATCCATTCTTTGTTAGTTTATACACAATTGTTATCCCTACCATCTTATCCGAGGCTTTGTCTAATAAAGAATGGAAACAAGCTATGAATGAGATGGAGACATCACAGAAGAACAAAATTGGGAATTAGTAAGACTGTCAGAAGGAAAGAGACCATTGGGCTGTAAATGGGCCTATACAGTGCAATACTGAGCAGATAGGTCTATACAGACAGATACAATGCAAACTTAGTCGTCAAGGGTTATAATTAGACCTACTGAATTGATTACCTAGGGATTTTTGCGCTATTTGCGAACATGAATATTTTCAGAACCTTATTGTCTTGAGTAGTAACTTACCGTTGAGAACTGCAAAAGTTTGATGTTAAAACTGTATTTTTGCACGGTGAACTAGAGGAAAAATTATATATGAATGTCCTACCAGGTTATGGAAATAATTTAGTTGCTCATATGGTGCAAAGTGAAGAAAGTCTTATATGAATTTAAGCAATCACCTCATGCATGATTTGTTAAATTTACAAGATCATGATTGGCATGGGGTACACACAAAACCAAGGAGATCACACACTGTTCATTAAACATTCATATTCAGGGAGAGTCACAACACTATTCGTATATATTAATGACATAATTGTGACGGGAAATGATGATAAAGAGAGAGAATATCTGAGTCCATGTTTGACTAAGGATTTTGAGATCAAAACATTAGGGAGGCTGAAATATTTTCTCAGAATTATAGCTCACTCAAGACAAGACATTTTCATCTCCCAATAAAAGTATGTTACTGAGCTTCTGAGAGAAACGAACAAGACTACATGCAAATCAGCAAGTACTCCATAGATCTGAGTCTTAAACTTGACAAGACAGAAGAGGACGTTGAGGTAGAGACAGAACTGTATCAGCACTTAAAAGGAGAACTCATTTATTTGTCTCATACGCGAGCAGACATACCATGTGCGGTGAGTATTATTAGCCAATTCATGCATAACCTAAAGGAAGACCATTTGCAAGCAGTTCACTGAGTGCTATAGTGTCTTAAAGGGACACCAGGAAAAGGTATTTTATTCAAGAGAAATGGTCGGTTGATACTTGAGGCATAAACAGATGTTTATGCACGATCAATGATTGACAGGAGATCAACCTCTGAATATTGCACCTTTCTTGATGGCAATCTCCTGACTTGGAAAAGTAAGAAATAGAATGTGGTAGCGCAGTCAAGTGCAGAGGGTGAATCTCGACCAATGACTCAAGGTCTGTGTAGATTACTTAAGTTGAAGATCATCTTAGAAGAATTGAAGATTAAGTGGGATGACCTAGTGAGACTTTATTGTGACAACAAGTCTGCAATCAGTATTGCTCACAACTTAGTGCAACACGATTGGACAAAGTACATCAAGACTGACAAATACTTTATCAAGTAAAAGCTGGAGAGTGGTCTGATTTGCACACGTTATCTGCCTACACATGGTTAATTTGTAAATGTACTTACTAAGGGCTTAAGCAGCCTAGTATGGAAATAGACTGGTTCACTATTGTACTATGGGCCTGGTATATAAACCAGACCCGAGCCAGACTTAATGTACACGAATCTATCTTCCTCCACCGCACACCCGCCTAGGTTTTTTTTTTGGTTTTGACATTTTCCCACAAACAAGTATCCTCTGTAGTTATCTAGTCTTGTAAAGGGACTATTTCGTGATGTGAAAATCTGGATGAACCTTCACTGGTGTCTTCAAGTTAACACGTGCAAAAATATGCTGAAGAAGTTAATATGAAACTATTACAAGTATCTATGTCTACAAACCAGCATACGCGGATTAGCATTCAGGGTAATATGACAAGGTAATAGTGCATGCTGAGCTTCTGTTCATCAGACATTTCATCGAAGTGGTAAAAAGCTACATATAACAGGAACATAAATGTAAAAATTTCCTCAAGTCATTTCATACATGTCTACATAGAATAATAACAACTACATTAAGCGCTAAGTAGATTCATATTTGGCATCCAAGATAAATATGCATGTATCCAGAGATAATACTCAACAGAGAACCACTTTCATCATAGTAGTACCCAGCTACACCACATATGAACGCAAAACCAAGAACTAAATGAATGAAATTACACCATAGTAACATACTGAGCTGGGCCTTACTTGCTTTTGTAGTTTTTCCAACTGACGCTTGAAGTCATCTCGCTTCTGTTTCAAAGACTCCTGCTTTTTACGAAGTTCCTCTTTCATGGACTCCAGACTCTCCATTTTGCTTTGCACCAGTGGAGTAACTTTTGGGCCACCAACTGTTGATGGTTTTTGTAAGATTGAAGCTGGTGTAGAACCACCAACTGGGGCAACAGTGAAAGCTTTTGGTGCTATAGATGTCTTACTTTCACCTCTATCACGAACAAATGCCTGCAGTTGAACAGGAGTTGATGTGGACTGGACAGCTACAGGCGTGGTATGACCCTTGATTTCTCCATCAGGGATATTATCCCGATTAGCCCACCACAATTTAATGAATCGATTACCCATAACTGCATCAGGCGACTTTAAAGCAGCCTCTGCCTCCTCCCTCTTGGAGAATTGGACAAAAGCTTTCTCACTACTTACTGGAATGTAGATATCAATTATCTCCCCAAACTTCTGGAAATGTGAAACAAGAGCTTCTCTCCGGTTGTTCTTCTGTGGAATACCATTGACAAACAATGTACGCTGAGCTTTCTGAGAAGCCTTTCCAAGCTTACGCCCGGCATCTGTGTCCGTTAATTTGGCTGTTTTAGGCACAGATCCGTCAAGAGCAGCATGTTTAACTTGACCTGATGCACTAAGAGAATTAGTTAACGACTCTTCTGTTTCTTTCTTCATTCCATTCCCAATATAAACTGAAGAAGTCATAGTATTAAAAGTTTTTTTCGTGCTTTCAAGGTTACTACCAGATCTAACCCGTCCCCAAACAGGTGGAGCTGCGGGCCCTGAAGGATGATCCCCTGCAGAGAGACTATGTTGATCACTACTCGTGCTGGCTGATAAAATGAAATTATGATGGCCAGAAGAACCAGCTTCCCACAGTGTTCCAACATCTTCAGTGCTTGGAGAAGGAAGCCTAAGACAAGCACCAGATGTCTCAGGGCGATCATTGTTCCACAGTGGTTGATCAGGATCATACACATCTGCTTCGACACCAGGAGCTGGACCAGGCATTGCTCCATCAACTCCTGATCCATTATTGGTCATCCCAGATTTAGTAGTTTTATTAGGTGCAGATTTGCTATTTGTCAAAAAGCTTGACGATGTGACTGGTGGCAAGGGTCCAACAGCAGCTTGAGCTCCCAATATGTTTGTGGTTGGAAGAGACACAGGAAGATTGAACTGGGAAAGGCTCTGGATACCACAAACAAAATCGCTGTTATTCAGAAATGCAGAAACCCAGAATTATTTTAGTAAAACACGTTCATAATTATCTACTCGGATTCTCTTCGACTGAAAATCAACGCACATCCCTGTAACACACATCCCGCTTTCTCCCTTTATAATCAACAGCAAGGCCTTGTTTTAATCATTTACCAACATGGTAGTATACATGTCCGGCAAGTATAATGGCACTTCACTCGGGTCCCTCATCTCAAAGGTAAGCTTGCCCGTGAAAAATATTAGACATCATACTCAGCAGTAATTTTACAGACCAAGGATACTTCAACTTTTTTTTTCTGGTAAGGCTTAGTAACTTAGACCAGTATACTAATCCTAGGGCTTTTGAGACGAAGTCATTTAAGTACGATTAAAATTATATCGCATTATCGACCAAATGAATTTGAAAACATGATAAATAATGATTAGATACAAAATAAGGCAAATGGTATCAATTTGGTCTTTGACAAAATGTAGGTGCAATTGGTAGAATGATCATCTTTATAAATCATTCTAATTTTAGAGATTTCATGAACATACTTTCATTGAACATCAAGCACAAAATATGACCAAAGATATGACAGAGACAGACTCCTAGTTGCTATTGACTATGCATGAATTTTAAACCAAGAACGGCAAAAATCAGAAACAGCTATAGAAGAATATATTATCTACCTGAACATCTTCAACAACAATGCGATTCATTCCATGTTCCATTGGGCACATGTCCCCTCTCAAACAAAACCCACGCTCCTCAAAATCACGGCACCGCTGACGTGCCATGCCAACATTAACAGAGTTTATTGATGGATGGAGTGCTCCCTGAAGATTAAGAGGGTGAAGTGGATCCAAACACCCATTAGTCATACCAGGAATAAATCCATATGAACCCCATGTCGTACTTTGTGCACTTGATGTACTTGAAAAGCCTGCTCCCAGTAAACTAGGCACTTGCGAAGCAAAACCAAGTGGATCAAGTGGGTTAAATCTGGCATCATGCTGGTTCCAAGAACTTGCACCTCTTCCTCTTCCTCCAATGGAGGGACGGACTAAAGTTGTGGAATCAAAACGAGAGCTGTTGTTGGGGCGAAAACCACGACCCATTCTTGTCTTTTGTCCAAAATCCATTGGATTACCAAGAACAGGTACATGACGTCGCTTTTCAGAACTTGAAGAGGAGTCCCTCTCTGAAAAAGGGCTGTATTCTTTGAAAATTTCAACAGATTGAGGCTCACGTTCGGCAAACTGCTGGCCATTTTCATAAGGCTTATTCCTCTTCCTGATCGGCTGCCTTGCAAATTGTCCTTGAGCATCCTCTTCTAAGGGTTGAGAACGATTATCTCGTCTGCGATGCTTATGATTACGATCATCATCTTCGTCATCACTGACTTCTCTTTCTTCAGAATCACTAACTTGTCTAGAAATAGAAGGGTTCTCTTTGTTTGGTGATGAGCACTGTTTTACTGGGTCTACAGTAATGGGCAGAGGGTCAGGTTTTGTTATTTCATCAATTGTCCCCTCAGGTATCATGATTACGTCATCTTCAAAAGTTTTAAATAGCTCCGAGACAAAGGACTTTGTGCCTACAAAATTTTGAAATAAACTTTTCAGAACGAAAGCATAATGACTGTGGAAGTGAAAAAACATCAAGTGATTTGCATCTGAATGTAGAGTAAGCATATATCCAAAGAGATCACTGAAGAATGTGACATAATCGTGCCCATAGTTTGAAGAGTCAATCTGACGACGAAACTGCACTCATCCAAAGAAGGAAACTCAAAAGGCCAATATTGGCCACAATGTGACAAAAGTGATCGTCTTTCCTTCTTCCGAATGGAAATAGAGAATGAAGAGAGAAGGCGTCTCGCAATCTCAAGAAATTATTATCCTCAGCTTCACACATCAGGGACTCCGAAGATGCTATCAGTCTCCTCATAAAACATTAAAAATAAAGTGTAAAACCATGAACGGCCTACATGCAGAGAAAGTATACTGTAATCCTCGAAGCAGATAGGTTGAGGTGGAGGTGGGAGAACAGAAATGATTCCTCAGCCCAATCCTTGGATTTCGAGAATCTACCACCTGACGAAACAAAGAATTTTATTGCGGAGAATTTTGCATGGGACAGCCCTACTTTGATCTCTTTGTTCTTTTTTGGACACGATCCATGCTGCTTGTTGCTTGTGTGGTGGCGATGAAGAAAATTTTAAACATTTCTTCCTTGAATGTTCCTTTTCCAAGGGTATACTGAACACATTAAGTTAGATCTTACATGGGAGCAACCAAACCCCATAGTGGCATTTTGACTGAGAGTTGGAAACGCAATTGGGCATGGAAGCCAGCTTTATATTAAGTGGCATTTGACATACTATATACTTTAGGGTGTACGAACACAGAGAATTGACGCATTGAAGGGGGAATCCAATCTAAGGGTTTGTTACAAGTTGAATGAGCGGGTGGTGTTTTCATGTATGGGGTGGTGAGGGTTGTCAAGTCAACAGGTTTTACACCATTTTCTAATACTATACTGGCGTACATGGCTTTCTTTACAAAAGCTCATGATTTTCAAGCTTTTTTTATCTTTCTCTTTCTCTATTAATGACAATGTGGTACTACCCATTTTCATGAAAAAAAGAAAAAATGGATATCCAATGGGATTATTTGACAGAGAAAGGTCCCATCGCATCTCACTGAGACAATTGCGCTAACTTTACAAAGAATGACAATGAGTTCACAAGAGGGGAACTCATTGTGCTACAAAAAAGAGGAGCTTGCAGTTTCCTATTTATGCTACAAAAAATAAAAGTCATTTTTGCGTAATATGTTTTAGTTTTGGAGCAGGGATTGTGTGAAGTATAACAATTTGTTAAATCAGCACATCCACGTCTACTGAGCTCCAATGCGGTGAATTTTACTCCACTCTAAGCTGAATACACCTTGCAGTATGCCCCATGCAGTATGTTCCTTGTAAACCGCATACAAACTATCTAAAGATTGTTTCATGCAGTACGTCACCGAAAAATACCTCCTTTCTGTGTAAAATTGCAACCCTTCTGAGTTTAAGGACAATATGATGAACAGCTATAAGACATTGTATTGTGCACGTTCCAAGATCAGACTGAATGTGCTGTTTAGCAATGTCTTATGCTTTCTTGATTTCTCTTTTCGTAGAAGACTTCCATGGAATAGCAGAGATCTTCTACTAATTGAATGCAGCTTGCCCTCTATGTTCTTACTTCACCATTCGAGCCCATTCAATTTTCAATCTTTGGGCAACTTTCACATAGATACTCAAGGAGTATCAAAATGCTTACCATTCCAGGAGCGGAAATCATAGCACTACATCTAGACTCACTCTACCTTCGATGTTTGACAGATTTAAACAAACTAATTATATGAAATATAATCCATTTTGAAAGACATAGTAATAAGAGAAGCAGCACGTACCCAGGCTATTACTCAGAGGAAGGAGATGGAAACTAAGTTCCATCAGCGAATGCTCCAAAACCCTAAACCATTCTTTAACCCAACTAATAAAAGCTCTTGGGAGTAATTTTACATTTGGTGTTATGGCATCCAGTTATCGACTGTCCCCTTTATATATGTTTCCAGAGTTTTTTCATGCCGTTTTTTAATGGATATTCACTTACTCAACAGATTTTTCAAATGTAATTCTATAAAAGTGGTTTATCACACGGAAATAATCAATTTCATAATCCCTGCACTACACTATCTTACTTTGCATGTTTTCAGATATACTCACCGCAATTTGTCAATCATTTAAATTGGGTATGTTACATTTAAATTGGGTATGAAAGAAATGAGCTGAATCATATATATCAGCAAAGATAAATCTATAGACATAATTTCAAATGGAACAGCATATGGAGAAAAAAATGAAAACGTTAATAAAGTGATACTCCCTAGTTGTCATTTTCGATTATTATAGAGTTATAAAAAAAGGTCACCAATAAAAGGAAGCAAAGAAGGTTATGATTGCCCGAAAATTGGCAGCCATAATGACTTATAAAGTAAAAATACCAATCTCAAAATTTACTCTAAATTTTATGAAGCACTATTTTCAGCTTCAAATATAAAAGCTTCAGGTTAACCAAAAAATTCAGAGAAATAACGACAGAAAACTTTAAAACACCCAAATCCAAGAGTATTTGATTATGTAGAATTGCTTCAACTTTCAAAGTTCCAAAAAAACGAAGTTTCAAGCAGCAATACATTCCATAGATATGATCCACAAGTGCCTGATCTGAACCAAGGGGATAGCATACCATGCCCCAGAAATTCCACCAAATTATCGATGCATAGTTTTTGCAACTCTTGTACGGGTTTGTCCTTCTTCAACAATGCAACAATATAATCTGCTAGGATCGCGGGATCTGCCTCGGTGCTTGAAGATTGAATGAGTTGCCAAGAAAGGAAGAACATTAGGCAAAAGAAGCACATAGACAAGAAAAGGAGACAAGGATTCGGGACATTGGAGAAAAATATTCGCACTGAAAATATGATCCCAAAAAAGAAGTAGAATGTATCTTATTCACACAAGTTATAATTCGAATTTTCAGAGACTTTAGACGCTCCTGTGTCCTTCACATAGTTCATGATGAAGCAGGTTACAGTGGTTCCAAGTGGAAGAGTAAACCGTCAAATGAGTTTATTAAGTCATAAATTGCTACTCTGTGTGGCTGGGAATCAGTTGCGCAAATTAATGAAGTGCCCAGCATCTAAATCCTCTCAGAAACCATTATCACTACACTGGGTCCGGAAGAAGGAAACAATCAGTCCAGATGCGGGTCTTCACCACTGGCATAAGAACAACGGGTTTTCTTCACCCATTCATGAATTGGAAGCTGAAAAGGAATTCTAAATTCTAAAGTCGAACGATGAACAGATCCTATTCGAAGCCGTTACCTGTCCTACTCCAATATGATGCCTCTGTAAAATTGAAAGGCCAATAGGGAAAGATATTTCCCACCTGAGATCTCGTTAGGACTTCGACCGAACACTTCCCCCTCAGATTATCCCCTCCCGCCACATCCAACCCCCGATTAAGTGTCAGTATCAAGCAGAAACGGGGGTTCACCGTGCCGTGAAGAGACCCCGATATAAGGGTTAGGTCAAGACAGCCGACTGAAGTACGAATGAGCAAAAACCTAGGGTTACACCGAGAAGGTAGAGCAACTTACAGGGGCTCGAGGTTCTTCACGAGGTACCCGGTCAGGGATGACTCGTCAAATTTCATTTCTCCGCCCTCTTCATCTGTGTCCCGGACGGAACGGGATAGTCAAGGGGAAGCCCCCTCTGTCGGCGCCGGCGCCACCGCGGCGATCCGCGCCACAGAAGGAATGGCCGCACTGGTACCGGGGGTAGGGAGGGTTCACCGGATCAAGAAGCAAGCACGGAGCACCGAGGAAGCTCCTTCCCCGTTTTTCCTCTGTTACAGGGAGGATGGGAAGGGGGACCGGAGGTGGAAGGGCGGCGATAGGTCGCGCGATTTCTTATTATCTCCTCCCAGCAGCGAGAACAACCCCAACCCTGCGCCGCAGCCTGCTAGAGAGAGAAGCAGCCGTGGAGGGAAGGAAAATGAGAGAGAGAGAAAGATGCAGAAAATGATGTTTCTACCCTCGCCAAGGCAAATGAAGTGGAATGAATGATAACTAGGGACGAAAGCAGCAGAGGAAGAAGGTATGACGTGTCAAGGAGCCCAATTTGGGCCTGAAGGGGACGAATTGACCTTTACTGGGCCTGATTCCCCCGAGTGCCGGGACCAAACAAAATTACTTTCAACGACCTCTTCCGACCCATAAATAAATGGGCCTCCTCGGCCGTGTCTCGGCCCAATTGGGGAAAAAAAAAAAAACCTTAAATCAGCTCGAGCGATCTTCCAGGTTATCTATCCCGTTGACACGTGCATGAAAGTGGGACCCACATCCCACAATAAATGATATTTACTATAATTCTTTATTTTTTGTTCTACAAAAAAAATAACGATCCTATGATCAGAAAAAACAATCAAAAGAAGGAAAAAATAGGGAAAATACCAAATATTTTTATTTTTTTGGATCCATTACAAATTTTATGGGGTTTTTTTTTTGTCTTTCTAAGTAGCCCAAAACGAAGCCTCATTTAACTACCCAACCTTCATTTAATAATCCTCATTTTTCTGATTTTGGAAATGACAGCTGGCCCCACAAAAATGACACATGCCACATAAGGAAAAAAATGTGGGACCCGCCAGTCCCTTACGTGGCCTCCTTCCGAACCCACTGCCACGAGTGCACTACTTTATTAGTATTATGATTATAATAATAATAAAGTAAGCCAACTGGGATTATTGGACATCCTTTTTCATGTTATTTTCAATAATTGATTCCGACCGCGCAGAAATAAATATATTAAAATTAAAATTAAAAAAACCCTTGCCAAGATGTATTTTTCTAGATTTTCTGATTTTGGTAATGACCCGGGGGGGCCACAAAATGAGTAACTGCCACATAAGGAAAAAAAGTGGGACCCACCGGTCCCTTACGTGGCCTACTTCCGAACCCACTGCCACGAGTGCACTACTTTATTAGAATTATGATCATAATACTAATAAAGCAATTCATATCATTTTCTCTCAACGAAAGTCAACTGGGATTATTGGACATCCTTTTTTATGTTATTTTCAATAATTCATTCCGAACCCACATAAATAAACATGGATGGAAGTTTTTCTTACAGAAACAAATCCCTAAAGGGTATTGGTGCATAATTCATATTGCTTTGGTCAGCGCCAAAAAAAAAAACTAATAATAGAAAATGGAAGATTAAATGAATAACAAAGTCAAAGGGTCTATCATTATAGAACAGATCAACATGATTAGGTCTTCTCCGTTTTTTTCTGCAGGAACAGAGAGAGTGAGGTGGATGGAAATGGCAACCTGCACGCTGGAGATGGACGGATTGGAGGAACCCAGACAACAATGTTTCCACAGTTCATACGGCCTTGAAGGGTGAAGAGGATGAGGATGAACAGCGTAGAGCTCCCCCCATGATTCTGCTGAGTCTGAAGACCAGGAGAGGCCATGAACACAGAGAGAGAAATGAAATGGATGGAGATGGCGACCTGTACACTGGATATAGATCCATGGGAAGAAACTCAGAGAGGGATGAGGAGGATGGTCAACGTCCGAACCAGCCCTTCTGAGGTGGGTTCTCGCCGTCGTTCATCAACTTGTCTAGGACCACATTGAGGTCAACGTTCTGCCCATTCTCTGTCAGCCTTCTCACAGTTGCCCTGACCACATCTCTGGGGAAGCCCATGGTGGTGACCTTGTCGACCACATCGTCAATAGGGACCCTCTCTCCGGCGGCGCTGCCAGGACCTGGGCCAGAGCCAGAGGCAGAGCCAGAGCCTGCAGAGACGGCTTGGGGTAATACCTGGGCAGTAGGGAGACGGGGGTAACTGCTTCCACCAGACGCAGCAGCAGAGGAGAAGAATGGCGGTTGCTTCATTGCAGAGTTGTAGTGAGAGGGAGATCCACCATGTGTGTAAGAGTCAGAAAGACCAGGCCCAGCAGGAGGGCTGTACCCTGTGGGAAACTGCTGGGCAGAGCTCGGTCTGATCGCTTGGGGGTCAAATAAATTGGCGCCATGTCCGGCAAATTGCTGAGTATGTGGAGGCCCGGAAAGCTGAGGTGGCTGACGGATGCTTGGTGGATAAGTCTGAGGTGGCGGTGGCATGTAAGGTGAGGATTCTTCAGGGTGGTGAGGTGGCGGAGCTTGAAGCTGGGGAGGTGGTATGTGTTGAGATGACTGTGGCGGTTGGGAATACTGTGGAGGATGAGGAGTTGGCTGGAACTGAGTTGGCGGGGGAAGCTGAGGTGGATGCTGAGGTGCAAGCTGGTACTGCTGCTGTGGGGCCTCTGCCAGAGGCTGACTGGGTGGAACGAAGTAAGGCTCCCGTTGGGGCATGGCCGGAACAGAAGCAAACTGGGTCTGGGGCACCTGAGGTGGCGGCGGCAGTGGCAGTGCAGGGAGGGCTGGAAGTTGAGATGGAAGCATCCCTTGTGGGGGCAGAGGTGGCTGAGATGGCGGCAGAGTAGGTTGAGTAGGTACAGATGGAACAACGACAGAATCATCTGGTTGCTGATGATGATCGCCCTTGGAAGCCTGCAGCTTTGCCAGCTGAATCTGAGCTTCGATGATCTCCTGCTTGTCACGAAGAACTTGCACGCCAGTTTGTACCTATATGAGACAGATGCCGCACTTCAAAAACCAGCCTAGTTCCAGGATGATGGGAAAAAGATAATACTAACACATAAGGAGAAAAGCTGAATCTGGGATATCTTCATGAGGTATGATATGATGAAGAAGAGGTAAGCTGATTGATAGAAATGGACACAAAATCTTATACAGAACTAGAGAATTGACTGATGGCGGAGTTGACAAAAGGATTGAACAAGTGGTTGACATAATCAACCTTACAGGAAGAAAGGGTTAAAGAATGAAATACCATCCTCCCAAATTAAGCAAGACGGCATCACATTGAACAGAGAGTTAGAAAATCAATATCTTTTTTGTAACGACCCCAAGTGTTACAACTCAGACAAGAAGTACTTTCATTCAGAAATGACTCCATTTATGGGGATAACTGCCGAAATAAAAAAGATGATTAACAAGTTTCTGTGCAAGAAGATAATGAATGATATAAAAGGAACGTAATATTCTGATCCAAAGACTTGAGTATTCCAAGTGTTCTATCCTCCCAATGCAAAAAACTCGAAGAATCAAAGGGCGGAAATGCAAGGTTTAGAAAGAATCAAAATTACCCACTTCCTCTGTTTGTCAGCTTTGATTTCCTAGGGAAAGAGACGGATTCTAGGCTTAGCAAGAATTCAAGTGTGTGTGTGTGTGTGTGTGTGTGTGTGTGAGAGAGAGAGAGAGAGAGAGAGAGAGAGAGAGAGAGTGAATGCCTCAGCAAGAAAACTAAAAAGAATAAAGTATAAACTAACATAATTGTGCTTTCGCCAAATGTCAAATGCATTGATTTTCCGTTACCAATCGAAAATATCAAAAACATTGAAGCGATACAAAGCCAGAGGGAAAATCATGTGTCCATTTCAGAAAGAAAGAACAAATACATAACAAAATAAAGCACGCAGTATCAAAAAAGAAGATACCTCTCGCATGATATTCTCCAGTTGTTTCAGCTTTCCATCACTGCTGCCATTATTATTTGAAATAGTCAGCTTCAGGTCGTCTAGTGCACTTTCAAGCTTGTGTGTTCTCCCCTCCAGCTGAGACAATCTTGAACTTACACCTTCCAAAGCGTGCATTAGATTGTCAGCATACTTCTTTACAGTACGATCGAACTCTATAAGTAAAGCTGTATCACATGCATCCTTGCTTTTCTCATGAATGACGTTATATGAATCATGTGCCTCTGACGAACTATAATTCTGCAAGGCAAAAAAGTCAAACAAAAAAGTAAACATTCAGCACATGGAAGATTACATACCTTTAAAAAGCAGGGCGGTTAGAAAGAGTGAATACAAGTCAATATTATCAATCAACCTAAAACTAAATGTCCACTTTGCAGATCGCCAAGAAAGTGAAAGTACCACGCAAGCCCTCCCCAGAGCTATGTACCGCACTAACACCCTTTAAGAGAAAGTTATTGTATACCATCGACTTCCTAGTCAATAAGAATATCCAACAAGTTCAATACTTTCTTTCGTTGTCGTGTGGACTAGAAAGGGGTGGGTTGAAAACAAAGACTGGATAGGGAAGGAGAATGAAGTCCCAGACCTCCAAATAATAGTTCTTTCACAAGCACAATGCGAAGCGAACTGTTCTTTACCTTCCTAATCTCTCTCATACTGGACCTTTTCTTGGAAAAAGGGAAAAGATAAAAATCCTTCATTCAGGATTACTCCTCAGTCATGTTTCCAGTTATGCTTATAAGGATGTACCAATAACTCCATATTCACTATTAGGTTTTCGTTATATATTCTTCAACGAAATCTGACTATCAAAGTTGACATCAAACGACAACATAAAGTGAGTATTTTGACTTGGCACGTAGTTTCCTTCAGTATAAAAGCACACGGGAAGTTCGTTACGCGACCTTTTTCTAATCATTTGTTTGCTGAAAAAATAAATAGCAGGTTAAAAAAAAAAGATGATGCACAAAAGAAAGCCACACTAGAAAATTTTAATTTTACTTCTCTCATGAAAACTAGATAAACGAGGAAATAATCAGATGTCCTTGAATAGAGAAGCACCAATAATTCTTCAATCAAGAATACTCTTATATGTTCAAAATAAACAGCAACATTGTCATCTTAAGAAAGATATGTAATCCAGACAAGTGATACAAGAGGTAAACCAAACTTTTGCAACCGAGTTTGTATCAGTGGCACTAGATGACAAACTGAGTATAGAATTACATAGAATGGGCCACAATTGCCATGCTAACCCAGCCCACTAATCTTTATCCAATGTATTGTATTACGAACTAGATGCCAAAGCATTCCTGAACATATGCTAAAGGGTATAAAATAGGAATGTCATAGAAGAAAGGGAAGTGAAAGATACAGGAAATGAATCGTATTCCTGGTTAGAAGAAAGGGAAATAGGATTAACAAAAAACGAAAAGCCCATAACGAAATAAATAATAAAGAGTAAAATATCTCCCATAAGAAGTAATCTTGGCACCCTAAAATTCCCAGAACGTCTGACCATGAAATCAGATTGGTCTCGGGATATACTTCATCTGCAGTAGTGATTTCCTTTTCCGCCTCAATCTCGGGAGTACTCCATTCAAAAGTAAAGGTCAACCTCTTCCATGAGACAACATCCCCCCCTCACGCACACAAATACAATGAACAATTAGTACGACGGATAGAAGATCGAACTCTGCCCCCTTTCTCGCGTTCCCAAGATTAAACGGGGTCCCGGAACAGTTCGTTAAAAAAAAAATGGAAGATGTGCAAATAGGGGCTCGACGCAATCCCAGGCAACTAAGAGGCCGGAAATAAATGCCATCCTTCTAGGGAATGAAGGAGAAGTCGAAAATCGGGAAAAATTCTCACAAAATCGATGTAGAGCACAACTCTATTTCATTTCAACTCAAGGAACTTCCACGACCTATAGCGAGATTATGGCAAATACCATATCCAACAATATCCCGAAATTCGTTGAAACAAAAAACACAGACGTCAAGCTTAAGCCAACAAGAATAATGATAAGAATAAGAATCGGACCCGTTCCCTGAAATTCGAAGAGGTGGGAATCGAATCCATTGATCCCCAGGCTCTACCACCTTCGACAGTCGCGGGGGGCGGAGATGACCCGACACTCCGAATTGGCTGGAAGTCGTAGTTCGGGAGTATATCATCCTTCTTTCCCCCATCACCAGAACCAGCCCCATTGCTCCGGTGCTTCTCCGGCGGGTTGAGCAGGTCCAGGAGGTCGCTGCTCTGCGCGCCGGACGCGGAGAGCTCCATGATCTGCTTGTCCATGAACTGCGACGCGTTCATCGCAACTCCCCCCAGAACCACAAACCCCCGGCAATCGGACAGCCGCGCAGAGACCAGAATTCAGTAATGCGACAGAAAATCGAGCTACCGAGGGGACGAAGAAGATGGAAGAGGACTCCCCAGTCGTTCCCGTCTGATGGAAAAGCTGCCGTGGGGGTGAAGCAGGAGGGTGATATAGTCAAATAAATACACGTGTCCTTCTTGTGCCTCGCGGTACTGCCTAATCTAAGATATTTCGAGGGGCCGGGGTTAATCCTCACCGTCCATTACCCAAGCCCCGTGGAACGGGCCTCGTCTCTTTGTTAAGTTAAAGCATACCCGCCCGAGTCCGATTATCAATAGTGATTCTCTCTCTCCTCCAGGTGGCAACAAGGAAAGCCCAATTCATTCCCAAAGCTCATCTCTCTGTACTCTCTCTCTCTCTCTCTCTCTCTCTCTCTCTCCCTCCCTACTCTTCACTGCAATGGAGGCGATTAATCTCCATACACATACACAAATAGATAGATAGGATAAATAGGTTAGAGAAATAGAGAAATTGATAGCTAGATAGATAGAGAGAAATAGATAGGTAGATAAATACATGGATAGATGGAGAGATATTTAGATATGTAGATAGATTGCTAGAGAGAGAAATAAATATGCAGATAGATAGATAGTCAGATAAATACATGAATAGATAGATTGCTAGAGAGAGAAATAAATATGTAGATACATAGATAGTCAGATAAATACATGAATAGATAGATAGAGAGATATATAGATGTGGATAGATAGATAGAGAGCTAAATAGATATGTAGATAGATAGTTAAATAACTTCATGGGTAGATAGATAGAGAGATAAATAGTTACGCAGATAGAGAGATAGATAGAGAGATAAATAGTTAAATATATATTAGGATAGATAGATAGTTAGATAAATGCATTAATAGATAGATAAATATATAGCTCCATGTAATGGTTGGCACATGTAATATACATTTGGAAAGGATATGACGGGCAGGCCTGCAAACAAAATATGAGCTTCCTAGGAATTACAGTTGGGCCAATAAGACAGAGCGATGACCAGGCTTCTGAGCAGGCTCCCAAGATCTCCGCCATGCAAGAGCTTCAAAGAAACCCACATCATTTCCCACTGAAGATGAGAATCTTAGAGCAACTGGTTGACCTGCGCCAATGAGATATGACATAAATGGAATTAATGATCATCCAAAGTAAGCATCGATGATCAATTGATGGTTATTGAGCAATGAATATTCGTATAAATTGGGCAATGGAAAGCATCTGCAATGGAGAAGGAAGATCATGCTTCTGGCCTCTGATGGTGAAATATACCAACTTATGCGGTTTACTGCTAAGGGAAGCAAAGAGCATGTAGATGGAATTAGAGGCCTGTGAAATATATATTTTTTTTAGATCTTCAAAAGAATTGACGAAAAAAGCTTTTGGTGCTCAAAACCAAGCCCGGAAATGGAAAATAATAACAATTCTGGAGGGTTTTTCTGCATGCTACATTCCACCTTTCATTTTCAAACCACCATTGATGGGTTGCCATGTTCATCCAGAGCAAAGAAAGTGAACAACACCAAATCATATACTACACAAGATACAGCCTGCATCACAACTACCCAATAATGAATGATTTCTAACTTTAGTAAATTTTCCTACACTCATGTAACATCCTAACACTTTAATTTCCCTATGTAGGTGACGACCATGACAGAGTCATGACAAATGCCTAGCTCCCCATCTCCCGAAAACACATCTAATATCCATAAGGGTTGACTTTTTCCTCTGTAAGCTTTTGCTTGGATCTTCACGAAAGACGAGACACAGTAAAAATCGATTTACCTTTCGACGTGGAGATCGACGGAGGGCGTCGACTGATTTTGATTGGCTGGCTCGTCGAGCAGAATAGCCATGATTAGCTTCCTTACGAGAATGATGCTTCTTTCCTCTGAGGACAGCCTCAGAATCACTCTGTAAATTTGAAAAGTCACTTCTACCATGATCAGCTGAAGCTGGAGGCGATGATATCGAGTCGGTAGACAATTCCGAATGAACAGTACTAGTTGCCGGTAAAATGCCTGCCCAATGAGACATAAACAGCACGCAGATTACAGATTGCCAAAACCTTGACTGAAGAAGGAATAATATACCACAAAGGAAATGGCAATGATAATGCTCAACAGCTTATCAAAATGTGATAAAGAGGAGATGCTGAAAGAAATAAGCATCCAACACAATGAACCCAGAGAACAGATCAAACAGCAGATCTCACACGCCACTGAAAGAACACTGACAGGCGGCATTTATCAATGAGCAACAGAATATGGGCAGAAGAGATATACTGGATAAAGCATTCTCAAGTAATGTTGAATCCACAGCTAGTAAAGGGGAGATCACGCATCCCACCACAAGCTACAAGGTGTAGCACATGGTTAATACTGTCGATTTAGTTTTGGCCTAGACCCTTCTGTCAGCACAAAAAAAAAAGCATCCTTCTTGGCAAAACCCCGCATGGTTACTCTCCTGACAATAGTAACTGCTTGGTATGTGGCTAGCTGGGTCAACTGGAGCCCAATCATCAATGAGGTCAGTCAGAGTCCAGGCTTTGTCGGGTTCTACCCAGCCTATTCATACCCCTAACTGAAATGCAAGAAAATTATTTGAATGTAACGTGTTAATATGTAAACAGGGCCCCACAATTGAACCATAACGCACATATTACTGCCTTAGTACAATAGCTGGGAAGAGGCTTATACCATTATCTGCAGAAGCTTGAAATTTTTTTCTCATAGCTCTCACAAACTTAAACAACCCATTCGTTTGGTTCAATTCATTGAGCAAAACTTTGGCATCTTCCACAGATGGGTCACACTGCAACACTGAATGTACGAAAATATTATATTTCACAATCCGATGCAAAAGAAAACAAAGGGACAAAGAAGCTAACAGAAAATGATTAAAGCGCCCAAACATTTCACCGACCCAGTACAACACATGACCACACTTACAGGTATAAGTATCGCCATTAAGCCGAATGGTGAATGAGTACTCCTTATCCGGGTTTTCCAAGTCAATTTTATCAAAAATGAATTTGACTCCTACATGAGAAAGAAAAGCCGGAGAAATTTAAGCTGAGTCGTAAAATTCGTAAAAAAAAGTTAGGTTAATGTTCATGTACCTTCCCCTCCTTCTATTCGAAAACCAAGTACTTTTGTGTACCATAAAATGGCTTCTTCTGTACCTTCAGTATCAACATCTTTGGAATTATCTTGATTCAGTGCTTCCATAGCTTACAGGGAAGAAAAAAAGAGAAATGAGAACCATTGTCAAAGAAAGTAACAAAAGTAGAAAAGAATAGGCAAAATACATATTTGCAGCAAATTTTCTGAAAGAGGATTATGTTAGTTGATCCCAGGATAGAGAAAGAAGTCTCTATCATCAACCAGCAATCAGGTACAAACAGAACAGTTATACCGAAAAAGACAAACCAATCAAGTCATAAACAATGAGAAAGAGAAAACCAATCTGTTAGTCGTCATTAATGAGTAAACTTGATCATAGATGAAGCATCTGAAACATCTGAAACAATGAGAAAACCAGCTATTTCAAATAAGAGTCCAGAAAACTCATCAGGCACTATTAAAACAAGTTCTATAATAATTTCAGTGAACTGATCTATAAATACTACCTACTTACTGTCTGAATTACAATTTATGTACCGACTATTAAATTTAGCAATTACACTGAGTCTGGAGAACCCAGTTCATTATGTAGTATCAGCCCTGGAGCCTACGCTGCATTTAAAAGCTCTTGTTGAAATAATTTTAGGTCATTGCTGCTACATTCCTTTTCTCACTTCTCACAGAATTAATGAACTAGCCCTAAGGGATTGCAATTCTGAAATGGCAATCCTAGTGAATGAACTGAATTCTATGTTCCAAGACCTTCCCATAAGCCATTCATGTAATTGGATGAATTGCCCTCTGCCTTCAATTGCTGTTAATGACAAGCCTTCCTGAAGAATGTTTAACCTGATATAAAACAAGTGATCACCTCCTTCAACCTGAAGGGAAGCCTCAGACCACAAAGTAATACGCCCAGTTCACTGGACAATCTTAAAACCGAAGCAACCAAAGCGTCATTGACGAAAACTAGAAATAAAACAGATGACACTCAATGTCCCTGTTAGGTTCTCTGTATGGATATGCATGGTTCAAAAATAAACTGATAATATTACTGCAGTCGAACTATATGGATACAAGATACTTTGGATTCACAAAGCGAAATGAACAGTCTCTTGCTACAAGCATAAGGTCAGTACTAAAATCCGAGTATTGATGTGATTAACGGGATCTCCTTTGCAGCCAACCTTGAGTCCGAACCTACACAAGGAATTGCATAAAGCTACACAGGAATTTAGATATAATAAATAGTGCTAGTGAAATAACTAGTTCATGTGTAACTCAGATTTTTGTTTGCCATAATGCCAAAATAGACAAAGAGATTACCCAGTGATACTATTGATTCATATTCAACCTTTCTCGATCTTTGTTTCTCCACCGTCTTTCTGAGATCTTCTGTTCTAGCTTTGGCAGTAGAGAGAGATTCAACAGTCACTACGTGCCTTGCTTCTTTGCAGCTTTTCACTACAAAACAAATTTAGCCTGACATCTTAATTTCAGACAACTAAGACCAATTGAGACATTTCTGTGAGCATCAACAAAGGGCATACATGTATGTTGAAGTTCAAACAAATTTGATCTGTATTTTGACAGCCAGGACATACTTGTCAAGAAGTATGGTTATTAATTAACAAAAGACCCGTGTGGAGTCGGTAAGCAAAGCCCATTCCCGTATATACACATACACCTTGTCCCTGATAAGTAGAATTTTTATAAGAGGAGATAACTTCGGAAGACTCTATTCACACATCTGCGGCAGGATGATATTAATAAATTAATACTTTAGTTTATTTACTCTGGAAGAGTGTGCATTGGAGCAAAACGGAAAAAGTACTTTAGAGGGTACACATCTACGTTATATTCTCTCCTTGATTTCTATTTTATATTCGTAGCATCCAACGTATCAACAATGGAACTTCTCTAAATCTTAAATTATTCTAAAATCAGCTGTATCTAGACATTTTTCTTGCTTTATTTTTCATTTAGGATACTGGTCGCTGACCTCAGACTCAAGCTAACTTGTACGAGTCAACTCAACAGTATTGAAATCAGTCTATGGTTATCACAGTTTTTATGTTTTCTATAATTATTTTGATTATTTCTGTAATACCAAACAAGTGGAAACAAACTCCCACATATTAGAAGCGTGAATCTAAAACTTTCTAATTGGTGGAAATTCTGAGTAAAATTTGGAGCGTGAAGGGTAAATAAAAAAGATAAAATCAAAGGAGGAAGATATAACTGAAGACGACCAGACTAGCTGTTACTACACAGGAAAAATAGCTTTTAAAGAGGCGAAACAAGACACAGCGTTTGCGGTTCAGACTACAACAGAAGGATTGATTATAGAATCTTTTAGGCAATCCGTACCAGAAGGAGAAAATTCAGCATGCCTTGTTTTGAGAAAAATCAAAATGTGACGATATAGCAAAGAAAATATAAGAGATGAGGATGACGAAATGATTAATGGGGATCAAAATGTGCTAGTCGAAATACTAGCAATACTGAAAAACATCTCACGTGTGTCACACAGGAAGGGATCCTCAGTGGTAGGCCCTAAGGCAACATAAGGCTACTTGTAAAAAGAAATTAATAACTGAGAAAAAAATACTACAAAAATACTACCGTAAGAGTATACCATGGAAAAAATATATTTTACTAGATTCAACACATCCTTACGAGTCATCTCACTATTACATCAAAGTTACCTCAGACCCTAAATATTTTTGTTCTATTAACCTGGAATTACAACGGCAAGCGAAGATATAACTGCAAAGCTTCATCATAGGCTTCACTCCAGAGTCAGGATGAGTATAGTGGTGGCATAGGGCATAGTTATGATCAGGCATATATTTAATTTTGTTCTATTCACATTGCACATAAGATAACAGCCGCACCACTGCAACAACAAAATATTGAGATTTGCACACTATTTGATACAACATCACGATACGAATTCTCCAGAAAACATAGAGTTAAGAATGGCTAATGTCATCAAAGTTAGAAAAGAGAGAAATTTGTCAATACCTATGAGAGCTTCCCTCAAATCATCTTCTAATTCTTTCAAATACAGCTTGGTATCAGCAAGCTTTTCTGCAATTATAAATAAACAACAATTAAATAAGCATTTACTGTAGTTGACAAGAAAATCAATTCAGTGCCTTGAAAAGAAATCAAAATGCCTCTATAAAATCAAGAATTTGTAACTAAAAATCATAAAATAAAATTAGAGCAACATTAATTGGAATCGAAAAGACAAACTACTGCATGAAAGCATAAAAAGCACCGTCTGAAGAGTTAATCAACCAGCATAGTAGTAGAGACTCAAAGAGGAACATAATTGATCTGAATCTATAGTAGCTTGAAACTAGTCTCAGTTTCCAACCCATGCAACAATGGGTCAAGAATAGGCGTATATGCCAGTTGAACGATGATAAAGTCATCGTATACCGCAAAAAGTGAATACTGACACCCCAACTAGTGAACGCAGAGAACTTTAAAGAACAGAAAACAAGCCACATAGTTCTAATGTTGTAGATTCGCGCGAACAGGGAGGGAAAGGAGAAAGGAAACAAGTAGACATAAAAACCAACTTCTAACAACCTACGCATCAAATTGCCACCGACCATAAAAAACCTAACAAAGAATTCAACGAACACCTCGTCCGAAAGCATAGTAAAAATCCATCCGCTCCATTCTGAACCCATCAGATTTTAAGTTCCAAGTGTCTTATTTCAAAATGTCTTTCTCAGAAACAAACGAAATGCAAATTTTGTCTTGATTCTATCTAGTTGCTCGGTTGAGCTCCTTCACGTCGTTTGCGGGTACCCCTGTCTGCTAAAAGAGGGTTTATGACAAGTAGTAAGCAAAAAGCCTAAGTACCTCGGTCCGCGATGTTCTCTTCCGCCCTGGCCCTGATCGAGAGGAGAGCACGCCGGAATGCACCAGCAGCGTCGTCTGCCTTCTGCCGGTGGTTACGGATCTCCTGCTCGCAGAGTAGCCGCAGATCCACCATCTTCCTGTACACAGGGTGCGGCTCCGTTCCCCCTTGCATCGTCCTGCTCCTCGTGCACTCACCCAGCCCAGAGATCACGGCACATGGAGATAGGTACCCACCATCTAGAGAGAGATAGAGAGAGAGCGGAAGAGAGAGAGAGAACGAGCGAGGAAGAGATAGAGAGAAAGAGAGAGAGAGAGAGAGAGAGAGATAGAGAGAGAAGCACTTTGGTTTAAAACTCGAGGACTAGCGCGCCATTTTGAGGATTGGTGGCTTCGCCTGTGATTCCAACGAATTCTCCTCACCTTTTAAGCGTTTGGAATGCGGAAAAGGAAACCGAAGTAATCCTCTCACTGCACTCTTATCCAGGCCGGGCCTAGGGCTTTTAGAACATCAGCCCGTTAACAGACTGAGAGTCGGGCTTTATTCTTAACGGCTGGGACGGTACCGGCTTGGCCCAAAACCTTTTAAATATCATCATTATGGACCAGGCCCGATAAGGATCCCATATGTCTTCACACCCTGCGGGGTTCGTGGGAGACTCCTAAATGATTCCGCAGGAGCACCAGAACAGGGGCTAACTGAAACCCAAAACCTATTATGTACTCTCTCGGAGAATGGCGGAGGGTGGCGGAGAGGCAGAGTTTGCAGAGGAAGGAGGGGGATGGCGACCGCAGGGATAGTGATGAGGAAGACGAAGCAGATTGCGAGGCGGTCGAGCAAGTACCTGGAGGAGGTGCTGTACAGGCGGCTCTTCAGGGAGGGCAGCGCGGAGGCCAGCGTGAAGAAGGAGCTTGACGGGTTCCTCAAGAGTCGCAAGCGCGTCTTCAAGTGGGAAGTCGGCGTGTCTCTCCGCAAGCTCAGAAGCCGCCGACGATACCGCCCCGCTCTCAAGGTAAGTGGATCGAGCAGATGTGTTGATTCGGGATATGTCCATGAACAGTATGATCTGTTTCTGAGCGGATTCATTGCTAAACTTTTTTCATTTACGCCAGAAAAAAACGAAAAAAAATTGCGCTTTGCTACTCCCAGTTTGCCGTTGGAATTTTTATACTTATTTATTTATTCGCGCTTCCAAGACGATATTTTACTATGCAGTGCTTTCTCTGGGATTTTGGTTTTTCTATTTCAAATCCAAATTCAAAACATCTTAAGCTTTAATTTAAATGATTCTCTGAAAATGTGAGGTTCTATGCATTGAATTCTTCTCTCCGTGACCTTAGGGGAATCAGTTGTAGGAGTTGCATTTTCTCTGTCTTTTGAAAGAAGACCTAGAAGTAATAAAGAAGTTCGGATCCAGGAAACTATTCTCATTCGGTCTCTTCTATGAGTACCACAGAATGAAGAAGAATTTATATCATCTCGTATACGTATACTTTTGAGAGAAGGTAAAAGAGAAACACCTAAATATTTCTACCAGAGCAGAACATTCTTTATTTATGTGTTAAACCTGTTCTCTTGATGTCCTACAACGACAACAATTTTGGGACATCATTTTTATGGAACTATGAGAATGGACAACGACATGAAGAGGGATTCTACTATTAAAATATTATTTCAATTGTATAACCTGAAGTAATGGAAAATACCAAAGCTTATGCTAAAATTGCTACTAGCAGTGAATCTTGGGAACTGCTAATGATGTAGTTGGCATCGCAGCGTTTGCTGGACTACATTCGACTGAGAGATCTGATAAGTAGGAAGCTGAAGGCCTTGCTGCATGTAATCTGGTGGTTTCAGTGTGCCAAGCCCTTTGATCTCTTTTATATGGAGGATTTTGGGCCATGTACCTCAGAAGGTTGGAACGGTTGTGATGTCGGTTTCCAACAGGCTTCAATGAAGAGGAGATGTTAGGTGATAAATGAAGAAAGGGTGGCATGCTTGGATGGGATGGGAGGACATCAACCATCTTGGACTAGAAGTGTGCTCTCTGTGAATTTTTTTGACAATGGAGGTCTATGAAGTCATTCGAAGGAGAAGTTTTTTACAATCATCAAGCATCTTGTAAGGATAAGGTGTCCTGGTGTGATCCCCCCTTCCCTCTCTTATAATTTAAATTGTTAAGTTGGTTGGGTGCGTTTTTTTTTTAAAATCTACTGTTGTGGCTTCCATTGTTTTTATGTGTACTGGTGGTATTGTTCCTGTCCCTCTCCATGGCACTTTCCACTTTCCCCTTTCCTAATAATATTAGTTCCTCAGTTAGTTGGGTGCGGCTATGCTTTCTTTCTTCCGATGGATTCTATTATATTATTTGAAATTCAGTCTACAGGGGTTGTGATGAAAAAGTTCATTTTTGTGTATTTATATCTGAGGTTATTTCGCTGCTTTCCTTCTTTTCAGTATCTGTAGTTGCAGTGAAACATATAATGAGAGGGAGGATTCCATGACTCTAAGAAGACATAGTTACCTTAAGAATTTACCTCAGTTGATTATTGCCACGTTCATGTCATACTCAAGGTACAGTAATTTTGTGCCAGAATGGAAAAATGGTGCTCTGTGCAGTCATGGATTGGGTTAGTCATGTACTTAAGCTATCTATATTCTCCTCTAGGCCATTTTCTCAATTATTGGATACTTCATGATCATAAAATATTTACATACTCTGACGACCAAAATTGATGTCACCGACATGGTTACCAACATGGCTCCACCAGTTCCAATTTATACGTATTAGGTTAAGAATAGTTAGCCGAAAAACCCTCAATTGTAAGCATTAGATAGATGCCCTTTGACCAAACAATCTTTCTGATTGTACTTATAAAGGAGGGACCCTGAATCTTCAGTATCTAGCTCACCAAGTCAAAGGTTATATTATGCATTTCAGACTAAATGGGTCTGCAGTGTTGATGGTGAACCCAATGTCGGTTCCCCTTTGCTATTTCTCTTTCCACTTCCCAGTGCCCATGGGCTTTGCCTCACACCATCTCATCGATCTACTAGCCAAATTTTCAAGTGATGTATAGTTTTATCCTTGATCTCTCACAGTATGATCGCCTCTGCTGCAGCTTTCAGAGGTGATGTCCAGAAGAGGCATGAACTTGACTCCCAGCGACCACGCAATACGCCTTGACCTCATCGCAAAGTCAAGGGGAATCGCCTCTGCCGAAGAGTACTTCGTGAACCTTCCAGAACCTGCTAAAAACCACCTTGCCTATGGCTCCCTCCTCAACTGCTACTGTAAGGAGCTCATGACTGAAAAAGCCGAAGCCCTCATGGAGAAGATGAAGGAGCTGAGGTTCAACACGAGCGCAATGTCCTACAACAGCCTGATGACTCTTCACACCAAAACCCACCATCCAGAGAAGATCCCGAGCATCATCCAGGAGATGAAGGGTGCTGACGTCATGCCCGACTGCTACACCTACAATGTGTGGATGCGGGCCCTCGCCGCCATGCAGGACATCCCCGGTGTAGAGAGAGTTGTGGAGGAGATGAGGAGAGATGGTCGCGTCAGCGCTGACTGGACCACCTACAGCAACCTGGCGTCGATCTATGTGGAGGCCGGATTGTTCCAGAAGGCTGAGGTGGCACTCAAGGAGCTGGAGAATCGGAATGGGGCCCGCGACTTGGGAGCCTACCAGTTCCTCATCACGCTCTACGGCCGGACGGGGAACCTCGTTGAAGTCCACCGGATCTGGCGATCAATCAAGCTCGCCTTCCGTAAGATGGCTAACATCAGCTACTTGAACATGATACAGGTCCTGGTCAACCTCAAGGACCTACCTGGCGCAGAGGCCTGCTTCAAGGAGTGGGAGTCCAGCTGCTCCAATTATGACATCCGGGTGGTCAACGCCCTCATAAGAGCCTACACCAAAGAGGGAAGGATCAACGATGCTGAGGACATCAGGAAGCGAGCAAAAGTCAAAGGGGGGCGACTCAATGCCAAGACCTGGGAGATTTTCATGGACTATTACCTGGTCAGAGGCGAGATGGGGCCCGCCCTTGACTGTGCTGATAGAGCGGTCAAGAAGGGGCGGAGCCAAGGGAGGGAGTGGGATCCACCGGCTGGGGCGGTTGACTCGCTGATGGCCCACTTTGAGGAGCAAAAGGACGTGGCCAGTGCGGAGAAGCTTATTGGGCTGGTGAAGTCGGTGAGGCGGCGGCTGGAGGCGGAGCTGCTCGAGTCCCTGATCAGGGTGTATGCCGCCGCCGGCAAGGCCTGCCCGGGGATGCGGCAGAGGCTGAAGATGGAGGGAGTTGCAGCCAGCGAGGCCACCGAGAGGCTGCTTCTCGATGTGGTATGCCCTGAATGATCCTTCTTTTTTGGCATATTTTCCTGAAATGGTGGTCTTCATCTTTCACCCCAATTAGCATCACCATCATCGATCATCATCGATCATCATCGATCATGATCATCATCACCATCATGATCATCATCATCTCTTTTGGAATGATGAGAGTGAGTGGGTTTGATGGGTTGTTGGGGGCACTTAAAGTGGGGAGGGGTGTGAGAATCTTCCACCCCCCATCCATGCGACTTGCAGTGTGAGAGGGAAGGCGGTTCTGATGTATTGTTTAGGGTCGGAGCATGATTCCGTAGAGACTTGCCGATTATGGAACTCTACATCTTCTTGTGGTAATTTCTTGATTGAGGATACCCATTCAAAATAGGTCTTGGGGGGACTCTATGTGGGATACCTATCTCACCCGACCCAAATGGACTAATCTCGATTTGTTATCAGTGTAGCTAACCATCTCTCTCTCTCTCTCTCTCTCTCTCTCTCTCTAGCTATCCATCTATATATATATATATATATATATATGTGTGTGTATATATACAAGGTATAAAGAGGGCTGTCTTTTCTCTCTCTCTCTCTCTCTCTCTCTCTCTCTCTCTCTCTCTCTCTCTCTCTATCTATCTATCTCTATACGTATACGTTCATGGGTGACACATAAGGAGAGCTGGGTTGGTCCTCTCTCTCTCTCTCTCTAGCGATCTATCTATCTCTATAGGTATACATACATGGGTGGCGCATAAAGAGAGCTGGGTTGGGCCTCTCTCTCTCTCTCTAGCTACCTATCTATCTCTATATGTATACAAACATGGGTTGTGTATAAGGAGAGCTGGGTTGGGCCTATCGGATCCAGGCTCATTTTCGGGGCTGCCCTCTGGAGGAAGGTTAGGGCTCGGCAATTGCTGAAGAACTCGGGCGGGGACATTCGTGAAGCCCGAGGCTGGGCCTTTTGAAGGCCACATACTACAATTTATATTATTCTATATCAAATAAAGCGTATAATATATATATTTCTTGGAAGACAATGGAAAATGCATTCGGCAGCAGGTCAGCTGGATTGATTGTTCTCGTTGATGGGCGGTGAATTCGGAACCAGCGGACAATTTTCTTTGATTCTGACGTAAAAAAGACTAATTTGCACGGAATTGAGTTCGGATGAGCTCGAACTGGTCGAAATTTATAGCTTTTGATCATCTGAGCGTTCTCCGGCGAGGGAGGGGGGGTATCGGAGAAAATGGGCCTCAGAATTGAAGGGAAGATCGCGAGGGTGAACGGGAAGGAGCTGCGATATGCAGAGTTCGCAGAAAGATATCTCACGAAGAACCAGCCCGTCGTGCTAACGGGGCTCATGGAGGGGTGGAGGGCTTGCGAGGACTGGGTAACCGACGATGGGCGCCCCAATCTGGGCTTCCTCTCTGCCCACTTTGGGGTTTCCAAAGTTACGGTAGATCTCTCACTCTGTCTCTTGGTTTCTCTCTCAACCTTTGTCCTTGAAGATAGCGGAGGTCGGTGATCGTTGATGGGCAGAATGTACAGAGCACGACTCGGAAATCGCCGTCAGTTTCCTTTTAGAGCTCTGTCTCCCGCATTTTCGGAGGCTTTAGTGTTTGTTCTATAGGAGAAGATGAACGTATGACAGATGACTGCACTACTGTCGATCCTTCTTTGCATCTAGCAACAGCAGTCTCATGCCTTAATATTTGCTTACAAAGCAGATAAATTAGTAGATTTTTCTGCAATCTTTTCCAAGGGTCTATTGATCCTGCACGATAAACCCTAGTTTCTACGGCCAAATTGTGAATATTATCTTCCAAAATCCCTCTGTCAAACCATGAATCTTTCCGATGCTACTTAAAGCACCTGTTCTTCGTATTTTCTTCATGTCCACCGGCAGTCCCCATCTCCTGTGCGTTTAAAACACTTGTTCTTTCTAATGAACCTCTCAGTGGATGCGCAATTGGATCCGCTGCATGTATCCAATCTATTCGCCTTCTTACTGGAGAAGTTCTCCTTTGACTCATGCGACTTCTCTTATCTCTACACTTTCTTCAGGTTCTCAGCAGAGCAGTAAACGCTATTGTGACCACTGTTAAGGATCGAATGCTTCACCTCTTTCTAACTTGTGCAATATTCAATTTCTTTCTTGTGTTTACGACCTCCTCATACATTGTGGAATAAGATTGATATGCTGTCATTTACTTGTTTTTTGGCATTAAAAAGAACCACATACATGCTATCTCGCTCTGTATATGGGTTATATTTTGAGGTTGATATGCTGTCATTTACTTGTTTTTTGGCATTAAAAAGAACACATACAAGCTATCTTGATCTGCATATCGGTTAAATCTTGAGGTTTGATGGAGTTTTTTTTTAATGATAGCACTTGAACATTGGTTCATTTGACTTTGGCAATTCTTAGGTAATCATATAATCCCTACAGCTACTCCATCATTCATCTCTGACTATTGTTCAGATTAAAACCAATGCTGCCTTGGTCTGCTAGACTAATTACCATCTTTACTCCTGTCTCATCTCTAGTGTTCCATTTTTTTGTGGAAAATTTTGAATACCCTGCGTTGTTAGGAAGAAGAGTATGGGATTCTTTTTTTTTTTTTTTATGCTAACTCGAGCCCGTCAAAAACCTGTAGGTAGCGGACTGCTCCAGAAGGGAGTTCACTGATCAGAAGAGAACTGAAATGTCTGTTTCAGAATTCATGGACTACTGGGAGATGTTTTCTGCTGGAAGCTGTCATAGTAAAAATACGAATCTCAATGAAGATTCTCAGCCTCTTCTTTATCTCAAGGACTGGCATTTTGTTAAGGTATGATGCGAGTTTCATCAGCTTTCTTTATTTTTCTTAATTTGGAGGTTGCTTCAATGATCTTTGTTTCATTTTTTTTTCCATTTTTTGTTCTGGGTTGGAGATACCTTTCCTTGAAATGAGGCAGGGTTGTCCTTGGCATCCACGTCTAACAAAAAGGTTGCAACCATACATGAAAATCTTTTGAATTTTGAGAAAATAGTTGATTATGAATGAGGAACTAGACAGATACTGTGCCATTTTAGGTTAAAATGTGATAGGTTTTATACAGATTGGAGACTAAATATTTCAGAGCTTGTGCTTGTGCATTTCAGTGCTTGTGCATTTAGAGGCTGTAAACATTATACCCCAATGTAAAAAAAAACATGGGAATGGTAAATATTTCATCTGACGGAATTTTAAACTATCGTTCAAATTAGTTTTCTTTCCTCACCATCTTTTCAGTTGATCCTCAGGAACACCCTGCATATGTGGCGTACGAAACCCCATCATTTTTTCGTGATGACTGGCTTAACATCTACCTCGACAGCTACAACATGCACCAGGGTTCAAAAATGCAGCGTGATCAAAATGAAATAAACTGTTCTGACTATCGGTTCGTTTACATGGGACCCAAAGGTTTGTGCTGATATGATAGGATGTATTACTGCTATTGACATTTGTTTTGCTCTCTGGTGTCTTTCATTTGAGTTGCCCTCAGCCTCTTGTGTGCACTTTTCTTCGTTTTGTCCATCTGTCTGTAAGTGTTTCTCTTGATCCAATTTTATATTGAACCTTTACCTAGATACTGTGCTCCGCTTGCCCAGGTACTTGGACTCCTCTTCATGCTGATGTGTTCAGATCTTACAGCTGGTCTGCAAATGTGTGTGGGAAGAAGCACTGGTATCTTTTACCACCTTTCCAGAGCCGGCTTTTGTTTGACAGGTATGTCCAGGATTCCAAGTATGCTGGTATATTGTCTGTCCAGCTCATAAGTTCGAGCTGGATGAACTTTCTATCCATAGAAAAAATTGCAAAACTACATTCTGCCATTGTACCACAAGTTTGCCTTCTTCAAACCCGTTTGGTAATTCAGATTGGATCGGCAGTGTCTGATCCGTTCTTTGGGTGAGAGGGATCTAGGTCTTACACTTTCAGTAATTAGTAAAATTAAAAATAAAAAAAAACCCATTTAAGATGAGGTCAAATTGGTCGGTTCTATGGAAAATCTGATTTCATCTCATTCTGATTTCCTAATTTCCGGCGAGAGCATTGTCACCTGAGAAAAAATGCAAGAGACCAGAACCCGTCATGAGCAGTGGAAAACAGAGGAAGATGAAGAGTGAAGGGCAGGTGCAAAGAAAAAAAAATAGCGAATTGATGAGATGACATCCGCTGCCCCTGCTTGCATGAGAAAGGGGAATTGTCGTTGGGGAGAGTGATTTAGCATGCATCTCATTTATTTAGAAAAACCCTCATTAAAAATGTCAAGGTATATATTTTATAAGTTAATAAGGTGAGAACCCCTCCCCCACCAACCCACCCCCCCCCCTCCCCCCCCCTGCCACTCAGAAGCACTGATCACATCCTCTTCTTACCCTTTTGTTTCATATTTTTGGTTTAGAGAATTTCTGAGAGATGAAAGTTAGCCTAAAATTCACTGTTCATGCATCTAATGGTGTAATTCATATCTGATTATTTTCATTTAATTCGGACAATTACTATTTTTCATTGAATGCATACAGAAACCAGAGAAATACTGTCTACAACATCTTTGACGAAGTCTGTGAAAATCAATTCCCAGGATTTCCACAGGTAATTAGTCATCATATACTGTTCCTTGACTAGTTCTGTCTAATCTGAGTGCTTATTTTATATACAGACTGTTTGGTGGGAGTGTGTTCAAGAAAAAGGTGACATCATTTTTGTCCCTAGTGGATGGTTTCATCAAGTTCATAACCTGGTAAAGTTTGCCGCTCATATTTTGCCATCTGTAGGCATTATCATGGTTACCATTCATTTGCTTTCTTACTTATCCATTCCCTTAAATGCTGTATATTTCATCGTTCTGGCTAATCTTGCAATCACGTTTCCGCCTCTCGGCGCTTTGAACTGTTACATGAGGCTCAGGAAGTTGTATTCCTGCTGGATGTGCATTACAGTTTCCTGCTCATCTACTGTTTAGACTTCAAGCAAGGTGCATATGCTTCGTTATTTGGTTGTGTTTTGACAGTGAAATGGACGATCATGGTTGTAGTTGACCATTAGTTATTTATCTAAGTATCTACTTTCACGGATTTTAATTTTTTTTTTACGCTCATTTAGGAGCAATTTATAATTATCTTCTGGTCTTACAGGAAGATACGATATCTATAAACCACAACTGGTTTAATGGCCACAATCTGGACTTCGTGGTGAGTCAACGCTAGAAAGCTTGGTGAAATTTATGTTTTGCTTTTTTCTTCACACTCGATTTCAACACTTACTGTTTTCGCAGTGGAATTTGCTCCTCAGTGACTACTGTGAAGCGAAGAACTACATAGAAGACATCCGCGACATATGTGATGACTTTGAGTGGCTGTGCCAGAGGAATCTTGCAGCGAACACAGGTAAATGAGTACGACTTGACTTGACCATTTTAAGGAAAGTCAAAGAACACTTTGCTGAAACTGCCGCCTTCTTCGTTTCTTGACTACCCACAGGCATGAACTTCTATGACTTCTTCATATTCATCGTTAGATGGACAGTGGCCAGCTCGGTCTTGCTGCGCCAGCTGAAAAGAGAGGAAAGCTCGCTCTTCTCCTCGTTGACCAAGGTGGTCCAGCACCTCGTCTCTAACCTAATTGCAGTATACAATGTCGCTAAGGGTATGGAGTCTGTCGAAGCATTTACCGAGGATAATCTGCCCAGATACTCAGGGGAAGATTGGAGTTTGTTGTGTGATGTCGATAGAACATTGGGAGAGGATGAATTCCAAGAATTCGCCAGGGCCATCATGGAATCGAATGGCCTGAACGATGAACTGAAGGAACAAGATCTTGAGTTGAACAGCGAATCCTTCCTTTCAGATGGCTACTTCTCTGCGTGCTTCTCCCCTTCAGTTCTTCAGAAATTGGATCCACTCTGTTCCTCCAGGGTCAGCCTTTGCAGCCCCGGTGATCTTCTGAGACTGATCGAGCATTTTTTCCTTGGCCCAGATGGCGTATGCAGTGGGCTTGATCTCAGTTTATTCCCAGATATCCCATTCAAGAGTTAGATTTGTCATGTGGTCAGGAATATTGATGAACCCATTTGCTGAAAAAAGATAAAAAGAACCCTTTTTATTGGGTTTCAAAGGCCCGTAATGCCGTGGATTATACCTCTGCTTACTTCCAAGATGTCCCATGCAAGCGTTGACTCTGTTACGATGAGCCCATCTGCCGAGGAGGAAAAATGTACCCTATTTTATTAGGTTTCCTGTCTTCTTCAACAGATGGAGTCGAATAATCCTCGAGACCAGCTTCAGGTGGGTGCCTATTGCTTGCCGTTTTTGAAGACAATCAGATGGTCAACCCTCACGGCAGCTGGGCTTCTTAAGGAAATGGTGGATGCAGCAGATGGGCGACCCGTCACTGTGATAGGAAGCTCATTTTGACTTTCTCCGCATCTGGGCAAGTAGAAAGAAACCTCCTTTTTTTGTGGGGTGGGATTCTTGCCTGAATGGCGATCTCTGCCTCCGCTTTTTTACTTCTCTGGAGTCAAAACACAGCGATCTGTATGCTCTTGAAACCAGGTCAACTAACCAGCACAGAGTCTGCTCGATTCCTGAAGATGTTGTTCTTAAAGAGTCAACCGTGGGATAAATTCTAAATGGGCAACCGGAGGAGTCTGATCTGAACCGACCACCAGTTCTGGTAGCAGGAAGAAGATATACACCAAAACTGAAGCACTTGGACCACACTGAGCAAAGCACAAAACGATCCGTTGACTCTTAAATGGGGGCGTCAGCGGGCTAGAATTTTACAGTGGCATGGCTCTCAACCTGCTCCACATTTCTGGGAGGACCTTATGAGATTCACTACCAAAAATAGCATATCAGTTCTTCTGATTACGGAGGAAGCCGCTCATCTGCAACCAACATGCTCTTCTAATGGTAGTCCTCCATCACTATGACCCCTTATGATAGGTAAATAAAAGTACACAAACGTTGACTTTTTACTTATTATTCTGTATTTATATCTGTATTAACAATCTGGATGTACTTTTGTAAATTTAAATGAAATCGGTATCTTGTGGGACAATTTACAATTTTGGATAGGAAATCATTTAGGGGTGAATGGTCAACCCACATGGACGTTACCCGAGGCCCTCCAGTCGCACAGAGAGAGAGAGAGAGAGGTTAATATTTTTATTATAATTTATTTCTAAATATGTGTATGTTTAGTCTTATAGATATGGGGGAGCCACGTGCCATGTGGCCGCCACATGGGCCGCCACGTCGCCAGTCGCAGAGAGAGAGAGGGGTTAATATTTTTATTATAATTTATTTATAAATATATGTATATTTAGTCTTATAGATATTGGGGAGCCATGTGCCACGTGGCCGCCTCCACGTCGTCGTGGGACCTAATATTCTACGTATTTCATAAGTTAATACTATTTTCTCACCTGGAAAAAAACTGAATATAAAACCCTACAAAAAAATATAATTTTATTCCCCCCCTGATTGAATCCAAAATTTTATTATTATTTAGTGGAGAATATCATAAACAGTTGCCCACCCGAGAGGTCCCATCAATCTACACGGACACCCTTTTCTTCTAGAAGAGTCGATAGAGATTCGGACACGAGATCCGCGGTACTTCCAGCAACGTTAACGCCGCCGAAATTCGGACGGGAGCAAGTGGGGTGTCCTCGCGTGGAAAGATTCCGACAGGTGACGGACAACGGAGCACGGAATAAGTTCCAAAAAAGGTATAAATAATTATTATCCAGACGAAATAAATAATTTCCTAGGAGTAATCCCAGGATTGCTTGTCTTGTCCAGGACAAGTGGGGGGGAGTTAGTGGATGAGGTCGGGCCAAAAATAGGGAAAAAAATCCAAGATCAAAAGCTGGTGTCTACTAGTTGACCATTAAACTTATTGCCGAAAATAGATAATAATTCCTCCGGTAGGTACTCTGCCACGCTCTTCGGAGATGCTTGTCAAGGAGGAGCCTTGACCATATCATCACGTGGTTTTTGTGGGGCCCCACATTCAAGACAAATCACAAAATTGTCATCGCCCCCATGTTTTTGGGATCCAAGATCAACAGCAATATCTAGACCCAACCAACCCATTTTTTAATTTCTTTTTTTTACCACAAATGGTATGAGGTCTATACCAAATTTAGCCTTTTGAAGGTCTAGACCCATCCAAGAGAGAGTTTGAATTATCCAATTTTGGGAACAAATAAAGTCAAAATTCGCTACAAATCTAGGTCATATCAGGGCCTTGACCCAACCAACCCTCGCTTGAAACCATGTCAGATGTTGACCAGATTGAACCACTTACCCTCCTGGTCAACAAAATCTCAAGAATGCCTAGCTTCGTCATGGGCTGGAGGCGGGAGGAGCTGTGAGGGCTTTTTTTCTTTTTGGGCCCGCCAGTCTTATTTTATATAAAAAATTATCCTATTTTCATGAAAATATTTAGGTAAATATTTTTTAAGAATATTTTTAGGCCAAAAAAAATAAATTACGTGAAAATATTCAGAGAATTTTTTTCTTGCAGGTGTTTGAAGGAATATATTTTCAGGAGGGATAATTCATATAAAACTCGTGTTCTCGGAATATTATTTTTTAATAAAATATTGCTTGATAATTAATTATAGGAGGAGGAATAATTAAATATGGCTGACCGCGGCCGATGCGCCGCGTGGATGATGGAAAATATCTAAAACACCTCCACTTAATGGACAATGACAGTTGTTCCCCGAAGAATGTGCGGAATTCGAACCATCGCGCATGAAGATTCGGACTGTCCGACCGCCGTCAACGTCGTACGTCAGGACTCCCATTCGGACAAAAAGATTCTAAAATTTCCCAAAAAAGCTGACTTGGGAGCGGATATTTTTAGAAAAATATTTATCTTATTCGTTTCACAATTTTTGAAATTTCTAGATACTTTTGAAAATTGTTTTTTATTTTTAAAAAAAGGCTTAGTGGGGCTGTACTTTGGCGAATAAGGTTAGTAGGAATTATATGGAATTAAAATTAGAGAATGCTGACCCCAATAAAAAGCCCCCCCGGTGAGAAGAGGAGCGGATAATTGAGGCATGTAATATTATAAATGCACCCCCATAAAACTGGGAAATGACAATTATACCTTACAAGAGGATGCTTTTAGAGAGAGAGAGAGAGAGGGGGGTCGGAGATCCTAAAAAAAACTTTGGAAAGGTTATTTTTTTATAAAGTTATTTATTTTATTGCTCTCGCAATATCCAAGGTGGAGTATAATAGTTTGGTGACGAAGAACAATAAGAATTATATGCACTTATAAATTAGAGAAGGTGAGCAAGAGGATTTATATTGGCGTAATAAAAGGACCCCATTGAGAAGAGGAGAAGATATCAGAGGCTTCTAATATTATAAAGGCACCCCCATGAAACTGAGCAATGACAATGAAACCTCACAAGAAGATGACTTTAGAGAGAGAAGAGATAGAAGGGGGAGAAAGTGAGAGGGAGAGGAGACAGTGAGAAGAGAAGAGAAGAGAGAGAGAGAGAGAGGCGTGCGTCGGAGATGCTCTCAACGGGGACAGCGGCGATTCCTGCCGGGGCCGCCGTAGTAGAAGTAGGTGCCCCAGAGGCGGTGGAGGCCGCCGCGGATGTCGTAGCAGGCGGGGCGGTCGGCGAGGAGGCGGAGGGCCGGCGGGGGGACGAGGGAGTTGTCCCAGTCGACCACCTGGAGGTTGCGGAAGTATGAGGCCCTGCCGAAGCCCTCGCCGGAGAAGCGGCCGCTGCCCATCTCGGTGGCGGTGTGGTAGGAGGGGCCGCCGCCCCCAGCCGGACCGCCGTTGACCACCTCGCCGCCGAACTGCACCATGGTCGCGTGCTGCCCGAGATGGCTGAACAGCTCCGACGGCCAGTACCCCACGATAAGGCGCCCCCCAAACTCCAGCCACCAGTGCCCTTGCTTCGGATCCTACACCACCACACGTGTGAGCGAGAGAGAGAGAGAGAGAGAGTAGATCTTCGTCTTCAGTTCCCGTCCAATGAGCAGACTGATGTCGAACTGAGCGGCGCAGAGAGAACCCAGAAAAAGACAGCGAGCGAGAGAGAGAGAGAGAGAGAGAGAGAGAGAGAGAGAGAGAGAGAGAGAGAGAGAGAGAGAGAAACCAGCAACAGAAAAAGATAGCCCAGGTAGAGCGATAAAGATAGATAGATAGATAGATAGATAGATAGATAGATAGATAGAGAGAGAGAGAGAGAGAGCAGCAGCAGCAGCAGAATAAGAGAACCCAGATAGAGCGTTAGAGATAGAAAGGGGGAGAGAGAGACAGAGAGAGAGAGAGCAGCGGCAGCAGCAGCAGAAAGAGATAACCTAGCCAGAGAGATATAGAGATAGAAAGAGAGAGAGAAGTATAGATCTTCGTCTTCGGTTACTTTCCATATTAGCAGACTGATGTCGAACTGAGCGGCGAGAGAGAGAGAGAGAGAGCAACAGCAGCAGCAGAAAGAGATAACCCAGCTTGAGCGATAGAGTGATAGAAAGAGAGAGAGGTATAGATCTTCGTCTTCGGTTACTTTTCATACGAGCAGACTGATGTCGAACTGAGCGGCGAGAGAGAGAGAGTTTATGGGTCTTCGTCCTCGGTTACCTTCCATATGAGCAGGCTGATGTCGAACTGGGAGCCCCCGTAGGTCGATATGGGAGAGATCGCCGTGCCGATGGCGAACTTGTTGGTCGTCTGGACGAATCCGGAGCAGAGGAGGTTGTAGCATCCAGTCGTCTGGTAGGAATCGCTCTTCCGAGAGACGATCATCCAACCCCAAACTCAGCACTCTCCGATCATCGTTTTAATCACAATCTAAATATTATCGATAAAAAATACAGAAAGGAAACCCCGCGAGAAGAACAGCTACTCACTGTCCAGTAAGTGAAGAACCGCGGATAAGCGTCCCCGTACAGCTCCGGGCTCACCTGAGAGATGAATGATGATGTAATCAGAAAAAAAAATTCTCTTTTTTAATCAAAATCGAGTATCTAAACTAAATTTTGTTCTTATTTTTTTATGGGCAGAAGATAAAAAAAGGCATCGAAGGTATTTCTGTATTGGACGTAAGCAAATGGGGAAACTATGGTTTTTAACGTACCTGCCAGCCGGCTTCGATCGTGTTGAGATCATCTCCGAAGGAACCGGATATGACCCAGATCTGAGATAAGCTGAACTCGGAAGGGCTGCTCACCTTGGGAGCCCACACATTCAAACTGGCTTTCGCACCAAAATACTGGTCTCCAATCACATACCCGACTGCATGCTGCAACCACCAAAAATGTATATTAATCTACCATTGATATTATTATAAAGTTCTTGGGGAGTATGTCTCGAACGGGTTCTTCTTGGATATTATTAATTCGGAAGAAAGCAAGCTTTTTTAAAGGAGAACTCTGGGGAAAGTTGGAGAAAAATGCGCGGAGATCTGTGCAAGCAGTTTGGTTGGAGATTTGGATTCCTGAAAGAAATCTGAGGGACGGGTGCTGTCCTCTCTGTGTTCTTGGAGATTGAACAGCAAGAAAGCTGACATTTTGTTGCAAGAACGGCGGGTGAGAGAGAGAGAGAGAGAGAGCGAAAGGAGAGAGACATAGTGAGAGAGAAAGACGTAGAGGGAGAGAGAAGAGAGACTCGGTGGAGAGAGTAGGAGAGAGAAACGTAGACGAAGAGAGTAGGAGAGACGTAGAATGAGGGATGAGAGGAAACTTAGACAGAGAGAGTAGGAGAGACGTAGAATGAGGGAGGAGAGGAAACATAGACGGAGAGAGTAGGAGAGACGTAGAGTGAGAGAGAGAGAGAGAGAGAGAGAGAGAGAGAGAGGGAAATGGAGATACGGGGGAGGGAGAGGGAGAGGGAGATGGAGATGGAGATGGAGATAGGGGGAGAGGGAGAAGGAGATAGAGGGAGAGGGAGAGGGGGGGGGAGAGGGAGAGAGAGAGAGAGAGGGAGAGAGGGAGAGTGGGAGAGAGAGAGAGAGAGAGAGAGAGAGAGAGAGAGAGAGAGAGAGAGGAAGAAGGTCGACAAACCTCATGCCCGCCGGTGGCCGACAACGGCCGTCGTCTCGCCGCGGGCTTCCTACCGAATCTTTTCACAGAGCTCGCTCTCAACACGTCCGCCTCCGTGGCCCTCCTTATAGGAACCGTTCCCCGCGGGCACGACTCGCCGGAAGCAGCCCACGACTGAAAACTCGCCGCTGTCGCCGGGTCCGCCGCCGCCGCTTGCCCTCTCGGCCTCTCCGGCGGCTCCTGGAACCACGGAACCCACATCATCCACAGAAAATCGAAGACTCGCGCAGATCCAAGGCCGAAATATCCACCCACCAGCGGCTTCTGTCCTAACAGCTTCGGATGATCAAACGCCGGCTGGAGATGGCTCGGAACGCAGTCGATTAGGTCACCCTCTCCGCTCTGCAAGAAAGAAAAATCAAACTTAACCCACCACAAACTCTTCGGGCGGCAGCGCTAGGGTTTGAGTGACAAACCTGGATCGTCTTCAAAGAGGGCTTCTGCAACTTCCTCAGGCGGGCCCTGACCCGCCGGAGCGTCTCAAGCTCCACCCGTGAATGAAGCGTGGTGTTCGCCTCCGGTGGAGGAAGGAGGAGGACCGGAGGAGGAAGGAGGAGGAGGAATCCAACAAAAAGAGCAATGATTGAGGAAGCCCTGGAGTAGCAGCTAGTTGCCATCCGGAGGAAACTCTGGTGTTGTCTTCCTCCTCCTGGACTTACCCGGGCATCTGTACATTTGCGGGGATGGGTTGTCTTCTTCCTCCTCCCGAAGCTTTCTTCCTCTGGTACAGCCCAGACCACCCGCTACCTTCACGACGCGCTTATTCATGGAACTCTCTCACCTCGCCATGGAAGGCGACTCTCTCACCATTTCCAAAGCTTAAAACAAACCCTTCTGCAGCTCAAAACAAGCCCTATCTGGCCCCTCTTCCACCCGTTTTCCTCTGGTCAGCAGCGGAAGACCTCGATCGTCGTTCGTGACAGAGACGTGGGGCACGAGCTACTCGAGTATCTTGCGGTCGAAGGTCTCTCCTCTGGTGTTTTTTTAGGGTTTCTCCCCTCGCAGAGGACATGGGGAAGGGTGACAAGGTGAGGGGGAGTGGAGGGTGGGGGGGGTGAGTGCGTTTTAAAGGGGGTAACGGGAATCCAGCGGGTTCTCCTAAAATAGAGGCCTTTATTAAATTGAAATTTCCTTTTCCCATGTTAAGGTATATAATTATAAATATACCCCGCTTTAAAACGCAGTATAGAATGTTTTTTGAGTTTTTATCGATGTACCCAGTGCAGAATCAATTAATAATATAAATGCATTATATAATATATAATTATATAAGTACTCCTTTTGCGACGGTTCCTGGCATCTACGGCAACTTTCGCCGTTTACAATTTTCTCTTCCAGCGTCTGGTCTTCTCTCTCTTCATATGGATCGTTAAAGTCATTGGGTCACTGTATTACAAACTATGCGCCTGCTCTTCACCCTCCCCGGCTCTTTCTCTCTCTACCCGCTACCAACTCTCTCTCTCTCTCTCTCTCTCTCTCCCCTTAGCTCGCTTTTTGCCGCCGCCATGAGAGAGAGGAGTAAACGGTGGCAATGATATTCATTATTTATTTATTTTTAATGAAACTCTCTCTCTCTCTTCTCTCTCTCTCTCTTCGTATGTATTGTTAAAGCATTGTGTCACACTGTACGGCAAATTATGCGCCTGCTCTTCTCCCTCTCCAGCTATTTCTCTCTCTACCTGCCACTATTACTCTCTCTCTCTATCTCTTATTCTTTCTCTCTCTTCGTAAGGACTGTAGAAGTCATTGGTCACTGCAGGGCAAACTATGCGCCTGGTTTTCACCCTCTCCAGCTCTTTCTCTCTCTACCCGTCACCATCTCTCTCTCTCTCTTATTCTCTCTCTTCTCGGATGCATTCTTAAAGTCATTGTGTCACACTGTACGGCAAACTATGCGCCTGCACTTCACCCTCTCCAGCTCTTTCTCTCTCTACCACCCTCCATCTCTCCCCCTCTCCCTCTCTCTAGCTCGCTTGTTGCCGCCGCCAACAGAGAGAGAGAGAGAGAGAGAGAGAGAGAGAGAGAGAGAGTGGCCGACATGCTTGAGGGAGGGGAAGCAGAAGTCACTCTGACTGACTGACTGACGCGAAGTGTTCATCTTTTCAAAAGTTATTAACTTTTATATAAATTTAGAACCCCAAATTACAAGAATATTGACGGGAAACTTTAAGCATTTATTACCGCGGAAATAAAATACTATATATTTTAACGGTTTGGCATTTAATGGCATTGCTCGATTTAAAAATACGAAATAAATTCATCCTTGAAATAATTGAAGCTTCGAGAGGATTTTTTGATAAAAAATATTTAAACGCGGGAAATATATTATTTTTTATTAAAATAAAATGAGAATAATGAATCAACTAATTGTTTAATTCTACCCTCTCTTATTGGGCCTGTTTGATTTGTCTGAGCTTATTGGGCCACCTCTTCTTCAAAAGTGGATCAAGCTGGTCACTCTCTCACTCTAAAGAAAGGATTTTGTCACAAAAAAACAAGGATAATTAATTAAAAATATAAATTATATATCCCCATTTTTATATTATTATCATTTACTTCATGGCAAATATATTACAGATATATTAATACATGTGATTATTAAATCGTTAAAACAGTTATGGTATTAAAAATATCAGGCGGGTATAAAGTGAGCCTGTCGAGAATGAAATAAATAAATAGATACAAATATATTCGCGATAGATGTATATCTATACAAATATGAGATTATTACGTTATATTTGAACACATTGTAATTATCATTACTAGACGGGCCAGGCCAGAACTCATTACCCGGAACTCATTATCCGGGCTTTCTAGGAATCTAGCTTGGATTCGGAATTCACATAATAGGAATCAATTCTGGACTTATTTGTAAATGAGACTGATTTTCTAAATGTAGTTTTTTCTGGGTGATTGTGTAATAAAAATGGTTCGAAAACGCTGGTGCTGATGGGGTAAAATCTTGTTTGGAAGATCAGATTGAGAATCGATTCCGTCGACTGAGCCCTTTTTCTGTTCTGGTCGGTGTCGATCATCGCCGACGTAGAGTTGCGCCGCCGCAGAGGAGCGGCGGAGCTTCCCTTGTGAACTCTCACCGGCGGCGAGGGCATCGGTCTCCGGCGGAGAGGGTAATCGAGGGTATAAGGAAGTGGTAGGAGCATGCAATCGGTTCGGAGGCTGCTGCCTCTCTGCCGTCGGAGCCCTAGTGCGTTGATCACCACTAGAGATCTCTCCTCTTCAAGTTTCTACCCTCTGAAGGCGGCTACTGCTACAGGTAGCGCCGGAGGAACACTTATCGCGCAAGTTTACTTCCGCGAGCTCGTCCGTATTTCCTTTTATTAATCCATGTCCGTGAATAATGACGAATGGTTGATAAATACATCTCCAATAGTGCCTGCAACCAAAGAACTTCTAACCTCATCGAGTATCGGACTACAAGTTTTCTTTCTTCCTTTCCTTCTTCAATCTTGCACCTGTGGCATCTGTATTATGTTCCAGATATACCTTCAGTAAGTTCGTCCCGTTTCGAGGCTTCTTGTCTCTTTTTGGTTAAATTAGAGATGAGAAATATGGACCAGAAACATGGGAAACAGGCTTCATGTTCATTTCGATCATGGCAATGCGTCATTCATATAATTTTATGCTAATAAAGAGTATCTTTATGCTGAACTGCTTGCTGGAGAGGGAGGCAGCTGGTATGTCTTCTGGATCAGTAGAGAGAGCTGGGTCAGCTTCCCAGATGTTTTTTGGAGCATGACTCGGATTAACCAGGTTGATTTCATTAGAGCAGCTACAGAGCATACCGTTTTTTAGTCGAGTATAGTGAGCACCTCAAATGCACAAAGTTTGTGTCATGTATTTAACCCTTTAACAACTTGGGAATCCCTTGGAGAGGCCTTGCCAGGCGTCTTGATGCTTCCTTTCATCATTTATCTAACTTTAAGATTTATTTACGAAAATTTCCAAGATTATATGGTTCTCATTTGATTGGCATTCACCCCTACTATGCAGTCTCCTCCCTGAGTCATGGCCCATTAAGTTTCCACATCCAGCACCTTAAGTTGGCCATACGGGCGCATTCATCCAGATGGCAGACAAAGCTCATGATCCAAATGAGGAGTATTCACAATCTAAGCTCATCAGGCATGTTCTGTTTGTATGATCGCCCATTCTGAGTTTTATTTATCCGTAGAACAACGCATGTTCTTGCTGCTTTTCACGCTTCCTCTTTTTTTCTGGTTATCTTTTCTATCCCGTGTGGAAGGGTGTTGATTAATCTTGTCTTGATATTTCGCTTCAATATCCTTGAAGAAAAAATTCAATTTAGTAGTTACATCAAGTTGGGATGGGAACACTACTTATGCCTCCTCAGGAAGGAATCTATGCGTGGGAAGCCTTCTAGGGATCTCTGGAGTCGGCGGAGCCATGTATTTATCGCCAAATGCTGTATATGCTATGAGTGGTGAGCACATACATTATCCCGAGCTTGCAATTTTCTCTGATTATCTTCCTGTCAGAAGATATATTGCCATCTTGAAAGAGGTCTTGAAGTCTTTTTGGGGTATGCTTCCTTTTTCCAAGATGCAGGGAACATGGAGGGGCATCTTCGAGATTCGGAGGACCCTTCTGACTTTTTGAAGCAAGATTTAGATACTGTGTGGGCGTTGACCAAAAAATTTCAGCTGCCGGCCGTGCTGCTTATGACAGTGATATTTGGCTGGCGTCATCCTATCATACTTGCCGTTAACGTTGCTCTCCTTCTCTTCTGCACAAGGCCAAGCCCTTTCTCGGTTTATATTTTTATCGAGCAGGTGAGACAAAGGCATTTGACAACTTATTATGAGAAAAAATTGACGATCCAAGATCACTGTAATGATCATCACATGGGATTGCTGTATAAACTGTCGGATATCCATCTTATGGACTGTTTGGTGGCTGTAGAAGCCTTCAAGCCAGCTTGATGATCTCAAGAGGTGTTATTTTTCTTTACTGGTGGGAAATTTATGAGACTCTTATCTTCTCTCTATGTTGACTTTATAGCTGCGGCGACGGGCAATGCGTCAGAACCCTGGCTTGTCCAAAACAAAGGTTAGAGCTATTCTCCCTCCCTCCCTTCCGAATTATTAGAGTAATCAAATATTAGTTCTTTCTAAATCTAGTTTATTTATGGCCACATGGCATACAAGATAAAAGATTAACCAATCTAATTGCATGGACACAATTCTAGGCCAATCTGGCTAAATTCTGCTGGGGATGTTCAAAATATTTAAAGGTGTGGATCACTCGATTCACCCACTGTGGCCTTGTATTATGAGAAATCTTGTGCCCAGGGAACAATCTTTCGGAGATCGGGCCTAGCCCAGATGAGTGATGAACCAGATCGAGGCCTATGCTTACTTTGTGCATTGAATCTAAAGTCCTTTGTCTGAAAAGGCCCGTTTTTTTTCCTTGTGATTACTCAGTCGTCTACCCTAAATTGCGCAGCTGTTCTATGCGAAGAAGGTGGAAGTCCAAGATTACAAGCTCCTCTGCTTCGCGAGAGTCGAGCTGAGGGACGCGAAGCTGAGCTTGATCGGAATTCTGGGTAGCTGGTGGATCCTCCAGTCTTCATGAAACCAGACTGGTTCTACTCTGAAATCCCTTCTTCGCCTAGCTGATTGTCCGATCTGTAAGAATTGTTGTTTTTTCAGATTTAAATGTATTATTACTAGAAAGTCATGGGTTTTAAGCCATCAATGCCCAAATCATGTTGTCAGTCGATAATTCTCGCTCACTGCCACGCTCATGTAGATATCTGCGGAGAGATGACTGCTTATTGGCACTAAGATTTGCAGGACTGATGCATGTATCTTCAGATATATATAGTATCAATCTACATGACATGCTGATGAAATGAAGGGATATGATTATTCGTGTATAACTGGTAATATTAGCAATGTCTTGGTAGTGTTAAGACATTTTTTCTTGGTATATTTTCTCTTGTATTTCTAGAAGCAATAAAAATGATCTTATGATGATTCATTTCTTTTAATGTCCTCCATCTCCATGGATGGGGAGGGAGAACTTGGCGGAGTGTTGGCCGGCGGCGAGGAGAGAAAAAGCTTGATGCTCAGGCGGGGATGACGATCTCCTTCCGATGCTCCTCCCCTCCTCCTCCGGCGGCGGCAGCGGCGCCGCCGCCGCCGCCTTCAAGACCTACTTGCAGACCTGCGCCACCCTGCTGGACAAGTGCCTCGCCGGCGGCTCCCTCGCCGGTGGGCAGGCCATCCACGCCCACGCCATCAAAACCGGCATCTCCTCCCTCCGCCCCCTTCCGGCCAAGTTCCTGACCATCTACTCCGCAGCCGGGGGCGCCGGCGACTGCGCCGCCGCCCTCCGGGAGAGCTGCCTCAGCAGTGGCGGCTTCGACCTCCTCTCCTGGAACGTCACCATCGCCGCCTGGGTGAGGAACGGGGAGCTCGCCGCCGCCCGCCGCCTGTTCGACGCCATGCCCGAGAGGAACGACATCTCCTGGACCCTGATGATCGACGGCTCCATGAAGTCCGGCAAGGTCTCCGACGGCGTCGCCTTCCTCCGGGGATGCCCTTCTCCGACGGTGGTCTCATGGACGGCGGCGATGGCGGGGCTCGTCCAGAACGGGCACCCCTTCCATGCCCTCGAGCTCTTCCACGGTATGCTCATGGCCGGCGTGGCGCCGAACGAGATCACCTTCACCGCTGCCGTCAGGGCCTCCATCGCCGCCGGCAGGTTCGACCTGGGGAGGAACATCGTCGGCTCCATCGTCAAAACCGGGTACGAGAGCTTCCTCTCCATCTCCAACTCCCTGATCACCCTGCACACCAGGATGAAGGATCTCGCCTCCGCGAGGCAGATTTTCGATCGAATGAAGACGAAGGACGTGGTCTCCTGGACCGCCATGCTCGACCTCTACTTCCAGGAAGGAGATTTAAGAGGCGCCCGCAAAGCGTTCGACGAAATGCCCCACAAGAACGAGGTCTCATGGAGCTTGATGGTGGCGAGGCATAACCAGGCGGGGCAGGCCATGGAAGCTCTCAAGCTCTTCGAACGCATGTTCTGCGCCGGTCTCCGCCCCACTCTGTCGTCTCTCTCCGCCGCCATCAGCGCCGCCGGCGGGAATGAGGCTCTGCTTTTGGGGAGCACCCTCCATGGTTGCTCCATCAAGCTCGGGATCGACGACAGCGACTTCATCTCGAGCTCCCTGATCGACATGTACTGCAAGTGCGGGAGGCCCGAGGAAGGGCGCCGCGTCTTCGACGTCGCACCGGAGAAGAAGAACTTGATTTGCTGGAACGCCATGGTTTCCGGGTACTGCAGGAACGGGAGCTTCCCTGATGCCATGGAGCTGTTCGAGAGAATGCCGCAGAGAAACAGAGCTTCCTGGAATGGCCTGATTTCAGGGCTTATCTTAGGCGAGGCGTACGACGAGGCGGTAGAGCTCTTTAGGGAGATGCTAGCGTCGGGGGAGGCCCCCAGCGCGTTGACTTTATCGAGCGTTCTCCGTGGTTGTGCGGGATCTTCGGCGTTGGAGAAGGGGAGGGCCGTCCACTGCTTGGTCGCCAAGCTGGGCCTGCAAGATGATCTCTTCATGGGCACGGCGTTGACCGACATGTACGCCAAGTCCGGGGACATTGCTAACTCCAAGAGGGTCTTCTCCCTGATGGGGGAGAAGAACGAGGCCTCGTGGAGCGCCGCCATCCATGGCTTCGCTGCCAATGGGCTCGCAGAGGAGGCGCTTCTTCTCTTCGAGGACGCGGTGGAGGCGATGGAGGTCCCCACAGGGAGCCTGTTCCTGTCGGTGCTTTCTGCTTGTGCTCATGGTGGGCTGGTGGAGAAAGGGCTCCGCTACTTTGGGCTGATGAGGGCGCACGGCCTGGTGCCAGCGGAGAAGCACTATGCTTGCCTGGTTGACTTGCTGGCACGGGCTGGGAGGCTGCGTGTGGCGGAGAGGCTCGCCGGCAAGGGGGGAGCTGGTGCTTGGGCAGCGCTGCTGAGCGCCTGCCGGGGGCGGGTGGAGGAGGAGGTGGTGGCGGAGAGGGCGGCTGTGAGGTTGAGGGAGATGGAGGAGGGTGATCCCCGGAGCTATGTCCTGCTCTCCAGTGTATACGCTGGTGTTGGCAGGTGGGAGGATGCAGAGAGGGTGAGGGCTTTAATGGGTCCAGCCGGGGTGAGGAAGGGCAAAGGTTGTAGTTGGGTTGTGGGGAAAGGAAGGCGGTCCCATAGGTTCGTCTGTGGGGATGTTTCTCACGAGAGGGGACATGAGATATATGAGATGTTGGAGCTCTTAATGTCAGAGATGAGCCCCTGTTTAGTGGCTTAGTTGATGGGTCAAATTTGTAGACGAAGGTGTAATGGTAAAACTGATAACTCTTTAAGGATTAATAGTTTTTTATTGGCCACGTTTGTAGATCTAGTTTCATATAGTAAAGTTGATGCATTTGTGGTCTAATAGTTATTCTGTGCTGATCAAACTTGTTACTTACTCCCTATTATTACTCTTCTCACTTCATTAAAAGCATCATAAATACACATATATGTAGTACTTATTTTTCTTTATTTGAGAATACCCCAGAGATGACTACTATTTTGCTAAAAATGTGTCACGATGCAACTTCTTGATCTTGTTTGAATTAGTAGGGTTGTTGAATTTATTCATATAAGATGGGTTTAAACATGGGATTGGTCACCACTAATTTAATGTTGATTGATCTATCTAATCAAAAAGGTTGATTTATTCCTATTAAGAGGAATGACTCCCACAAGATGTCTTTACCTCTTTTTCCTAGCATTGTCAACGCTCTCTCTCTCTCTCTCTCTCTCTCTCTCTCTCTCTCCCTTTCTCATACTTATATACATCAAGGCAAGTTATACACTCCCCATTCATCTTATTACTTGAAGAAAAAGACGATTAAGCCAAAGTAGGCAATTAGTGCAAGATCAAGGCTTGCCTATGAGCAAGGCTTTGGGAGAGAGGAGAAGATGAGAAACTAGGAGAGTTGAGGGCCTTTGAAAAGCCCTCTAGTATTTTTCTAAAATTCTTTTAAGATCCCAATTATCTTCCTTTCACATTTTTTCTTATGTTAATTCCAAGGGTTTCTTTTGCATTTTGCTGGGAGTCATCATTTAATATTAAAGCATCAACTTGGGACCAATGGCCCAAAACTTATCAACAACTATAAAGTAGAAATAAAAGGCGTTAATGAGGAGATGAGGAATAAAAGGGAGGACATTTTCAACAAAATCCTTCAATGACTTTACGAGATAGAGGATTATATAATAGTGGTGGAAAAATAAGGGTCTAAACAAATGCAACAAGAAGATTGACTAATGTCTCAAGATTCATAATCTCAAGATTGACTAATATCTCTTAACTCTAAAATATTAAAGGTTGTCATAAGAACATAACAAGGGTATCAAAGGTTGACCATTCCTATTTTTAGTGACAACAATCAAGACAAGTGAATTTTTCGTACTAGGCTCTATTTGAAAATGAGTAAAGTTAGGGAAAAAGAAAGGTTGAATGACATAATAATGTGCTTTGAAACAAACAATATCTTGATATTTATAAACAACTAAAAGATTAATTCAAGAGTTGACAATAACTTATAGATATATGAGATTTTAGGGCTGATTCATATGGGAATATTTATTAACAATTTTTAAATCTCAAATAGGAAGGAATGATAATTAAGTATTGATATGATTTTTAAGTATTATTTATATTTTTGAAGGATATTTTGAAAGAAATTATGAAAAACAATTACATCAAAAAATTAACATGGGAAAATTTAGTTGAAATTTAACAAGAGTTCATTGAGACTATGATAAGTCATTAACTTCTCTCAATCAGTAGAAGAGATACTTTACAACCTGCAAGCAACATGAAATTTGAATTTTATTAGGAACACTACAATATGTAAACCAAGGTTAAACAAGGGTTTGTTAAGGGAACAAGAAATTTATAATGTGTCTCTCACAAAATTTTGGAGTGCAATAGAGATGAATTGAGACATGTTATTAATATCACATACAAATGTATCAAGATATCAAAATTCTTTCCAACAAGTTTGTGCCTAAGAGGAAGCCAAAAGTTAAACCTCACTAAAAGTAAACTTACAAAGAGAAAAGTCTATGTATCAACTATGATATTAAACTTGTAATTAATCATCGATGTAAAAGACAATTTCAAATCTTGTTGTTGCACATGAAAGATCGAGACTTAAGAGAAGCCAAGTACAACAACTAAAGAGATTTAGAGTGCATCTTTAAAAGTGACTAAGGAGGAACAAGAATGAGGAAAACTTCTTATGGACTTAGTAATTGGGTCATTATAATATGACATTGTGAAACTGAAGAGTTCTACACATAGGAGTGATATCATTGTCTTAATTGAATGTAGGATTACCTGTAATTTCATTTGCAAAGCTTAGTTGAAGAATTAAATCTCCTAAGGTCAAAAACTATAAGTTATGGAGTGATTATATATAATAATTAGGCATTGAAAGGCCTCAAAGTATGTAAAAATGTAATATTAGTGACATAACAATTAACAATGATATAACACTTTCTACCACTAGAGTTGACCAGCATGAATGCTACAACGAGTATAAGATGGACAAGTAACAACTTCCTTCAACATAGAGAAAAAATATAAATTTATTTTCTTGAGGTTCTTGAATCAAGACAAAGTCTACTCTTCAAATTAACATCCATGATGCAATTTAGTTAATATGACACATAGAACTAGTTAGCCTCCACCCTATCATTATTCTCACCTCTAGAAAGACAAAATAAAATGTATTGTTTAATATGTCCCAAATAAGAATAATCTAACCCTCAAAAAGCTCATTTTCAAACTACACTCTAGTTGAAAAAAAAGAGATTATGCATTGATTATAGAACATTGAATAAAGTTATAACGTCATATAAATATTTTTTTTTCATATTAAAAGAATTATTAGATAAATTATTTGAGGTGATAATTTCACCAAACTTGATCCTTAGTCTCAATTTTTTCAGATTGGAATGAGAGAACAAGACATCTACAAGACAACAATTAAGACTCATGAAGATCATTATAAATTTATAATTATACTTTTGGTATAACTAATACTTTTGACATCTTCAAGTCTTTAATTAATGAAATATTATAATATTATATTTATTAATTTGTCTTAATTTTCTTTAATGATATTCTGATTTATTGATAAGATGAAGACTAACATGATCAATACATCTAATATATATTTTTAATTCTCTTGAAGAATAAAATTTATATTAACATAAAGAGGTGTTTTCTTAAAGATAATTAAAATATTTAAGTCACTATATTTCAATGAGTATAATAATAGATAATTATGAAAAGATTAATGCTATGTTAAAATGGTCAACCCTCAATAATTTATAAGAATCGATATATTTTTTGGGACCGATAGGCTATTATTATAAGTTTTTGTCATAATTTATAGATAGTAAACCATCAACTAACAACTCAAGATGCACACTTTCCACTAAAATAATTTTTCACAACAAATATTTGAAGACCTTAAAATGATTATAATGATGACAAACATCTTATCATTTTTGAATTTATTTAAACCTTTTCTTTAGAAGTAGATATTTTAAATCATAGATTGAGAATTTTAATAATGTAAGATGGCAGCTCAATTACATATTATAAAGAATATGTCTCTAAAAAGATTTAATTCAAGTTAACATACAAACATGAACTCATGACTAATGTTGCATCGCTCATGTGGTATCACTATCTCATGAACATAATATTTTACTTATATATAAATCAATATAAGCTCAAATTTATCATAGAGTAATACTAGATAACTCCTTAATATTAGAAATGACTTTCAAAACTCGTGAGGTAAAATTTTCAAATCAAGTAAAAGAAAATAAAGTAACATATGTTTTCGAGGATATCAAATCTATTATTATTAATAGTAGTCAATTTATCTTTGACTTCACAAATTAATATTCATGAGTTATCAACCAAAGTTCAACCAAACTCTATATTTAGTCCCATATTATATGTTACTTCAAAGAAGTGGCTATAGCCCCTACTATTTTATGCACCAAAAACTTTTTCTATGTCAAAGATACCTTATAACTCTTACACAATCTTTTTTTATCGAGAAAGTATTGACAAAATTTCATGATTGTCTAACAAATAGATATATCAATTTCTTCAAAACTTATAAAAGGGTTGTACACTGATAAGTCTTCATTATCATGAGTTAATAATTAGTAAATAATATAGTTTTAGCCTTAACTCATGATAAATAGACTTATATTTGTGTTAAAGTGTGAAAAGTGGTTTTCAGTTGATTAACGTGAATTTTTGGATAATTATGTGATTTTATATGAATTTATATGATTTTTACAGTCTTACTTTTGAGATAAATGAAGAAAAAGAAATAAAAATAAAAATATAGCAAAATGGGGGGGACCCGCCAGTTAGCCAGGCCCGCATGCAAGTTGGAAGCGCAGTCGAGGAGGAGCCGCAAGTAGGGGCTCGAGCGGCTAGGACCGATAGGGGCACGTGTGCGCCACTCCCCTTCCATGTCACCGGTGGCCAGCCAACTGTGGGGCAAGGAATGATCATACATGTGCGAGAAAAGGACTTGATTACAAATGTAATATTACTATATATTCGTCCGAAACTTCGGCGCACAAGTGATATGAGACTAAACCTGCGTCACACCTTCCTCATAAAGGCTTCGATGATTTTAATACTGACAATACCTCTTATTTATAACAGAGATATATCATGATGACGTAATTTGATAAGGACATTAGAGTACTTATTTCAATCTCTCTCATGCAGGCGGGCAACCGGTGTGGGTTCGAATCCTCCTATAGCCAAAACTCATATTTTTTTATTTGATTATCGCGACTTTCTTGCAGATCGTAAATGAAGGATTAAGCAACCAGAATCGCTGGATCATCGGCGAAAATCTCGTCAACGCGATTCGCGGAGCATTGTTACTAAAATTGTTGAATGATTCGCGATAAAAGGATCGTGAATCTATTGAGTAAAACATCTCTGATTGATCGACGAATAAGCCGTCGTCAGGAAGAAGACGATCTGCCGTGAGACGAGTCGCCACCTCCTGAGAGTGTACCGGATGCGATGAAGAGCCTCCTCTTGCTACACAGACCTAAGGATGAAGCTTTGTGACACGTACCCCACCTCTATCCAACTCCTCTCTATTAGGTGATAGCTACCGGAGAGTCGCAAAGTCGCCATTTTTTCCGCTCCGCCGGGTGACAGCCACTAGAAACGATTCGACGACCCATTTCATTGAT